GCCATCTTCATCCCCACTCATGACACCATTAACTCTACAGAGCTTGCCCAACTTTTCCTTATCCATGTCTTCTCCAAACATGGAGTATCCAGTCACATCATATCTGATCACAGTTCTGAATTTATCTCCCAGTTTACTCATGCTCTAGCTACCACCCTTAATATAGAACTTCACCTTACTTTGGGTTATCATCCAGAGGCTGATAGACAAACCAAATGGGCAAACCAAACTCTAGAACAATACATTCACATCTACTGCTTCTATCAGCAGGACAACTGGGACACCCTCTTACCCATTGCTGAGTTTGCTTACAACAATGCCTCTAATGCATTCACTGGAACTTCTCCATTCTTTGTTAATAAAAGTTATCACTCTAATATCACTGTTCACCCTGAAAGGGACATTGCCTTCACTCAGGCCCAAGACTTTGCAGTCAATCTTGATGAACTCTCTATCAAATATTAAAAGACAAAATCTCTAAGACTTAGGCTTGCTACAAGATCCAAGCAGACAGGCATCAGATTCTAGCACTTCTATTCACAGTGGGTAACAAGGTCTATCTCAGTTTCAAATATATCAAAACCACCTGCCTAATCAGAAAATTCTTAGAGAAATACCTCAGTCCTTTTGAAATCATAGCCTAATCTGGTTCTCACTCCTTCACACTGAGACTTTCATTAGATCTTTATTCTATTCATCCAGTCTTCTATGTATCACAATTAGAACCTGTAGAAGAAAACACCATTCCTAACTGAATCCAACCACCACTATCTCCAGTCAAAATCAACAGAGAAGAACATTTTGAAATAGCCCAAATCCTCAACTCTAAGCTAGACCACCAGTTCTGCTATCTACTGCTGTACAAGATCCAGTGGCTAGGCTACAAAGATACCAATGAAGAATTTGCTTGGTTACCAGCCTCTGAGTTCTCTGCCAATGAATTTATCAAAGAATTCCATCATTGATACTCAGACAAACCAAGACTCTTATCCAAAGTCATTCAAATATTATATTCCTAATACAACACTACTCTAGACACCACTGATGCTCCACCTTACTATTTCAATTTTAACCACTAATTACTACTATTTTAATCACTTCTTTTACACTTTCAAAGTCAAAAATCTTGTATTTACATTTTTTTTACCACTATCAACATCTGATATTTTTTTCTATATATATTTTGTATAAAATCTTTATAAGGAAGCAGAACCTGATAGACCCACACTAAAATTCAAACTCTCTCTCTGCCTCTTCAACTCCTCTATATCCTCATCCAGCCTCTTCAACATTGCCTTCTATAGATCTTCTATCTCCTGATCCTTCTCATCCTTAAAAAGCAGATGAGCCTTCTTTTAGGCCTCTAATTTAGACTCCAAAAACAACTCTGAGAGAGATGACATATCATCTGACCTATAATCATCCTGGAGACCTGCTATGGTACTGCAGACATCTGCCATCTCATCTGCCAACTCATCCACATAATGTATCAACTTGCACATTAACTTTGAAAGTTGGTGGAGATCAGTGGAGACCTCCACACTGCTGACCACCTCACTTGCAGTGATGCCCTTGTTGAATGAACAGGCAGTCTTCTTAACCTTGCAATAGGCACAAGTCTACCTATAGCTAGCATCTTCAGTTACTAGGCATGTATAACAGAAAACAATAAGACACTTACTTTCACTGCTCAATTTCTCCTTATTCTCTACTGGCCTCACAACCTCCAACTTCACCCTCTTCTTGGGACTAGCCACTATCTCTGTCTCACTGTCACCCACCACACTCTGAGACTTAAATTTCCTTTTTTAACCCTATTCTATCAAAACCACTTCTCTCCTCTTTCTCTTTCACACTCTCTTTCTCCTCTCTAGAATTCTCTCAGATTCTTCTGACTTATTATCTTTCTTAGTCCTCTTGTCCTGCTCATCATCAGACTCCAGAGATATATAGCCAGTCACTCTCTTGAAGCAAAAACTGGAGCTAGGATCAAATTATTCTGCCAGTATTTGACACAGCTGAAAATCAATAGCCTTTGCAGAAGTCATTTGCAACTCACTCTCTGTAACTATCCTCCCTTGCCCTACCTCTGAGGCTGCAGCTCTTACTGCAGCCTCTGTGGCCTCCCTTTTCTCAGCCTCTCTTCAAGCTGCCTCTCTTAATACCTCCTCTATCTCCTTCACCCACCTCTCCACTGTCTGTCAGATCTTCTCCTCTCTCTTCTGCTCCCTTTTCCACTGCAAGTAAACTTCTATGGCCTCTGCATACTCTTCCTCCCTGGCTTGCCATTTCAGATGAAATGATTTCTTAGCCTCTTTAGGGCTATTAGAGGTGGGTTCCCTCACTAAAGGCTTAGGAGTGTATGAGCAATGATATACAGTGAGAGACAACATAGTTTCAAAAAGTTTAGGCAATGGTGATAGTATTTGATTAAGTTGCAAAATTTTCCACAGCCACTAACAATCTTCTATATGACTCCACCAGCCATTAGAATCTGTGCTCTTGAGGGCAAGAATGCTAACAGAGGGATACTGTTACATATATGCCATCAGCTTCTATGTCATCTCAACCAACCATGGATTCAATCACTAAAATCCACCAGACTCCAGCCACTTCCCATTACCTATTAATTTCATTTTCACCATTATCATTTCACATCTGTATTTTACATTGTAATATCTAGATCCTGAACTCAGTAGTGAATATTGACACTAGAACTCAATGAAATCTGACTCAGAATTAGCTACCATTAGTATATAAAGCCATGTATAATCATTGTAAATACTCAGTTTAAATATCAACTTGGATAGTCATCTACACTTCATACTCACTTCAACTCTTTCTTACCTCATCCATCAGATTCCACTCTGAAGGATACTCCTCTTCACTTCTCTAATGAAACTCTGTTCTGTCCATCCAAATTCTTAGACTCTGACTCAGGGGTGATGTTGCTAATAGCTTCATTGATACTCATACACTCTACTAGTCTCTGTGCATACACTCAAACCCACTTAATTGGCATGTTCCTAACAGATACTCAAGAAAGAGGCACCTTTCTCTTACACAAAGATAATCTCAGATATAGATGTTAATATCCTGAAAGAATACAATGTGTAGAAGGAATAAATCACAGAAATAAACAAGGAATGACAGTGGCAGAAGGCAGAGAATGCCAATCTGCAAAGCAACTAGAAGCCAAACTACTTGACCAACTAAAAGCCTGCCAATAACACTTCTATGACTAAAACTAATATCTTCTCCACTCCAACATACAGAACACAGAAGACTGATACTGGGACTATATACACTGAGATTGAGAAGCTGATAGACATAGATTATCTCAAGAAAGAAGGGAAGTGTTTCAATTGTAGAGAAAAGAGACATTTTTCATGGAGCTATCTAAAGAAGAAGTGCATGAGAAAAGATATCTGAATGCAGATTGCCAAGTTACAGAAGGAAGCTGACAGACTTGAGAAATTAGACAAGAATACAAAAGTTGAGAAAGTAAAAAATGAGGCCAATGAGTGAATGATCTCACTTGGTCAGCCAAAGAACTTAGCAGTGTATCTCACATAGCTGCTGGACAGACTTATGTACCTCCTGTAGTAACCAATATTTACATGCATTTGAATATACTCTTGTCTACAACTATATTGAGCACATTGCAAGAATCAACAACATAAGAAACTGTTAAGCCTAAGTGACATATGACTTAAACACATAATAAATAGAAGCTGTATCACCTTTATACAGTCACTCCTAAGTTCACTGTTTGTGTTTATATGGCACTATGTCTCAAGACCAATGCAATTTAGCTTGAGGTAGAATGGTAGAATATAAACTTTAGCTCAAAGCTGAAGTTATACCAGTGAGAGCTATCTTACTTATATACAGTTTGTACTCAATAATATAAATATTACTATTAATTATGTCCTTTATGGCTTTTGTACTCTGTGTCCTTGAGTGTCATTATTATCTACAAAAGTCTTGTTGTGCATTGTCAGGCAACACTGTTGCATCAAAAGACAATGACTGACTGGAGTTGTTGTGATGACTAAGCTAGTCCCACAGTCTTAAGCACTGGTCTAGCACTCTGACTAAGCATAAATAGAGGTTAATACAAAGAAAAAGAGGAAAAATCATAACATTATCCCCTTCTTAAAACTATCATCCTGATGGCTTAATTTAGGGATAATTTGTAGTTATATATCATATTATCAGCATTCATTTGTTTTTCATTAACCCACTGGTTAGACTCAGGACTATAGCCCTTCCAGCTGACCAGATAATTGACTATTGTTGTGATCCTGCCACTATGGGCTTTGACCTTTTGCAGTTTATAATTTAATATTGGATCAATTTTATAGTGTTTCTCATCATTGATGAGATCAGGAGGAGGAGGAGGGCAGTCTTGATTGGGAAAGACAGAAGCAATAAATGGCATCAGGAGTGATTCATTGAAAACATTGTGGATCTTCCAGTGAGGCAGCAGACAGAGTTTGTAGGTGGAGTTTCTGACTTTAGCAATAATAGGGAATAGTCTCATATGTTTATCAGCAAGCTTTTGCTTAGGGCAAGGAAGGTGGAGATTGATTGTATCCAACCAGACTTTGTCATTAATATTATACATATAGGCTGAGGTGTGATGCTTATTATACAATTTCTTCATGGAAATGGCTGCCTTGTCAAGGGTGATCTGAGTTTCATTATGGATCTTGGTCATAGTGGATGCAAAGTCAGAGGAGGCTGAGGTCATAGTGTGAGCACACTTGGTGTGTGAGACATTAGAATGATGGCCATAGTTGACAAAGAAGAACATTTTTCCTGTTGCCAAATGAACATGATTATTGTGTTGGAACATGATAAGAGCAAGCCATTCTATCCAATCATCTTGTCAATAATTAATGAAGAGTCAAAGATACTTCTTGATCTTCTGATTGACACACTCTGCTTGACCATCTGTCTGTGGATGATAGATGGTGGATGTATTTCATTGGATATTCAGGAGATAGTACAGGTTGTTAAGAAACTTAGAGACAAGCTGTGGTCCTCAATCTGAGATGACCACTTGAGGCATTCTGTATTTGGCATATACCTTATCATATAGAATCTTCACCCATCCTTCCAACATCAACTCTGTTGAACACATGATTAGAATGATTGCTTTAGAGAAACAATTGATGATGACAATGATGGCATCATAACCATTGCATTCTGATAGCTCCATGATCATGTCGACCGAAATGTGGTGGTACAACAGCACTCATCGAGACAAGAGAAAATTGAATCACATCGACATAAGACCATTGGCCTCAAGAATTAGAGTCTCCAAAAATCCCCGAGTTCAACTTATTCCATGACCCGCTATCCCCATGTAAATGGTACACTTCCCTCATATTCACACCCTCAAACCATTCAGGATAAAATCCAGCATCATCCCAGTCTATCACCCAAAGCTGTCCATCCTTTCCGAGTATCAATTTTCGCATATGCAAGTCTTGGTGAGTAAACACCAGGGGCCGGGTATCATCAAAAAATGGATCTATTGTCTTGAACACCTCGAAGTTGAGATGAAACCTTTGCATAACAAGTAGCCTGTTGCGATACCATGCCGCCATGTGGGCATATGACCGGAATGGACCCACACCAGAATCGTTGAAGAGACTACCTGTACATCTTTCCGGTCCCACTCTTCCAAAGGGACCAGGAAATTTGCACAAATGAGGATTTCGTCGTGTGATGCCATGGAGCTAGTACACATAATGCCATAGCGATACAATGATGCGAAAGCGCATCCAAAGTCCGAGTTTGTCCCATACAGACGCGACAGTTTGACCCTCAATAAGAGGCATAGCTAGATAGTGAGGAGAAACTGAGTCGATGAAGCGATAACATGGCGGGACGGGAATAGCTGTTTCTTTTCGGACAAGTTCTATGGCCCGTGACTCTTGGGCACCTGGAAAACGTTTAACAACCGTGCCAAATCCAATGGACGCGACATTTCCTGGATTCGGGAAGCCTAAGATCGTCTGAAATGTATTGGTGTCGATTTTAGGACACTCTGTCCATAGCTTGATTATGTCTGAGTCGGTGAGATGCTTGATAGGGTCGTGCTGCTATCCGAAATATCGTTTAGATGTGAACAAGACTGGAGGCCTAAACAGGAGACATACTTCGGACGCGGCATCGCCAAGCTTTCGATATGAAAGAACGAAAGGCTGTAGGATAAATGCCAGAAAACGCTCTGCTAAGGACCTGTATAAAATAACATAACTGCATTTTTAACTTGTCGTTCCTATCTGGGGAAAAATACTGATGAACATTGGTGGAAACTCGTTGAAATATCGTTGTTACTATTAGCTAGGCGCTCGAGAGAAGGAAATAGGCGGCATTAGCCGACTGAGTCCAGAAGGCTGTACCTACTACCTTTCGGCTTACTGCAGCCCAGCCCCGGGAAGCAAGTGGAAACAAGGTGGACGGATGCTGACGCCCATCACTCTCCAGCCTAGCAACGCACCGCCTATCACTTTGTTCTCGATACGTCTTCTGTGAACAATGGGCCAGCAGTGCGGCCATGAGTAATGTCACTTTCAACTGTTCTGGAAGGTCAAGGTGATACTGTAAAAGAAGGCAACAGATCCTCAGGATCCTCACTCGCCCTCTTTTTTTTTCATGCTCAGTCTCTCGTACATTATCCTCACGCCTAGGCGCATCCGTCTACCAGGTGAACTCTCGAAACCTAGACATAGGAGAAGATCCATTCGGTGAGGGCTAGTTGCACTCGAGTCGTCTACAGGAAGCTCAGTTTTTTTGTTAGTCTATCTCCTACTCGATGGTTTGCTCGCCTTGTATCGAGGAAGCCAAAACCAGTCGGATCGATATACAGTTATCCTCATCCTTCTACACCGACTTTAAGGCTCCCGATGCACGAACCCTACGATCAATATTGAACTGCTCGGTGGACAAATCGAGAATTTTACCTTTTTTCATTTAGGGATATGGGTGCGTATTCAACCCACCATGGTCCGCACAGTATTTCTGATGGTTTTGTGCAGGCCGTGGTCCTAATAATGTTTACTGTATTGTTGAAGATAGAATACTGTATGATATATCATTGAACGCAAACATGAGGCCCCCCACCTCTCTCATTTCATACCCTCACCTACATCAATCGTCGCACAAGCTCACATTCCTTCTGCAAGGGCAATCGATCTGGGAGAGAGAAGGCAGGACTTACTTCGGTTCAGCTGTCTCGATGCGGTTTTCGAACCTATGCTGTGTGTCTTCTTGCCTTGCTGCCAACATGCCTTACGTCCATCGGGTTATGACATTACTACATTTGCCACGCAACGCCTCGCCGCGGGTGCGTAAGTTCAATTGGCTCTGCACCATGTTTACGCACAAGCCCATTGATCTATAAATGCTGACTGGTCTAGCTGTACGTCTTGTTCCCGCGTCCTTGTCATCGGGTCACCTTTTTGGAGCCTTGTGTTCATTCGGGGGCTTTTTCTCCGATTACTGCTTCGCTTCGCTGCCTTTATAACAGATCATATGGTCTGACGAAGAATGCGGCCTGGGTCGGTTTACAGTTACTGAGACTTCCGCGTTCGAATATCTATCTGTCATGCGGTCCTTCTCGATTTGCGTTAGACCGGTCACCTTGTCGGATCGCAGTTGTGCATGAGAGTACTGTGAGGTTGACAGAGGATGATATTTTCAGGAATAGACTCCAATTTGAATACCTGAAAGTTAGGACCGACGATTAGTGTCTCGCTGCTCTATCCTGATTCCTTCACTTAAGAGGTTGAATCCGTATCCCTTATTCGCGTTTGTTATCATGCTTTCCCCAAAAATTGGTTGCCGTTTTTGATGACTGCAATGTACCAAGTTGGGGTGTGGTGCCATGCACTCGTGTCTCCATCCGAAGTGCCGAACTGGCTAGGTGATCATGTTTGTTGTTAATTCTACGACCAGGACTTCCTTTTGGATGGTGGAAGCCTTCAAGTGGTGATTCCTTAGTACTTATATTGTGGATATGGCTACGTATACGGAAGTTATTCCTGCCCGGTACGTCTTTTCGAAATTTCCCTCTTTCGCATTCACCAAGGTTTTGCGAACTTTGGATTAAATACTCCACTATCGGTGCAGTTCATCTTACGGTTTAACATCGACTTCTGTAACTCTGCCTACCGTGACACCTTCTCGATGAAAGCACAAGTGTACAGGACGCATGGCTTTGGCGGGGCTGTATAGATTATGCTTTTCGGGGGGACGACAAGATGCTTTTGAGTAAGAATAGAAAACAAAGTCGACACACATTGCATACTTTTAAAAACGTTTACGGTAATCGATTAAAAATAAGGATAACTCGTGTTTGTGCGGACTGCTATCTAGTCATTGCTCAAGCATGATTCGATGACATTCGGAATCTTGTCATCGACCTTGGACGAAATATCAATCGACTCGGCTTGTGTTATGATTCTATCAGTAATAATGTAACGGAGGAAGAATCAAAGATGCTCACCCATATTTTCTCCTGCGCTTTGAGTCCCTGTTCACTTATCGCATAATCACTGACCTCTACGATGTCTGATAAAGATACATAACCGCCGCTCAGACGCTTCTCATCCTCTCCACTTCCAACGGCAGCCCAAACGGCTGTCGGCTACCCTCTTCCGTCGAGGAACCAATCAACTCAACCATGGTCCATTCCGCAAGGGCCATATACCAGGTATCTTTTACGCCTCGGCGCAACTCTGACTCACGAAACCCGGATGGCATTGACGATGATTGACTCTGGTGGACGAGTCTGAAGGGAGTGACAAAAAAATATGTCGACGACTATACCGAATAATTAGTTATCTGGTATGAGGGAAATTATTCTGAGACTACGTTTTGTCATGTTGTAACCTCGCCCAGCATGTTGCTGGTCGTGCAGTTGAAAATATTGCAATTGATGAAAATAAGTGAGAGATACTTCGGTGTAGAATACTCATTGCTTGAGAGTGTGGCCAGAATATCGCCGGACGTAACGTTTCGTGGCAGATTCGCCCAATAATGACCGTCGATAGGTATGATGCAGATGCGTGGTGTGGTATTGTGTTCTTTAGCCGTGTGTAACATGCAAGGAAGCAGACGTACTGCAAGTAAAGAGGACGCGATGTTGTTAATTTGTAGCCTGTATGAAACATGAGGAAAGCGTTGACAGGGTCGCAGAATAGACATACGAGGATTCCCATCCGTCAGAAGTGGGACGATATATCTTATCGGGAGCAATACCGGCATTGAGAACATGGATATCCAGATGACCACCGTCGGCTTCGAACTTGTTCGCAAAAGCGGTGACAGATGAGAAACGACTCAGGTCAACCAGCCAGAGCTCAGCTTTCTGATAGCCTGTGTCGTTCCTCGGCCCTATTAACAGTATGAAAATTAGCTTAAATATTTTTCCAGATCAAGACAACATACCCTCCAAAGCAGCCTGTCCTCGTTCCTCGCTCCAGCACGCCAAGATAATTCTTCCTGGATTCATTGTAGCAAAATGTTTGGCGGCTTACTCGCCACACACACTATACACACACTATACAGTCGAAGCTAGCCTCCGAGCTAGAACGGGTACTGAAGAGTATGGAATTGGATAGATGCCGTTATAGGTCAATTCTGGAGGTGAGCTTGTAATATGCAGCAGCTATTGGCGAATAAAGTAATCGGTCTCCGAAGATGGAGAGGAAGGATAAACTGATCCTCAATGAGAGGACATGATAGGGATGAGGTTTTGGGATCAATGATAATGGCATTCAGAGATACCGAGTTCTTGGGAGCCTGTAAGGGGACAACCCAAGCCATGAGAGATGTGAGAAGCCTCAAAGATCCAGAGGAACAAAAGAGGCAGAAGGGGACTTGACCCAGTGGAGGTATTGTGAGATGAAGAGGATCCGAGCAGGATCAGTTTCGATGTAGAGTTAGTCTTGTGCCCAGAAAAAGTCAAAAGGGCCTCCAATTGTCAAGCAAATGGGTCATCCATGCTCTCGACAAAATATTTGACTGGTTATGACAGCTTGCATTGTGTCACGACCAGTAGGACGAGGATCCAACGACGAATCATCGATATGGGTTAGAAGGGCTTCGACTGTACGTATGAAGCTGCTATACATGTAGAGCTCTTGTTCACTGGCACCCGTTGCGTAATATCTATCTAATTGTAACCCCGAGGCGGGAATTTTGGTGCTCATTCCTGTACAAGGAGAATTTTCATCTATACGCTATTCGGATTCGTCCCCTTAGGTAAATCACGATGCAGCACACGTCACGACAACAGTCCTTTTCAGCGTAGTGCTACTGGTCACATTTTAAAACCTGTCAGCTAAAATTCTCGAGCTGGGACAATGCTCATCGACATTATTCTCCCTCTCTTTCTCTTTCCTGCCCTCACGGCGCTCGAGGTGACAAATATTTTGCCCAGTTTACAATTCCTTGGCCCAGCAATCCGACCTTATTGCAAGTCGGGCTCACCTTATTTCATTCCTCACACCAACATCGCTTTCTTCGACACTCGGCTTTGCGGTGTAGTCTCTGTGTTCCATGTCGTCATGAAACCAGAGCTCATGCCTTTCCTCGTCTACTTCCTCGCAACTATGGCTCCAGTTGCCGTCCTCTATCAATCCTTCGAGTCTGCGAGAAAAGGCCGTCGGTTCACCACCAGTCATTCAGCCCTCTTATTCGGCACCCTTGGTCAGTTGGTAACATTCGCAGCTGTGATGCCGTTCTACTGGATATGCGAAATCTTGTCGGGTCGCGCTGAGAGACAGAAGGGCGGGAAGGTCACTCAGGCGCATGCAGAGGCGGCGGTCTTTGGACTTTTCGTGGGATGGATCATCCCCACGGTGGTAATGGTCGCCATGCAGGATCCCGGAATTACAGGACTCTGGCAGTTCGCACCTATCATCGGCTTCATCTCAGGCAGCGTCCATCTCCTCTTCCGCCCTCCTACTGTGCACTCGCAGTCAGGCTTCCGTACCGTCCAAGCAGCCTATATCGGCGCGTTTCTCGTGGCATCATCCCTCCATCTTTCCACTGTCTCCAAGTTCAAGTCGCTGGATGACATTCTCGCCTTCTTTCTCCCAGCATCATATGCAATAGCGCCGACCGAAGCTCTTTTGTGGCATACCGCGAACCTCTTCCAATGGGATTTCGCTGTAGGAGCTGGGAGCTGTCTTCTTGGTGCTCTGTGGTTTGCTCGGAGCGTATCGCAGTTGATAGGGCTAGCAGCGTGGATTGTGGTTGGCTCTGTGGCTGTTGGGCCTGGTGCAGCGTTTGCGGCCATCGCGTTATGGAGGGAGTCACGGCTGAGCGAGTCATATCATTATGAAGAGAGACGGAAAACATTGTGATATCTATAGATACGAAAGCAAAAGCTTATAGGAACACTTGTTCTCCCCGCCTGACATTCTCGTCGTTCGCTTCTGTATATCCAACGATCTCAGCCTCCAGAGCATATACATCGTTGCACCTGAGCAATCCAGCACCACTGAGCATATGTACAGCCTGCTTCCGCCACACCCGACATGAAAACTTTGGCTCAATGTCCACATCTATTGCTGGCATCTCGAGAGGTACCGTACAAAGCAGGTCAATGATATTGTCTGAAGGGACCGGCATCGTGCCTGTATATTGTTAGGATCAAATAAAACGTTGTCCACGAAATCTACTTGTCCGTACGCCACACAATCCACAAAATCCCTACCAGTGATGTCGTGCTCGACAGCTTCCAAGAGCCATTGTTGATCAGGAGATGGCGCCGTCGCGTGGATCTTCATCATTTTTGTTGGCGTTAGACAGAGACTGAACGTCCAGTGGGACCTTCCATTGCCTCGTGAATTGAGGATGGCGTAGATTTCTCCTGGAGTCAAAGGTGGTGGAATTATAGTAATGCAAAATCCGGTAATTATTAATAACCCGGTAACCTACTTGGTAAATCACGAATAGCTAACGCTACTACATACGAGGACGACGATGAGGAGATGATAGGCATTAAGTTCTAAGTTTTATGTTCATTGTTCCCCTTCAATTCAATTCCCAGGGTTATTGTTTTTACAACGGCCTACATCGTCGGATTCATTCAACTTCCTTGCACCGGATGTGTAGCCTGACAAACCACGACTGACAGATACACAGTTCTATGAAAGCTGGAATATCTCATATTGGTGTAGAAGGTGACTTTGGAAGAAATGACTGCCCAGACTTGCCCTTGGGGAGGGATGACCATCCCCATACAAGGAGGTCTCGAAATTTGCTCAAGATACCGATCGGATTCTCTTATTAGTACACAAGTCCCCCTGGCGGACTTTGGGCAAACTACTAAAGACTACTCGTTGAACGTTGAACGAGCGAAGCCGCGGAAGCGTGGCAGGGTCCCGCGGCACCTAAATTTAAATTTGAACCACGTAGTTGTGCTTATGCCTTCCACTGTCATTCATACGGCACACCCAATTCTTGTTTTCTTATAATCATTTCACGCATCATTGTACTGGAGACTTGAAGATGCAGTGGCAGCGGAGAAAATGGCGGCTGCGACACGCCACAAAATCGGGGCCGTCGTTCATGCGAGGTCACAAAGGATTACCATCAAATAAGAAGTACACCGAGCCAGGGTAGTCCACGACTGCCCTTGATAAGTGATGCGAATTGCCCACGCACATGTGCACGTATCTATTTGTTTTTCCCATTTGGAACGTCTGAGGGTCTCTTTACGGTCGACTTTCATCCATGATGCTGACGCGACTTCTGACTGTCTTTGCTACCATTTCCGTCCCTTGGGCCTGCTTATGGCGTCGGACACGTCCATGAACATCCTAGAAGAGCAAATCCTTCGTCTCCACTAAACCCACCGACTCGACCATTGGAATGGGGCGATATCAATATCATTCATACCACGGACAGTCACGGATGGCTTCTCGGTCACCAAAAGGCTTCGTTCCCGGAGCCCAACTACAGGTGAGTAGCTAGTATATCTAGGAATTCTGTACGGTATCTTATATGGGGCCGTGCCAGTGGTGACCTAGGTGACTTTTCGTCGTTCGTGTCGCATATGAAGAAGATAGCAGTCGTGAATAGGTGCCATCTATGATTCTTCCAACTGATCATGATTCTCGTTTATGCTAGGAGAAAGATGTGGACCTTCTGCTCGTGGACTCCGGGGACCTACACGATGGTGAGTACGAAACGAGTCACATCAGAATTATTTCGACCAACCTCAAATGAACAGGCACCGGTTTATCGGATGGTTACCCTCCCGGCGGTGTCGATGGTCATGAAGTCAGTTCGACTGTTGTCATTCTCTTGTGTAACTAGTGACACTTTTCATTTCCTCAGACTACTAAGTTTCTCGCCGAACTTCCTTACGATGTCATGGCCATTGGAAAGTACGCGACTTGTGAATTACTACACAATGGACTTTCTGACCTTCGGACGTAGCCACGGGCTATACTCTTACGCTAACACTCTTGACATGTCGGTCTGCCCAGCCGAATATGGTCTTTTGCTACTGCACAATTCTTGTATACAGGCATCAATATCTGGCACCGAAGCTGAACGGTCGATATCTTTCGTCCAATGTCAATATTACTTTGGCCGATCAGAACAACAACACTGTTGATGTTCCCGTGGGTAGTACGTACTATCGCTATTATTATGATGAGATATAATATGAGTTGACATCTGTCTCCCTCAGGCCGATTTGCCAAGTTCAAGACACGGAAGTAAGTCCCACTGTTACCGAATACGTCCTGAAACGAAAGTGCTAACATTTCGTAATTGCATGTTAGGGGCCGAACGGTTACCGCACTTGGAGTTATCTTTGACTTCACCGGAAATGATCAAAACACCACTGTCCAGAAAGTCGAAGATATGGTCAAAGAGTCGTGGGTGCGTCTTCGTCACACCGAAAAGAATATACTGATGTTCTTTTCATAGCTCATGGAAGCTATCAATGATGAACCTGACTTTTTCCTGTTAACCGGGTCAGTCGCAACAACCCACTTTGCGAAAGGTACTGATCATCGTATCAATAACAGACACATGCCAGTTTCTCGTGATAATTGTTGGTGTCTCTCGACGCGTCACCTCATGCAAAAAAGCTCTTTGCTGATTCTAGGCACTGCTTCCAGGGCCGTTGGTTTTCAATGCTATTCGCGCCGTTCATGCAACAACACCTATTCTCATTCTCGGTGGTCAGTGATCTCTCTCACCAGTAAATACTTTCAATTTTATTTATACGATGTCAGGTCACACTCACATCCGGGACTGCGGTGAGCAATCTAATCATACCCATGAGAGTAATATGCTGAGTACATTGCTAGTTCAGCTTGACGGCCGATCTATGTCACTTGAAAGCGGACGTTGTATGGAGACCGTCGGTTGGATGAGTACGTCAGTCACGCCCTTTTGGCTTGTCATAGTTCATGTAATTCCATTCAGGTGTTAAGCTTGACGCTCAGAATGGTTCCAACATTCTTATTTTTAGCCGACGCTACTTGGATGCTAATCGTGTCACTTATGAGGTACAGGTTTTATTCTCACTCATGTCCCTACTGACTTGGCTTTCAGTATCACACCCAAGAAAGCCAGTCTTCTTTCGATACAAAGAAAGGACAAGCAATAACTACGGGATTGACTCAACTCGCTGTTGACTTTGACTTAAACTTTACATTTGGAATAGCCCCACATGACTTTACAATCACCCGGTACGCGTTTCGTGTCATCAATATCCCAGTAAAAGTCTTCATACTTTGACTATCATAGGGCACCATATCCCTCCAACGACTCTCAATTATCCCACTTTGCTGAATTGGTATGGACTTTTCGTGTCCAGCATCTAGTGTCACCTAAAAGTACTTCTAGGCTACACCGTATGCATTATCTGTCAACAACAGCCGTGCCGACGTCCCCAACTACATACTCATCAACTCCGGTGGGCAGCGTTTCGACATCTACGCCGGACCATTCACCAAGAACGATCAGTTTACCGTTGCTCCATACACTAATACGTTCTTCTATGTGTCTGAGGTGCCGCTTTCTGTGGCACTGGATACCCTGAAGACTATGAATGAGAATGGTGAAGAGCGTCGGAAGAGGAGCCTGGAGTGGGAGGAGATGTACAGACGAGGAGATGTGTGGGCCAGGTACATGGACTGGATCAGCGAAATGAATCAAAGATTTATCGAGATGGGAAGACATGATACGAATAATTTGACATTGGGATATGTTACTACTGATGTAAGTCCTCCTTATCCTCACTCCTCATTCTCATTCTCATTCCAGTCCTGCCCGGGTGTTGGCGACGATATCATTCACACGCTGCTTCCATTTTACTCTATACCCGACTTCGTTGGGTCCAACCCACCGAACGTCTCGAACGACACACTCATTGATTTTGTCTTCGTCGACTTCTTGGTGAATCAGGTGGTGGAGACTTTGAATATTGTACAGTCGGATAAGGAATATACGTCGGATGATGTGGGGGCATATAGTACGCTTGAGACAAACGAAATCCTGGGCATGTACGCGCAGTTTGCGTGGAACTAGGTATATTTCCTTCGTAATAAGTCTACAATTCGGTCTTTTCGGCGAGACTATATGTTACCTGGCTTCTATCATTTGATGTTTTTACAGACACCCGTCGCTTAAGATAAGGGCGCATCGCACACTTTCTGGCAGACTCTCTCCTCTTACAAACTCTGACGACAAAGTTTATTCAACAATGACTTCTTTTTCTCCAGCCTCACTCCTTTTGACGCTCATTGGCTCCGTGCGCTTCATTATCAGTGCTCTCCTAGCATCAGACTTACGCAAGTGCTGTAGGGTTCTCACATTTTCTTCAAGAGATTCGAACCTAGAGTTCTTCCATTCTTCTCTCTTGTGATTGCATACTTTGTCTCTGCGTTCCTTTTTGCTCTTTTCGAGACTAGAGATGTTCTGTATAGCAATATCTTTGCATTTGTGGCAGTCAATGATTTCTTCGCTGGTCTTTCTGTGTCTATTGGTGTATATCGACTCTCCCCGTGGCATCCGCTATCCAAGTACCCACGTCCTACTCTTGCAAAAATCAGCAAATGGTATATGAGCTACTGGGTCGCGAAAGGGAATAGGCACCGGAAGCTTCAGAAGCGAGTTCTCATGGCATGCTCCATTTACGTGGCTCATTTTCTCATCAGACTGCATCGCATATACGGGCCTTGGGTGCGAATAGGTAAGTCATCGAGTCATTTCCAAGTCATGAGATCAACCAATGATGATGCCTAGGACCAAATGAACTCTATCGATGATCCTGCAGCAATACATCCTCTCTACGGACAGATGTTTCGGTCTCACTTCTATCAGGATAGGTGGCCTTTGTCTTTCCGCTGCTATTCTAGCATAACTTGGGTCCATTTAGGTGCTCCTCAAGATGCAGATGCCTTGATTACCACAACTGACAGAACCGAACATGCCAGCAGACTCATTGTAGGTTTTCTTCTTCTCCATCTGATTACCTGCTTATGTCCTTCCTAGTCATGGAATAAAGCCTTTTCAATTGAAAACTTGAAAAGGTTTCGGGCTTTAACTAAAGTGCGACTACTTCTCTCATCAATACCCGTCAACCAATTTGCTCAAACGGGTTGCTCTTAGATTCGTATTACTCAGCTGCTGGACATCCTCAAGTCTGCTTCCGCTGATAATAATAAGATCTCTCTTTCACATTGAATATCTCTCTGGGCGATGTGAGTTCAGAAACCATGTTCTCCAATCTCGATGTACCATATCTGATGTCACTTGCAGTGATATCATGAGCGACATGTCGTTTTCTGGTGGCTTCGAGACCATGGCAGCTGGAAAAGACACTGAAGGTTGGATAGAGGTGGTACGTTGTTCTATTTATCTCGGTGCTGCTGGGTTAAATCACAGTAATAGTTGCATATGGGAGCCCTATTTGTCGGTGGTATGTTGTCTAGGTCTTCAATGTCTACTAGAATGATAATAGTGCCATCTAGTGCTAGGACAGGTTCCTTGGATGCAAGATATTATTGCCTTGGCACCCTCCCCAGGACCCATCATCACTTTTCAGCAGGTATGTTATGATCATTGGCATGTTCTGTTAACTGATCGCACTTCAGTTTGCTGGTAGAAAGGCTGAGGAGACGAGTCAAAAGAATTCCGGGATGCGTCAGGACATTTTGAGCATAATTGTAAGTACGATTTCAGTCTGCTATGCTCGAGACAATGACCGTACCCCAAGAAAGATGAAAGTTCCGGTGGCCTTAAACTTTCGAAACTCCAAGCGTCTGCGGATGCTTCTTTTATCGTGCTGGCTGGATCTGACACCATCAGTGAGGCCATGGTCTCTTTGATGAGATACCTCGTTGGCGACCCTAAGTTCAGGCAACGTTGCGTGCTGAACTCAACAGCTCATTTGGTGGTCCTATCGAGGGTATGGATGAATTTACACTCTCAAGGCTTCCCTACCTTAATGCCTGCATTCAAGAAGCACTTCGGATTGTACCACCGGTTGCGGCAAGTTATATCTCTCTTCCTTCCTTTCAATTGACCTTGGCCCTCTGATACATTATGTATAGGTCCTCCACGTTGGAACGGCGAAAGTGGTACACATGTTTTGGACCAGTATATCCCTTCTGGTACCTCTGCAGCCTGTCCCGTTTTCGCAATGTATCGTGACCGTAAGTCGTGTTTCTTTTATAGTTAAGCTTTTACTTCACCTCGGATTCATCCTAGCTTGTAACTTTGTTGATCCTGACTCCTTTCGTCCTGAGAGATGGTTAAATGGAGGTATTGGTGGTCCACACTGCACGGAAGCATACATTCCCTTTTGCTATGGCCCTGGAGTGTGCATCGGTAAGCCCGTTGCGATTTTTAATATGAAGTACGTTCTTCATATATGCTGCTTGTCATAAAACCCTTTTGCTCATACAAAAGCTAGGTGGTTGGCTGCAAGCATCATCAGATCGTTTGAAGTTAGCTTCCCGGCTGGCTTTGATGTGAACAAATTCGACGCATCTTATGAGGTCAGTAACTTAACCACTAGTCACGTATTTTCCTGATCTTGCATAGGAACACAATATTTGGGTCCACGATGAGCTCGTCGTTGAACTGAGGTCCTTACCTGAAGCTTGATCGTCGTGATTGTTCTTGACATGAGTCGTGGCGACATTTTACGCTCAGTTCATATACTCCTGTTGATCTATTTCAGCATTGCTCCTCGCCTATGTATCTGCTGAAATATCATAAAGGCTTGAGACTGCTCTGTCACGCACGCTCTTCTACTACTTTCTTGTATGAGATGTTGGTTTTTTCGTCCTGTTGAGATTCAGCCAGGCTAATGCGTCATCTTCTGGAACTCATCTGATATCGCTTCTAGAACAAGGAACGGTCTTACTTCTAGACACCATTGGCTGCACTTCTTGGCTGTCGGCTTCTATCCACGATTTGCCAGATTTCCTATCCGTAAGTAATATTGATTGAAAATAAACCAAGGGCAAGCTGTGCATTTCGTACAACAACGGTCATGACACATTCTCCTTGCGGAACTACAGTAACATTTTGTATACATATACTGCTATATCGACACGATCTGATGACCATAGCTATCACTATCCTGGGTCAAAAACTGCAAAGTATCAACGGATTCTTCCAGCCCACACCTTTCGCCAAAATCACCTGCCACGGCCTTCATATCCACATTCACATAGGACACAAAATGATCCAAAGGACACATCGATCCGGGACCATAAGCACATCCAGGAATGGGAACAGGTGCACTGTTCACTCTTACTCGTACGTACACACTTTCATGACCTGTGGCCGTCGTCTGGTTGGCGACATGGTACACGGTATCACTGCTATTCCCAGTCGAGCAGGCCAATCTCTCGAGAGCGACGTATCCGCGGAACGCTACAAGATATGAAGAGCGGAACATCCGGTCCGGTCGCCGCTGAGTCTTGGATAGAGGGTAGATGCCAGAGTTCGACGTGTTCCACAAGCCAAGGGCAGATATGATAGGAGGGAGATTGTTGTCATGCTACGAACGATGTTTAGTTAGGACTGAAGCTGGATACGGTTAATTAACCATACCGTGAAACCCATAATGAGTGGAGGCGGAACCACAGTGCCACCTTCTACCGTATTGTTGGGGCCAACTTCGAAGAGGTCCGAAATAGCCTTCACCCATGAGTAACCAACAGTAGCCGATAAAGCATTCCCTGGCCCGGACCTAGAAAGCATTAGCTTTCGGCTGCGTGAGCAGAATAAACGACAAACCCATAATAATAATTCAAGTCGTGGGCGTATTCGTAGTCCAGCCATTCCGATTCTGGAGAACATGTCAGTAAGCAAGTTGAATGGGGGAGATTGTTGTACCCTCAAATACGTCGCAGAATCTACGATCACCGCTAACCTCGTAGAGAAAGCCACAGAGGTCGCCCATTACCCCAACATCGGTTGCGTCCAGAACCAGGTCTCCTTCCAGGAACTGATTCAGCCTCTCTGCCATTGTACTCTGATACAGAGCCCTGTATGCAGTACTGATGGCAGATCCATTACTTGCATTGGAATATGCAGGGCACGATGCAGACGTGGTCAGCGAGTCAGCGTAGGTATCGTTCACAGAGTCCGGAAGGGTAACAATGTACCCTCGGTTGGAGTTTGTGTCGTTGATGTAGTTTCCTTGAGAGAGATAACCTCGCAGGAAATAGGTAGTTGTATCTACGCATCGTTGTTGACCAGCAGACCTATGTAGGATATCGTTAGGAAGTCATTGGAGATACAGCGGTTTGCAACTTACCAGGCGGTGAAGTTCTCCCCACCTGGGGTGAATTTATATCGTTTTCGCAGATCCACGCCAAGGGCGAAAGCTTCACCAGCACCGGTACTCGACAGGTACAGAGGCTGATGGTCTTCGTCGTCAATCGGTGGAACCCAAGACGAGATGAATTTGAGAGGTCCCCGCGCAGAGTAGGTATGGTTCTGGAACTTGTTGTAAAGGTCCTGCCAGCCTGTGTAAGAGCCTGGCTCAGGATACCGACTATCCTGCACGTCAGTCTGAGATAACAAGCCAAGAAGTTGGACGTACGAGCCGTGCCGAAGGATATATGCGGCCTGATCAACAACACATCCTTCAGGCGTTTCCTTTGAGATGCCAAACTGCGAAGGCGCGTCGAAATACGGCGATGCCGGCCCGGAATGATGAAGGGGGTTGAACGGAATACCGTGAGCGACCGAAACGAAGAAGAGAGACAGCGCGAAAGCGGTGAAGGAGGGCATCACGGGCCTGGGCGACAACTAAATTTCCATACGACTTTTATACACCGGAAGACGGGCCTGAGAGATAGAGAAGGACAACGGAAGGGATACGGATGGGAACCGCGGGCTAGCTCGACGAGAAACGTTCGTCATTGTACATGCAAAGGATCGATGGAACAACTGTTCTGGCTCTATTCGAATTCCGAAAGGAAAAGGAGGAACGGCCTGGAAAGACAAACACAGCGCAGCATTGATTGCCCTCTTCCATCACTACCACCAACCATGAACCTGCTATTTCCAATGTCCTTGACACCTTCGCCCTTGGAACATCCTGGCTGGTGGAATACATGTCTGAAGATCTTCTTACTGCCGACGTCAGGTTTTCCATGTCGCTCCCCGGAGATGTGGAGAGCGTCATCAGCGCTGTCGAGCATTTTTACTTGACCGACATCGCTTCCCTCGTTGCCAAGGCTATCCTCTTGTGCCATCGATCCCCACCTACCTCCGCTGGATGCTCGCCCCACTGCCTGGTAGAAATCTACTGCAGCAGGCTTCCTTTTTTAAAATTTTGAATGTGTCCATTCCCATGCTTAGGAAATTGCTCAGGTGCAACGATGTATATGCTCTGGAGGCTGAGATCGTTGGATATACAGAAGCGAACGACGAGAATGTCAGGCGGGGAGAACAAGTGTCCCTATAAGCTTTTGCTTTCGTATCTATAGATATCACAATGTTTTCCGTCTCTCTTCATAATGATATGACTCGCTCAGCCGTGACTCCCTCCATAACGCGATGGCCGCAAACGCTGCACCAGGCCCAACAGCCACAGAGCCAACCATAATCCACGCTGCTAGCCCTATCAACTGCGATACGCTCCGAGCAAACCACAGAGCACCAAGAAGACAGCTCCCAGCTCCTACAGCGAAATCCCATTGGAAGAGGTTCGCGGTATGCCACAAAAGAGCTTCGGTCGGCGCTATTGCATATGATGCTGGGAGAAAGAAGGCGAGAATGTCATCCAGCGACTTGAACTTGGAGACAGTGGAAAGATGGAGGGATGATGCCACGAGAAACGCGCCGATATAGGCTGCTTGGACGGTACGGAAGCCTGACTGCGAGTGCACAGTAGGAGGGCGGAAGAGGAGATGGACGCTGCCTGAGATGAAGCCGATGATAGGTGCGAACTGCCAGAGTCCTGTAATTCCTGGATCCTGCATGGCGACCATTACCACCGTGGGGATGATCCATCCCACGAAAAGTCCAAAGACCGCCGCCTCTGCATGCGCCTGAGTGACCTTCCCGCCCTTCTGTCTCTCAGCGCGACCCGACAAGATTTCGCATATCCAGTAGAACGGCATCACAGCTGCGAATGTTACCAACTGACCAAGGGTGCCGAATAAGAGGGCTGAATGACTGGTGGTGAACCGACGGCCTTTTCTCGCAGACTCGAAGGATTGATAGAGGACGGCAACTGGAGCCATAGTTGCGAGGAAGTAGACGAGGAAAGGCATGAGCTCTGGTTTCATGACGACATGGAACACAGAGACTATACCGCAAAGCCGAGTGTCGAAGAAAGCGATGTTGGTGTGAGGAATGAAATAAGGTGAGCCCGACTTGCAATAAGGTCGGATTGCTGGGCCAAGGAATTGTAAACTGGGCAAAATGTTTGTCACCTCGAGCGCCGTGAGGGCAGGAAAGAGAAAGAGAGGGAGAATAATGTCGATGAGCATTGTCCCAGCTCGAGAATTTTAGCTGACAGGTTTTAAAATGTGACCAGTAGCACTACGCTGAAAAGGACTGTTGTCGTGACGTGTGCTGCATCGTGATTTACTAAGAGGACTAATCCGAATAGCGTATAGATGAAAATTCTTCTTGTACAGGAATGAGCACCAAATTCCAGCTTCAAGGCCTTACAATTAGACAGATATTCTTACAACACCGACATGTAACAGAAAACATTGGCATATTCGGCAATCAAGAACCGAGATGGATCCGGCCATAGCAAGGACCGCAACGGGTGCCAGTGAACAATAGCTCTACATGTATAGCAGCTCCATACGTACTAGAAGCATAGCATTTCTTCAGCCCAAATTCTCCCTCTCGAGGAGGGACTCTACACCATTCCTAGCCCAGAGACGTGGGTAAGGTAAAAAAAACTCTGCACGGTTTTCATACTCCCAGCGGCAGAAGCGACTGGTAAGACGGCGGAACCCTGGCGAGGATGTTAGACAATTTAGATGGAACTGACTCTAATCACGTACAGTGATGCCCTTTGGAAGCCATCCACAAGCACTGATCAATCTCCTTCGAATCCCAGCCTCCAATCTTGCTTTCAGCTATATATGTAGTTTGACGGAAGTGTCGGGCTCCGTCAATTACCAACCCATCATACTGCCCCACGTCAAGTTCCAGTGTTAGAAAAAGCCAAAAATTGAGGTCGGGAACACCGACTCTGAGCAATTTGCAAAACACGTCAGACCAGTCACAGTCGTGTATGACCGCCGAAGGGTCCAAGTCTATGATGGAAACATACACGTCCATTCACCTCCTCCAGCGTTTGGGGGAGACATCAAACAGGAATCGGTCGTAACAGGTACGAATGGGAATACCACGGAGGAACTGTAAAGATGAATACCACCCAATGCCGATCCAAACGATTTTGAAAGATATATACGGAACAAGCGGAAACAGAGCTTAGAAACCACGGATGCTAGGTAGCGCATACACCTCTTTCACTGCTCCTTCCCTTTCGTTTTCTCGGAGGTCGACGAAGCAAGTAATGGTACGGGTAAGCCGGGGGATGAAGTCATGGTAGATAATGGATTTCCTGGACTGGGCGATGTCGCACAGATAGTCCAGGAATGTGAGGTTGGTGATATACATATCTTGAGAGGCAATAGGGCCATATACGGCTTTCCACGTTCGGTTGATGCTGAGGCAAGCGGCCATGAACGACTTTCGGATGGTGGACGGCATTTGAGAGTACCAGACTTGATGTACGATTATCTCTACAAGCTCTGGAGGAAACGTAGTCATGGTGAAAGAGCGAGACTCGGATGGCACGTGCCGTTTTAACGGACGGTAGGCCGAAGAGGATACTAGTAGTGTATATCGCATCCAAAGTAAGTCATGAATCTGGCAATCATGGGTCCCACAGAGGAAAGGGTGCCCATGCATACTTGTTCGCGCTCGGAGAACTATCGATACGAGACGGTGGGAAGGAGAACACCTGGCGGGTGTCTTTTTGGGAGGCAGAGTTCCTTTGGAGGAAAGAGACGACGCTGAGGATTATCTGGAGAAACAGCAGAATGCCGTTCGCGAGTCGCGACACATCTTTGGGGGAGGATTCCAGGAACGTTTCGGCCAGCCTTCCTCTTCAGCTGTACAGAAGATGACACCGACAGCGCCGTCTCAATCTCAATCTCAATCTCTTCCTGACACGCCTTTTGATTTGACTGCGGAAAACCGTGAAACCCTTGATCTACTGCAATCTCTCTTCGGTAGCGGTGACAATACGAAGGAATGAAAAGGTAAGAGCATAGGTTCATAAAGCCCTGGGGCGCCGCCGAGAGCATTGCCTCTGATATCGACATAAATGAATAACATTTGCTGGAGGGCGACAGTGAGGCTGGACTATGAGGTGGTCCCATTAGACACGACACAGGAGAAACCAAACCAACCTTCTTCAGCAGAAGAATCCACCATAGAAATGGAGGCTGCTGTGAATACCATAAAGATAAAACTGATTTGTCTCCACCTCGTGCAGATGAAGGTTACATCTTCCTATTTATACGTACAGAGCTGACGACTGCCGCCTGCGTCAGGCAGTGGCGGAAATACCAGTACCGGAGACGCTCCCAACCGTTGAAATTGTTCCTTCTTCCATTCAGCATTGTTCCATCTGGTCCTCACCTCCAAAAAACCATCCCTCTTCCTATTACCATCTTCCTCCCCCACTTTGGAACTTTCTGCGTCTAGACCAAGGGTGAAAAACTTAAATAATCGATGTCACTCGATTGAAACACTGGACAACGTCTCTATGTTCAACTGATGGCTTTCATAGAACGGCAACGGAAGAAGACAAGAAAAGGTAGAAGGGAGCAGAGGTGGACTGACTCATGTATGGAAGAAATGAGTCAAGGATGCTGGGAAGATGAAGAGAGGATGGGTTGCAACTGCAGACCAAGGTGTTTAGTTGGATGAGGTAACTGTCATGACTTCGGTATCGTCCTAACAGTACATTGTTTGAATACTTATAACTAGACGGCGTTGTTCCATCAGCTCATTTGTTTGCATTGTATTCGACTAAGTAGTATACCCGAGAAATGTTAGAGAACAGAATGGCACCAAGAGGGACAACAGCGATCCAGCTAAACGAAGACATCTCTAGTTCCACGCAAACTGCGCGTATATACCTAGGACTTCGCTTGTCTCAAGCGTACTATATGTCCCCACGTCACCCGACACATATTCCTTGTCCGACTGTACAATATTCAAAGTCTCCACCACCTGATCCACTACGAAGTCGACGAAGACGAAGTCGATAAGTGTGTCGTTCGAGACGTCCGGTGGGATGGACGCGATAAAGTCAGGTATAGAGTAAAAGGGAAGTGGTGTGTGAATGATATCGTCGCCAACACCCGGGCAGGACTGGAATGGGAATGAGAATGGCGAGGAAGCGAGGATAATGAGGACTTACATCAGTAGTAACATATCCCAACGTCAAATTATTTGTATCGCGCCTTCCTAGATCGATGGATCGTTGCCCCATTTCGCTTAGCCAGTCCATATACCTGGCTCGGACATCTCCTCGTCTGTATAGCTCTTCCTCCCGCCCCAAGCTTCTCTTCCGATTTTCTGAACCATTCTCATTCATTATCTGCAGAGTATCCAGGGCCACAGAAAGCGGAACCTCAGGTATGTAGAAGAATATGTCCGTGAACGGAGATGCAGTAAGCTGATCATTCTTGGTGAACGTTCCGGCATAAATATCGAAGCGCTGCGAACCGGAGTTGACGAGCATATAGTTGGGGTTGTTGGCACGACTGTTGTTGACAGATAACGCATACGGTGTAGCCTAAAAGTCTTTCTGTGATGCTGGATGTTGGAGACGAAATAGTTCATACCAATTCAGCAAAGAGGGATAATTGTGAGTCGTTGGAGGGATATGGCGCCCTATGATAGTCAAAGTATGAGGACTTTCATTGGAATATTGATGACACGAAACACGTACCGGGTGAGTGTAAAGTCATGTGGGGCTATTCCGAATGTAAAGTTTAAGTCAAAGTCAACAGCGAGCTGAAGCAGTCCCGCAGTGATTGCTTGTCCTTTCTTTGTATCGAAAGAAGCCTGGTTTTCTTGGGTGTGATACTGAAAGCCAAGTCAGGAGGGACATGAGTGAGAATAAAAATTGTACCTCATAAGTGACACGATTAGTATCTAAGTAGCGTCGGCTAAAAGTAAGATTGTTGGACCCATTCGTGCCGTCAAGCTTAACACCTGAATGGAAACACATGAATTATGACAGGCCGAAACGGCGCGACTGACGTACTCATCCAACCAACAGTCTCCATATAACGCCCGCTTTCCAGTGACATAGATCGGCCGTCAAGTTGAACTAGTAATGTACTCAATGCATTAACCTCATGCGTAACACGATCGGAAGAACGTTGATCACTCACGGCAGTCCCGGATGTGAGTGTGACCTGCCACCATATAAATAATCTTGGAAGTATTGAGTATAGGGTGAGGGAGATTACTGACCGCCGAGAATGAGAATAGGCGTTGTTGCATGAACGGCGCGTACGGCATTGAAAACCAAAGGCCCTGGAGGCCGTTCCTAGAATCAGTACAGAGTTTTCTTGCACGAGGTGACACATCGAGAAGCACCAACAATTGTCACGAGAAACGGGCATGTGTCTATGTCATTGATGCAATGATCAGTACCTTTCGCAAAGTGAGGTGGTGCGACTGACCCGGCTAGCAGAAAAAAGTCAGGTTCATCCTTGATAGCTTCCAAGAACTATGAAAAGTGCATCAGTATATTCTTTTCGGTGTGACGAAGACGCACCCATGACTCTTTGACCATATCTTCGACCTTCTGGACAGTGGTGTTTTGATCATTTCCGGTGAAGTCATAGATAACTCCAAGCGCAGTAACCGTTCGACCCCTAATATGACGTTACGAAACATTAACAGTCGCTTCCGTTTAAAGACCTAATCTCTTCAGTGGGACTTACTTCTGCGTCTTGAACTTGGCAAATCGGCCTGAGGGAGACAGATGTTAATTCATTTTATACCTTATCATAATAATAGCATTGTACGTACTACCCACAGGTACATCGACAGTGTTGTTGTTCTGATCGGCCAAAGTAATGTTGACATTGGACGAAAGATATCGACCGTTCAGCTTCGGTGCCAGATTTAGATGCCTGTGTGAATACGAGAAGTGAGCGGTTACTAAAGGCGGTATTCAACTAGGCAGACTGACATGTCAAGAGTGTCAGCATAAACGTATAATTCGTGGCTACGTTCGATCAGAAAGTCCATGATGTAATGATTCACGAGTCGCGTACTTTCCAATGGCCATGACATCGTAAGGAAGTTCGGCGAGAAACTTAGTAGTCTGAGGAAATGAAAAGTGTCACTAGTTACACAAGAGAATGACAACAGTCGAACTGACTTCATGACCATCGACACCGCCGGGAGGGTAACCATCCGATAAACCGGTGCCTGTTCATTTGAGGTTGGTCGAAATAATTCTGATGTGACTCGTTTCGTACTCACCATCGTGTAGGTCCCCGGAGTCCACGAGCAGAAGGTCCACATCTTTCTCCTAGCATAAACGAGAATCATGATCAGTTGGAAGAGTCATAGATGGCACCTATTCACGACTGCTATCTTCTTCATATGTGACACGAACGACGCAAAGTCACCTAGGTCACCACTGGCACGGCCCCATATAAGATACCATACAGAATTCCTAGATATACTAGCTACTCACCTGTAGTTAGGCTCTGGGAACGAAGCCTTTTGGTGACCGAGAAGCCATCCATGACTGTCCGTGGTGTGAATGATATTGATATCGCCCCATTCCAATGGTCGAGTCGGTGGGGTTAGTGGAGACGAAGGATTTGCTCTCCTAGGATGTTCATGGACGTGCCCATCGCCGTCAGCACAGGCCCAAGCGGTGGAAATGACAGCAAAGACAGCCGAGAGTTGTATCAGCATGACGAAAGTCGACTGTATTGACACGGAGCACTGTTCAAGCGCTTTATGGGCATGATCCTTACGTGCACATGGGTGTGGGTATTCGCGTCATTCCGCTCAGGGCCCTGACCCTGAGCACAAGTTGAAGTTGTTTGATCGGGACACTGACTTGCGATGTGCCACTTCCTCTACCGCTTCGTCAGTAGTCCATAGAGTCCTTGAGGAAATTGCAATTATCGGGCTTCAGTGGGAAATTCAAGTCGAATGGCCGGTGATTCAATGATTGTGTTCCTATGTCTAATCAGGACAGGGCAAAAGAAGAGTCTTGCTGGCTGACGTGCTTTCTAGAAGTGTAACGGTACATGATTCCAGACCGTAACAAAGTGAAACAGTGCCATATCTATCTTACGAGTATATTCAATGTCTCCATCAGTTGAACTCGGTGTTCCTGGGGGCTTGTGAACCGGAGTTTATGACCACGTAAAACCCTGAGGCAATCTCGGATATGAGTGTGACCTGGAATTGTACATGTTAGATTTTAGGTCGGATAATCGAACAACAGACATCACTAACCGCCGAGAGTAATAATGGTTGTCATTGGATGAACAGCGCGTACAGCATCGAAAACGAAAGGCCCTATGAGCCAGATGTGGATCAGTACCGGAGACACTGACAGAAAGAGACATCCAATAATATCAACATTTGTCACGAGCAACAGGCATGTGTCTATCATAATGATCCGGACAACTCTTTCTTACGAATACGGGACTGGACCTACCAGCCAACTGTTGGAATTTAGGTGCTGGCGATTCGGAGGAAGGCGTATTGGACTCGAAGGAAGGGTATACTTCGTCGTATAAAGTAAGGACAGTGGTGGTTCCGAGTCAAGTCAATAAGGTACAAAAAAAATGTCAAAGTATAAGGTAAGCAGTAAAATATATATAAATAGAATATGATATTAAAGCCGTGAAAACTGAATCTCAACACCAACAAGAGGTCAGGTTCTTTTTGAATGCCTCCTAAAAACTTTGATATTTTTAAGTACATCGTCTTCGATGTAATTATGGGAAGAATTACCGGGGCTCATTCACCATATCCTCAACCTTCTGAACAGTAGTGTTATAGTCGTTCCCGGTGAAGTCGAATATGACTCCCAGAGCAGTGACTGATCGACCTCCAGCATTATGGTACGTTAATAAAATCTTCTGTCGTGGCCTTCCTAGTGAAGACTAACTTTCGCATCTTGAACTTGGCGAACCGATCTAAGGGTTGGGGGTATCACTACCCCCATCACCATTGCTAGAAAAAAAGTGGTACGTACTATCTACAGGCAGATCGATTCTGATCGGCAACAGTGATATCGACATTCGATGAAAGGTATCGCCCGTTAAGCTTCGGTGCTAAATTCTGATACCTGAATATTCAGGAAGTTAGTTGCTGCGGACAATTAGACTCAATTGGGCAGACTGAATGTAGCATAAACATAGAGTTCATGGCTAAAATGGAGGTCAGATTGCCGAAAACATAGCAAGAAAAGCACCCACTTTCGATGGCCATAACATCGTAAGGAGTTGGGCTAAAAATTGAGTGGTTTGTGTGAAGTAAGCTGTGTTAGCACTTTGAGCTCGAAGAGCTGGTCAAGTTGACCTCACGGCCATCGACACCGCCGGGCAAATAACCGTCAGATAGACCGGTACCTAAAAGATGCATGTTGAAATACGTCAGAAAAATTCTCTCCGTCCTCACCATCGTGTATGTCTCTGGAGTCTACGAGCAAAATGTCGACACCTTTGTCCTAGGCAAACACACACCATTAACGAGAAAAGGCGGACCATGACAGACTCACGATTGCTATCTCCTTCATATGTGCCACAAACGACGAAAAGTCACCTGGATCGCATAGATATCTGAGATCCCAACCTGAATGTGTGCTATAGCCTACGCTGCTGCTCACCTATAATTGACCTTCGGGAAGGACTCCTTTTGGTGACCAAGCAGCCATCCATGGGTGTCCGTCGTATGGATTATGTTGATATCTCCTCATTCCAGGGGACGAGATGGCAGAGTTAATGGAGACGACGGATTCAATCTGTTAGTGCGCCTATGGACATACCCGTCGTCGTCGCCACAGCTCCAAGAGACGGAAATCGGGCACAGATAGCAAAGGATCTTAACAACATAGTGAAAGTCATATTCCAATGAGTCGAACATTGCTGGCGCGCTTTATATGGCCGAGGATGCTGTAATCGACCAAGACATCTTGAAGGAAAAACTATTCTTACGTACGCATCATCATACACGTATTGCACGTGAATAGTAACGTTTATTAGCTACCCTACCTACCTGCCATGATGAACTTGACGAATATCTAGAAAAAGGTAGGTAATTGGCAGTGCTCTGGCTCTGACACGAATCAATGTCTGACCCTTGGTGCTCTCAGAAATGTATCTTGCGAAACTCCCCGTACCTCGAAGGACATCCACTGGTCTCGTCTGTGTTGAAACAAAGAAGGAAGATGCTTTGATTAGTCGTCGTGGCTCCTAAGCAGAAACGGAACGAGAGTTTTGAGACTTGATCGTTTCCACGTCTGTCTGTGCCTGAGTTACCTGTCTTACTGTCTCTCAACGCTACCTTGGGAAAACAAGGACGACTTTAATCGAAGCAAAGTGACGACCCTATCTGAAATATGAAAGATTGACCACTACTTATCACCACGTACTTCCAACCTTCGAACATTGGGGGCACGGACGCACGTCGATGATACAGTTACACTTCAAGTATTTGCATTATATTTATATGCCAGCATTTCAGTCCGTCTTCGCTTTATCCGCGGAATGAGATCTATCTGGCAAAACAGCAGCGACGTCGTCTATCTTCTTGAACTGCCAAGGGAATCGAGAGGGATACAGGAATGGGCGCAGGTCGAACCCTGATGAAAAAAATCAATCACGACTATTTCGAAACCGGAAATAGGCCCACTGTTATCGTCGGGACTATATGATTCCTAACGGAACCATGAGTTTTACACATGACCTGTGAGGGAGTAAACGTACTGCATGATAGGACGGCGTCAATGTAGTCATCTTGTGACGATTGCGGGCGTGTTCGAAGAAGAATAGTTTGACCTTTTCTGCAATTTGTACCGGAGACAAGAACGTCCCCCATTCATGCACAAGCTTGGTGAACATGCTATAGGGTCCGCATTTCTCCACCTTGCGTAGTCTACCAAAGACAGATAACTCGTCGTAGGTCATACCCATGTCGGCCTGATAGAGATGCTTGAGCTTCAAGTAAGCCAACTACGAGAATGAACCTACCTCGTCAGCCTGTACATAGTTCTCAGTAATTGGTTCTAGCTCAGCCGTCGGAACTGCATCCAAGAACCTGGTCGACGATAAGCACAGAACCGAGGTCTAAGAAGGGTGTATCTTACTTCGCCAAGATGGGCATATCAAAGGAGTCTCGGGCGTAAGCTATGAATTTCTTTAGGTCGGTCTTACTAATGCCCCCGATGGGATTGATATCAGCTAGAACAGTTTAAGAGGCCTTGGGAGAATCACTGCCAGGAAGCTACACACCCGAAGAGCAGTCGTATTTTGTAAGGTAGCCACGTAGACTATGCAAACAGGGTCAACCATTAGAGGTACCACAAGGAATGGTTACACCACAGTACCTTTCATCTACATTAGCGCTTCCAAGGACCAATAATCCGCCTACACGTCCCCTAACCCATGGAAGGAGTTGAGCAAAAAGATAGGCAACCACCATTCGCAATCTGGCCTAGTAAACAGCAATTAGATAATGACGCGACACCGTAGGGGCACTCCTCACTTGAATGTTTTGCAAGGCTAAATTCTCTGCGTTGCTACCCCCGTGAGCTTGGAACTGAGGCTTTACACCAGTAACGAAACCGAACAGATTTCGAACAGCTGTGACAAGAGAATCCATATTTAAGTCTATATGATAGCTGGAAAAGGGTAAGATCTCGACGAACATAAGGGGTCGATAAAACTAGCACCTTCCGATAGCCTCAGACAAATCCTTTGCTCGTTTACGAGTCTCTGCACTGGAGTTCTCCGTACCCATGTAACAAGTATGGAAAATTCTACTGCAAAATTCGCGTGGATCAGAAGGAATGTACCCAGAGTCGGCGGGTTCTCCGACAATGCGCCGGGCATCTGCGATCACCTGCTTATCTACGCCAACATTTAGTAAAGAGTGTGACAACACGATATCACTGACCTGCTCTGCGCGCGGCTTCTGCAACGAGTCTACACATGGAAAACACGATGACTGCAGTCGCACAACTGTCGATACCACCGCTCAATGGGACGAAATATCCTTGCGTACGCGATCGGCGAAGGTAGTCCCAAAGCCAACACGCTGGACCCAAACTTTGAAAACTTGAGCCGCAGGATGTATTCATCGAAACGGTACTCACGCTATCTCTTCTTCGGGACTATGATACCTTACTTCATAAGGTCGGGAGGATAAAAATCCCACCATGTCTTCGTCCCTCACTTCCTCAAACTTGCCCGCTGACAACGAAAACGGAACTTCGATACGATGATATCTTTCCGCGGAAGCTGCTTGCATGGCTCGGCTGCTGATTGCACGGTGGCTGCGGACATCCTCGATATCAATTGTTGCAGTTATGACCTCGACGTCATTCAAAGAAAACTGAGATCCCTGAGCCACAATCCTGCCGTTGACAGCGATCATTGCACATCCGTCGTAATACAGTCTATCACCATCGCATCCTTGTTGGTTCGCATACAGATAAATGCCTCCCAACTGAACAGCCGTTAGTGAATATTACAGCTCTGCGCAACTGAAAAGAACCTTTAATGTGGCCTCCTTTATTAACTCGACGCGAGTGTAGAGTTTCCGGAGTTCGTGATGACTACCGCTCGCATTGGTGAAAATTTCGACACCATCTAAACCCATGAGAATATGCGGACTGACATTACAGACCTCAGAGAGGCACACAGAAGGGTGGAAACGAACGGACCTAGCAGGGGTAAACAACTCTTCGCACAACTCCACCCCAAAGCAAGTATCCGCAGTACTCACAACGGCATCTCCAAAAGGTACGGTAATCTCATTTGCCATCAGTCACGGAACAAGTCAAAAAGAATGGAAATACCTGTGAAGTGACGGCCTGGATGATCCTCGGCAAAAAATGGTTTTCGCATTGCCTATGTTTCATCCATGGCGTGAAATATCTAAGTTCACGATAGTTTCCATTGTTAGCCATCCACATTTTCGGCCTGATCAAAAGGATCTTCCTGTCGTGGATAATCACCCTACAGTTATAGATAACGTTCTTGTGCACGACGGGCCTGAGCTTGGTTGAAGTATAAACGAGGGAGTCTATTATGACATGGCTTACATTCCCAAGTCGCACACAATTCCTGTGGCCTCTTCAGATGCCAAAATCTTTGCCAAGACTTCCCAGGAATGAAGTACCGTGTCGCCTGCGGAAGATAAGCCAGTGTCAAATCATAGATGATGGAAAAATACCTTCGAGAAAATGATCCAGACATCCATATCCACTGAAAACAGTCAATGCTTCATCGTCACAGTTGACTATATTCTCACGGAATCTCAAGTTCTGGCCCCACTCTCAATGTTGCGCCTCGACTCTTGGCGATAGCGATGCTGGATAGAATTCTCTCAAAGTTTCCCTGGTACATCCAATTAGATGATGGTAAGAGACATGGTCAACTATCGCAGACGTTACTTGAAAATCAAGAGCCCATTGGTTGAGTGAACTGGAGGAAATGATTATCAGACAGAGCTAAAGATCACGGCAATTTGACTAACCATCTGCGAGAGGATGAGAGCAGGAAGAAAGCTTGAAAAGACTACTTACGTTGCGAGTGTGATGAGGTGACCCATATGGACACAACGAGAAGATGAACAGGGATGACAAGTTGTTACTTAAGAAGACCAGAGAGACCAGAACTCAGGAGTCACTGAACCGGCCAATACCGGCCCGGTTTTATTTGGAGCAGACAGGTTTGGTCAACTAATTGTACAGCTTGCCTTCTGGATTATTACCCTTGCTCCTGGAACGCCTGGTAGCATCCTCTTCTTTCCGGGCACCACCATTAAACAGTGCACGTACAAGGCATACTTACTTTACTGTCATGGGCATGTTGGGCTGAAACGTACTTGCTGGTGTACGTGGCACTTTCGGAATTTATACTGGACAGGAAACATCTTCGTGCGTGCCAAGAATACACTTTTTCAATCAAATATCTAACATTGCAATCTTACCAGTATCTTAAAATTCTCAGATATGACAACATCATCCAACGAGCCTGATGCGGCTTTGCGAATTACGGTTACGCCCTCTCAGTCTTCGTACTTTGCCGGAGAACCGTTCGCGGTGACAATCACCTTCACCAATACGCACTCTCCTGAAGCACCTGTACAGCCTAGATCAGCTTCCCATACTCACAAGAGAGGAGCCCACTCCATAAGCTCTGCACCCATTTCCCGACCGCCGACATCGCCTGGTACCCGTACACCAAATTCATTCGTTCCCAAACGGCCACGTAGGGGAGACGTTCTTCCCTCAAGAAAAGGTCTCATCGGCCAGAAAATTGAGCCCCGGGGTTCTGATACACTTCCGGACTTGATTGAGCAACGGCGAAAAAGGTTGCTAGCAAAGTCATTGTCTGTTGCCATTGCTCCCCACGAACTCGAAGATGAACTTGCCGACATTCCAAGGTCTGTATCGTTTCTCCAGCGTGGGTTCGATGATGGGCCTTATATAAGTATGTCGCGGTCTCAGTCTCTTGGTTTGTTGTCACTTACACTTCCCAGACCCTACGTCGCCCAACGTTTCCTCGCCTCTTTCGCGGTCAGATACGCTTCCACTTGCCGCAAACCACCCTCATGCACGAAAAGATTCATTGCTTGACGGACAACTGTCTCTCCGTGAAATGACGTCCCCGACGAGCGTATCTTCTCCGTATACGCCGACATCTTCCACTTCGACATTTTCCCTGATCCTTGATCCAATCATAGAATCAACAAGCATGACGCATCCTACACCGTCCGTTTCGTCCCCACGAATAGAAACGGCGTCTTCACATTTCCCATCAAACGCCGTTCACGCGTATCCATCGTCCTACCGTTCTTCGCGATGTCCAGCACAAATAGGACTGGGTCAGCCTCCACCAGATACTAGGCTTCGTATCCCGCCCCGAACCGCATTTTCATCCACGTTTCCACAGACAAACACCGAATTAATACTTTACTCATATGTCCAACTGACGGGTTCACTAATGATCACAACGACACCTATCTCGTTGGAGCAAACGCATACCCTCAACTCCTTACGATCATCCCTTCTCAAACGCCCTGTCGTTGGTGGAGGAAGTATGGACATTACTTCTTCGCAAAACCTACGACCCCGTAACCGGCGCACGCATAGTCGCTCATCATCTATATCTTCGGGAATACTGTCTCTTCTTTCTCCTTCTTTGTCGACCCCTTACTTCCCCTCGACCCCAGGCCTGTCATCAGGAAGTCTGCATAGTGCACGGACACCTACATCCTCGTCATCATTTCCCCCTTCTTCCTGGATGGGATTCAGCCCGATCGAAGACGTCGATCCTGATGTGCCCCTCCCCATCATTGAAATTCAGCCTGTGATGTTAGCTGTGGACCTCTCTTTGTTGCCTGGCGAGTCAAGAACATGTATGCCTCCCCTTATTCGGTTCTGTTACTGTTTCTAACTGGAACACAGATACATATACTGTTTCACTGCCTTCCAACCTACCGCCGACATTCCGTGGCCGATCATTCAAGTTCTCATATGAGCTAGCGGTAGGTACATGCCGCGCAGGAAACACGAGTTCAAATAGTATCAGTCGAGTAATGAAGGTGCCGATCAGGATGTACAACAACGTTCAAGGTAAGCAGCTCAGTTGATAATATTATGTCTGAAACGAAACTCATGAGGACCTAAGTTGGTCGTGCCCCGCGTCCATACGATCTATTGTGGCCAGTTAAAACTCGGGTGGATATCAGTGGATCTGTCACAGAAGATACGCTGCTGCAGAAAAAGGAAAAGACGAGTACAGGATCCCTTGAGGAAGTCAAAAGCTATGCGCGACATCTCCTGCTATCTATACCTGACCCAAACACCAACGACGCCAGAATCCAGGTGCCTCCTGAAACAGTTGGCGAAGGGAGAGGATGGCGTCGGCACTATTCACATTCAGAGGAGGACTCAGGGGGACTAACAGGGTGCAGAGAAGCTGTAGAAATCTTGACGCGAATTCCAAAAAAAGGTAGACACGCTCTAATACTATCGTCAGGCACCATTAAAAGCCGTTTTTTCTCACTAGCTTCTTACGATGTCACCAAGGACGGTGTTAAGGTTGCTGTCCTCACGTTTACCAAGTCTGCTTACAGGTTAGGGGAAACTATTCAGGGTGTTGTAGAGTTGAACGAGCGGACAAGCCGATCAAGGGTCCTACAGATGTCTGCGATGCTTGAAACACAGGAACAACTTCCATCGTCGGTAGCTGGTCCATCCAACTCCAGACACTCGCGGCGAGTTCACGCTGAACACCACTCCTCCTTTACTCTCTCCACATTACGCACCACATTTTCTCTTGACATACCATCTGATGGCAGTCCGGCTTTCCAAATATCCATTGGCGATGATTTCTCCGCCAAGCCGGGCGGGTTAGAGTGGAAAGTTCGTTTATGCTTACTGGTTTCTATTGCTGCAGAGTCATCGCACGCGGGTTCCGAGGGTGTAAGGATGAAGAGTCTTGTTCGGGATGGGCCTGATGGTGAATGGGGTGCCTCGTGGTGGGCTACAAAAAGCATCGCGCCAATGGAGAAGTCCATCGTGCCTGCGCTTCCTCCACAGCCACAAGGATGGGCGGCATATCTGGCTGCATCTATCCTAGGCACAGGGGACAGTGAGTATCACGATGGGGATGAGGAAGATGTCGAAGTGATCGATGGGATAAAAGCTGAACCTGGTGGCGGAGTGGGGATTGGAGTCGATTTTGGAGGCGGTCGTGAAGGCTGGAAGGACGTCAAGGTAGAGACTGTTGAGTGTGATGTGCCTGTCAAGGTCTGGCCAGGAAATACTGCTTTCAAAGCCTTGGACGTCGTGTTTACAGTATAAACCTTTTCGCGGATTTCTCCTTTCTTACCTGGAGCCTTGAGGATATTGTCACTGTATTTATCTACATTAAGTTATAATGCACCAGATTTGTTATTGCATTCAAGACGCCTTTCAAATCATCCGGTGATTCTGTCGGTGAATTCTGGTTACATAAAAATAGAATATCAGTCGTTTCGCACCTATTCATTGCAGCTATCGCGAAGTTGTGCTTTTTTGAGAAAATATAGCATGTATATTCCCTCTGTGGATGCCTGAACAAATCTGAAGAATTCAAGAGCTTCGAATTCTGGACTTACCAGATGTCCTGGTCATCTATATCATCCCGTTCCTTTTCTAACTGAAGAAATGGCGGGTGAGACCTTTTAGCTCTCCATCCCGAGTATGGATCAAGAAGCATTCCTTAACATACCTTATGGCCAGTCCATCGCTGATGAAAATGTGTGCACGGGTTCATATCTCGTTTGTCATGTTGCACTGACTAGGCAATTACTAGCGTCTCATGGTCTCTAAACCTCTGAATACGTCCTGGGACGCCCCTTTAAACGCTACTTCGTGGGGGAAGACGTGCCCAGGAGGGACTAATGCGCAATTATTTGGTGTCGAAGAAGATTGCCTGAGCATCAACATCATCCGACCGGAAGGTGTGTTAGACGAGGATGAACTGCCTTTCCTCCTGTGGATGTAAGTAGCCTGGTTTCAAGAATGATGAATTAGTCAGATCAGGATTTGGCAGATACGGCGGGAACTGGTATGTAGGATCTGCAACGGACCCCCGTTTCAACGGGAGCTATATTGTACAGCGTTCTGTTGAGCTCGGAAAGCCTATTGTGTGTATTTATTCCCAATCTGCGCCTGTTCTGACGTATTATACGTCATAGATCTTTGTTTCTGTCAATTACCGTCTATCTGTTTTGGGGTTCTCGCTAGGAGAGGAATCTGCAGATGCCAGTATACTCAACCTAGGTATCCGAGATCAAGTAAATGCCCGTCATAGTTTCTTTCCTGGACACCTTTTGATATTTCGCTGTGATAGAGACTGGTTTTGCAGTGGCTTCAGGATAATATATCCGCTGTACGCTACAGATCTCCTCTTGCGGCTGGAACTGACTAAAGGTTTGTAGTTTGGTGGATCACCTAAGAAAGTTATTATTCTGTTGGTGAAATCAGCGTCACTATCCATATGGCCGCTTATGGCGGTCAAAATGAAGGTTTATTTCGGGCAGCCATAGTAGATTCAGGCGTCTTCTCCATAAGGAATGGGTTAGTTTTTTCCCAGGCTGCTCTTTGAAATTCTCGTAAGTTATGTGCAAGATTGGATTTTGTGTTTTGGCTGAAGATTTTTAGTGCTGGAAACTGCCGGCTGTAATAACTCATCCGACAGAATTTCATGCCTTCGCTCCATGCCGTTTGCTGATCTGTATGCAGCCACCTTGAACGTGACCTACTGGCCACTCGAGGTACCAGACAATGATTTCATTCAGGAGTTTCCGTACAAGGCATTGCAGGATGGCAACTTCTTCAGCGTTCCTGTGATAGCTGACAATAATAAAGACGAAGCAACGTGCAAATACTGACACCTTCAATGTGGTGTTCCATCTAATGGTATCCATGCTAGTTGGCTTCAATCCTCCTCTAGGTGTGAACGACGAAGATACACTGAGGCAGGGCATTGCTCGTAAGGACAACGTCCAAAAACGTAAACAGGACTGATCAATTTATAGGCGGCTTCTCCGACTTGAATCCCAGCAATGCAACCATCGACAAAATACTATTACTTTATCCTAATGTCCCATCTGAAGGATGTCCTTACAATACTGGGGAAGGTGTGCTACCTTGTGGAATCATGGATAAAAGGTCCTACGCCATATGGACTGATAGTATTGTTGCCGGGACACGACACCTACTTTCCCGAAATTCTTTGAGATCGCCCACTTGGAGTTACAGGTTCCACCAGGTTCCTCAAAATGGGACTATGGAGCTGGTGTAGGTCACTTTCAGGAACTGCCATATGTGAGATTTCAACCACAGTCTTGCAGCTCTCCATTTGACATACTGTTCAGATATTCGGCGTCTTGGAGCGGACACAACGGACGCCACTTGGTAACCGACCGGGAGACTTGGAAACTTACAAGATTGTGTTCACAGCTTTTTTCTCCGTTTCAGTGCTGGAGTGCTGATCATTGATAATTCCTTTAGCCAGACATACTGGATAAATTTTGTTCATGATTTTGATCCGAACGATAATGGTTAGATACGTTACAAGATCGAGGCACCACTTTGATGCTGAAATATTCTCTAGCATCTATTTTCTGGCCATCATATGGCGCTAAGAATCCGCAGAATATTGTATTCGTTAATCACCAAACTCAAGTGGTTTCCGATACGTATCGTACAGAGGAAGTCAAATTTCTCCAGGATATTGCAAGCGGTAGAATTAAACATTAATCTATATTCTTCACACTTGTGTTTCTTTTTTGTGGTCCACAATGCACTCTAAATACTGACTTGCGCTCGATGGCGGTGACGCCACATCGGTATTTTTCAATAACGCCGAAGCACGTGCGCTAACGTTTTCTTACATGAGCCTGCGCGCTTCCCCTTTATTTTCAACCCTCGTCTCCGTGGTCAGAATATGGCGCGTCAACCGAGCGCGTCATTCAACAACGTTTGTGTGAAAGATGCTAGGACAGCGATGAAAGCCAAGACTGAGAAAGCGGTGAAGGCTGAGAAGGTATCCAAGGTAAAGGCCGAAGACGCGAAGCAGAGCAAAGGGAAAAGACGTGTTCGCGACGAGAAAGAGGATCCCCAAGGACGTGACGACAATGGGGAGGGAGATGCTGAGGGAGACGGAGATGCTTTTGATGAGGAGGATGAGAGTGGCTCTCCCAAGGGCCGTAAGCGGACGCGTTTGAACATCAATGGTGACTCGCAACCTGTCGATGATGACGATGACGCTTCGGAACGAAAACACGTCGTAACGCTACCTAGAGACACGGACGGGTGAGTTGCAAGGCGCCTTGCCCCCGAATTCGCTGCTCATACTTTGCAAAGGTTCATTCCTGGTTCTATCGTTCGCATACAGCTGCAGAATTTCGTGACTTATGACTGGGTTGAATTCCGGCCTGGTCCTTATCTCAACATGATCATTGGCCCTAATGGTACTGGAAAGAGCAGTATCGCATGCGCTATCTGTCTTGGTCTTGGGTGGTCGCCGCAGGTTTGTCTCTTTATCTATATATCTGTAAAGTTGAGCCTGATGCAATTTCGTTTCTGGTAGATTCTAGGCCGTGCCAACGAGATAAACTCGTTTGTGAAGCAAGGCAAGACATCAGGACACATCGAGATAGAACTGAAAGGCCCCAAGGGCAAACCGAACTTGGTTATTCGTCGCAACCTGACCTCTACGTCGAAAACTTCTACTTTCACTTTGAATGGTGTTTCGGCTATTGGAAGAGAGATATCGTCACAGATGGCTGCTCTGAACGTCCAAATCGGCAACCTGTGGTATGTTGACTATAATATTATTTCTTAAAGGACTACTATCAATATTCGACCATCAGTACATTCCTGCCTCAAGACAAAGTGTCAGAGTTTGCTGCGATGAGTCCTCAAGATCTTCTGAAGGAGACACAGCGTGCGGCCGGCGACGAGAATCTAACTTCGTGGCACAAGACTCTGATTGAGGCTGGTGCTGATATGAAGAAAATTAATGACGTGGGTGCCATTATGTATCATTTATTCACGTCCTGATGCTCTTTCACAACAGCTTATCAAAAGCGAAATGGATCAATTGAAGCAGATGCGGGAGCGTAATGAGACCATCGAACGGGATGTTCAGCGGTGCTTAGAGCGCCAAAAGATCGAGCAAGAGGTGTGTCTCGATCCCAGCAAGACCGCTTATAATAGACTCACATGATGAAGATTGCCCTATTGGAAGTACTCGTTCCCGTCCAAAGGTACCGGGAGGCACGAGAGAAATACCAAGCCGTTAAAGCAGAGCAACGTCGGTGCCACAACAGGGTCGTAGCATTGAGGAACAAGAATGCACCCGCTCATGACCTGCTGAAGTACGCAGTTTATATGATTTGACCACTGCTGTTCAATCCTTCCTCAGGCGACTTGCCCTGCAACACAAAAAACTCGAGAAGGATCGAGAAGATTCGAAGAGATCTACACAGAGCAAATTCAAAAAGATCAATGAGAAATGGAATGAGAACGAGAGATTGGTATGTGTGATTTATTATTTGGCATGCGAATCTGCGCTGAAGATGCTACTAGGAAAACGCCGCTGACGAGCTCATCCTGAAACTTGATACACTTAACTTAGAGGAGAAGAATCGTTCAGGAAAGATCAAAACGGTCCGAGCTGCCATTGAAAGCATTCACGAGGAGCTGGCGAAGGAGGTCAAACTTGAAAAGCAAGAGGATCTAGTTCGTGAGATGGTATGCTTCACCTTTGGATTGTCTTTTAAACACGGCCTGATGGTACCCTCAGAATGAAGTACGACAAGAGAGGCAAGGCGTCATCGGACGCAAGCGAGAGCTTGAAGCAGAGATGAAAACTAATCTTGATCAAGAGTATCGCTTCAAGAGCCAACTCCAGCAGTCGAAAGATGAGTGGGTCTATACACTAGTACTTTGGACCGCCACTCATGTTTATCAGACTTGGAAAACTCGACGATGTCGAGGTCCGCAAGTTTCAGATGCTGTACCACTGGGACCGGGATACGGCGGATGCGGTTACATGGTATCGTAATAACAAGGACAAGTTCAGGATGGAGGTTTTTGAGCCTCCTTATCTTTCAGTGAATGTTCCAGATCGCACTTTTGCAAGCGCAGTTGAGATGGCTTTCAGTGGCAACAATATGAAAGTGGGTATATTGCTTATGCTGTTTGCGGCTCATCATTGATGCCTGCGACGCAGACCTTCGTCGCTCAATGTCAAGAGGACTACGATACCCTGAACCATAACATTAACGACAACCAGGTTCTTGGTCGAAAGGTTTGGGTAACTACGTGGTACAGAGCCCGCATGGATCGGCTTTTCGTTCCGCCACCTATGGAACGCGACGAGGCATGTGCTAACTTTCCGTCATAAAAATATCTGACGTCGGTGTTCTATAGCTGGCCAGACTTGGCTTTTCTGGATATTTACTGGACTATCTCACTTGTCCGCAGGGTTTGGAGTGGTTCTTGCAGGTTGAACTGAATCTACACAGGATTGTAAGCACCACCATGTTTATATAAATCTGTTAGGTCTGACGTAAACTCTCACAGGCCGTTGGAGGCCACAATGTCGATGTCAATCGTGCAATGGACGTAGTCTGTCACTCACGAACTGGTCCAGCAAACTTCATCGCTGGAACGACATACAACATCGTCACACGCTCCAGATATGGCAAGAGATTGGCACAAAATATGACTCGTGATATTGGACAAGCAAAGAGTTTTGTTGCTACATCCGGTGAAATTGTCGTTGTTGCTTACATTGGTTCCTTGCTGACCTGGCTTCAGTTGATCCTGAGATCAAAAATCGGATTGACCGAGAAATTGCTGAGCACAAACAAAAGCTTGACATGCTTAAGGAGGAACACGATAAGCTTCGTTCGCAACTGTCCGCTGTCGAAGCGGAAGACTCCAAATTCCAAAGGCGAGCTGTGAGTGTTGTCTTGCCTGTTTTTTCTTTTCTGACAGCTCATCAAGGACGACATCAACACTCGCAGAGAAGCCATTCAGAAGGAAGTACAAAGATGCACCACTTTGACGACCAAGCGAAGTAATAAAATTTGTTCCTAAGTTTCTTCTAGCATATTCCTAACTGTAATACTACACAGAACAGACTGAGGCTGCGCTCCAGAACTTGCTGAACGCGCCGTCTGTAGAGCAAGAGCGTGCTCAGATCAAGAAAGGTATCTATAAGATATCGAAGGAGCGCGTCAGAATTGTCAAGGAATACAAGGTGTGTTGCCCCCGCACCCGGCGCTGTTGTACAAGACTCATCCAGTCCCAGGAATATGCCAAATCCATCATCGAAGAGCAGAGCAAGGCGACAAGTATGGGCTTAGAATTTCTCCAAGTCGGTGCAAATCATGCTACTCTAAGGGAGCTTTGCAACAGAAAGGATGAAAGATACAATATCGCTCTTGCTGAGTTCAACAAAGGTTTGTTCCGTCATCGTGCATCGTAGCATGAATTGATGTCAACGCAGCGGACGAGGCTTTCAAAGAAATCAAAGCCGAATCAAAGCAATTGTTGCTTGAAAGTCGAGCTGCCATCGACAGTTGTGAGCCCCACATCAACAAGCTCTATGAAGACATACAAAATGCTCGTTTTCAATATGAGAAGGATCTCAAGGATACCGAAGAAGCTGGAAAAACCCCTCCGTTGGATGAGAACATTGATCTACGGAGCACAGAGGAGCTCGAAGCCGAATTCGACGCGCAGAAAGCCCAACTGGGGATCATGCTGAACACTAACCCTGGTGTTATTGAGGAATACGAGAAAAGGAAAAGAGATGTTAGTCGCCTCCGTTTCGTTGACCTTATGCTCATGATCAATAACTCTTCATGCTTAGATCGAAGCGTTAGAGAGAACTGTTCAACAGAAGCAATCAAACGCACAACGGGTAGAGCAGAAAATCAAGAAGGCCAGGGTAGGCATTATCTTCCATTTTCGGTAATCTTGGGAGCACATTTTCCCACAGGACCACTGGGAACCTGCCCTCGAGGAACTGGTTGGTAAGATCGGGGAGAAATTCTCAGCGGCTTTTGATCGTATGTTTGTCTATTCATCCAGACCTTCTCGACTCAATGACAGGTTTCGTTAGGTATTGGCTGCGCCGGAGAAATACGTGTCGGTCAGCATGAGGACTATGACAAGTGGACCATCGATATTCTAGTCAAGTTCCGTGATGACGAAAAGCTACAACTTCTTACCAGTCAGCGACAATCTGGAGGGGTACGCCATCGTTTGAATGAACAGCTGGACTCGCTAATCCTATGCTATTTAGGAGCGTTCACTAACAACAATCTTGTACCTGATGAGTCTAACGGAACAAGCTCGTGCGCCGTTCTCGCTTGTGGATGAGATCAATCAGGGCATGGACCAACGGGCCGAACGAGCAGTGCACAACAATATGGTTGAAAGCACTTGCAAAGAGGAGAGTGGACAATACTTTCTCATCACACCAAAGCTTCTCGCCGACTTGCAATACCACCAGCGTATGAAAGTTCTTTGTGTCAACAATGGCGAATGGCTACCTGAAGAGCGGGGCTTGGGTAATATGATGAACATGATAAAAGGATATGTTGACCGACAAAAGCGGAGCGCCGCTAATTCTGCTTGATTTGGGTTTATCATTACTGTTTTCCTTTACCTTACAGTGTTAACAAGTTAACTAGTCTACTTATAATGTCGGCTTGTACTACCACCCTTTCTCAACGAGTATCTGATAGCCCTCCCAGGTCCCGCCTGCTTATCATTTATCCTATCTACCTCATGTCAGTGCGACTTTATCAGATTACCATGGTGTCGAAGTGCGAATGCATCAGAATTTGCAAAGTGCACTGAGTGATGTCAATAATCATTCAAGAGTATGCCACCCTTCGCAAGCGAAAGGTGTCTCATCCGGGATCTCACGTATCTCCAGAATTACCAAAGAACGATGGCACTGTTGGCCGGGCAAAGCCCGGGCAGGATTCAATGTCAGCATTGGTCATGATCGTTACAATTCTCGAGTAGAAAAAATAAGGAACTATAGTGCCATATACCTACGATACCTAGCACATAGTTAATGGATGCTCACGATCAATCAACCCTTCCTCCTCGACCTTGCGCTTAATGCTATCCACGACATCGTTCACCTCCGAACAATCAAGGTCATCGCGAGCTTTCGTAGGGTTTTCCATAAATGCAATATTTAGTCCATGAACCCTCACAGTATCATTTTAGGTCAAGAACGAGGTTGTCATCTATCTGCACGCGCCACATAAGATTTGATGCCATGGAAGAACTTGACTCCTGTTGCCGTCAAATCCTCTTTAGAGTCAGGAATTTCCAGTTTTGTGGCGGATGCGTTTAGAAGAATGGAAAGATTTGGACGACTCGAGTTCCGAAGGAAAGAACTCTGTTGGAAAGTAAGTTTTGAAAATGCTCATTCGTGAAAGAGGCGAAATATACCGTCGAGTGAGAGCGATAATTCAATAACGGATCCAATGTGTTCAAAGTGAAGAACGTGCCGTGGGGCTATGAGAGTTTATGGCGATGAGCGAGGTGCAGCACATATATTATGGTATGTACTAACATCACCGTCAAGCTAAGATATCTACATATCAGTAAAAAGACATGGTGATCAGGGAGACTCACAAACCCGTTGTGGAATTTTCCGGATACCCGAATTAACCAAAGCCTAGCACTGACTTGTTAGCATGCTGATTGTTTTTACCGAAATTTCCTATACAAACTCCATGGAAACGGATATCTACGTCAAGTAGAGTGCGTGGAAAAGATAGTTGTAGAGGGCCTTCAAATATTGTTCATGTTTAGTACCGTATCGTAGATGCCAAATACTCTACCGTTTGTCGTTAACTTCCAATTTTCTAAATCTCTTGTTCGCTTCAGTTCTTCTGCCGAAGTTTCTGGCGGAGTAACACTATGGAAATATCTGTGAGAAAGCCTGTATGACCAAGAAGAGAAAATACGAGATTGTCTTGGAAAGAGCTTCGCTAAAGCTTTCCCAGTTCCAACCAACATTTCCAAGCTGCATCTCCTGCAACACCAGAAATACTTGGGATCATTGTGAAATCAAGTACTTATCCCACAAGTAACCTAGGACTATGTCAGATAGACTCCGTCGTGGACATACTGATTCACTCAGGCAAGTACTTCACCATGAGCGCGAAAACGCAGCGCTTAAGAGAACGGCTAGACAATACAAATACAAAATTCAAGTGAGAATGTACAACATGTATAAAGTAAACTTATCGGTACGAGAGACACCACTTCACTTTAAAATACACACTCCTCCTCCCATGGTCTAGTGCGCAGATGTTCCTCCTTGTGTATTTTCATTCTCTCTGCAACTTCGGCACTGTTCGATGAGGTTTATCACATGATCTTGTGGAACTTGGCGAAATACGTCCAACTTCTTTGTTCGGAATCCTTGCGTGATAGAAAGACAAGTAAAGTCCACGGACCTCGATGATCCTACATTCGTGCACGCAGAAGTTTCGTCCTCGTCTTCATTTATCATGGAGGTCACCAAGTCATCTAACAGTGTAAGATTGGTGAAATACTCCGCCAGAGGAGGGAGAACCAATAGGTCAATCATGATGGAAAAAAGCAAGGTGTCTGTCAAGTTGAGTATCTCGACAATCCCTTCCTTCTTGATCTTGGTCCTAGCGTTGGCGTGAAGTGTTTTCGTAACCCAGGATTCCAGTGCCAAGACGTAGGGAGCAAGACAAGTAACTGCACTGCCCTTGTATTCGTTTTTCAGAACGATATGAAGCACCCTTATACCTGTAAGAGGCTGAAAATTACAGGCTGCCCATAGTAGCAGAAGGAACACGGCACAGCACGTACACTTGGCACCTCCCTTGACATGTATCAATTTGTCGGCCTGTGAACTCGAGTCCAAGCTTGGCGACATCATATCGACGCAGCATTTCCGACAAGAGGTTGAAGAGTCAAAGACTAGAAATGGCGTACACGGTACTGGTCAGCTTAAAATCGTCGGTGAAAACTTTTGTGCTTACCTTGGCATTGGCATTGTTGATGATTGTACAAGGACGAGTACAAGGTCGGCGAACATTTGGCGTACGCGCATATCGCATCCCTTGGAGCTCAGCCGCAAGTTCCTCGCCTTTATCGAACATAACATAATTATCCATCGTTCGGACCCGAGAAAAAACAGAATATCAAGCGTCTATCACAGACGGGTTAAAATTCAACAATCAACAACTATGGCGACTTACAAGGAACAGCGGCTGTCCTAATACTGCCATTGTTTACTAGCTATCTACGGGAGATGACGCCGCAGGTGGTGTCAGTGTTATTGGAGCGGTCCGGCCCGGTGCCAATTTGTCCTTCACCAGAGTCTAACAGTCTCACCATGACTACACTTCCTCCAGAGCTTGTAGAGATAATCGTACATCAACTCTGGTACTCTGAAATGCTGTCTTACATTCGAAAACCTTCATTTCTACTTCTCTCAGGATTGACCGAACGTCCTATCGCTGCTAAGGATACAGTGAACATGACCAACTTCGCATTCATAGACTATTTATGCGTCGTCTCACATCGCAAAAAATCCATCATCTGCTAGAGTTCATTCCCCGGCTCACGCACTACCTGCTTTGTCGACCTCCGGAAAAGCGAAAAGGAAGGAGCTGTGAAACTGGTGTATCATTATCTTATTGCACTCCCCAATATCTGTGGTTTCCACGTCCTCTTTCCGCGTGTTTCATATATGTCTCTCCAGTTCTTTTGGATCGGCATTGGCCGGGATACGTCTTTACCGCCGCTTCCCATTCACGTCCGTTACGACCGCTTCCTTTGTAATCTCAACGCTGTGCTAGGAAGACACGAGTGGACGTCTATATTTCCATGATGGACCCGGACCCTTCAGCGGTCGTACGAGACTCGATCTCGTTGCGCGAATTGCTCGAATTCGGTGTTCGTGAATTCTTCTTCTTTAGGACCTGTGCACGACCGAGGTAGTGTCATACGTTCGTCATTGATGGTGTCCGACAACTTTGTCAAACCATGTATATAAGTGAGACACATAACGAAGACTGGGATCCAAAGGATATCAATCAGCGCTTGTGGATGGCTTTCGAAAGGCGTCACAATACATGATCGGAGCCACTCAGCCCTAGGGTTTAAATGTCTCGCCACTCTCTTCCACCGTAATCGTATGCAGGCCTTTTATGTTTTCCATTCCCCTGGAATAGGGGTGACGTACAATCTCTTTGAGGAGAATATGGTATGAAGAAATACTATGCTTTTTTTGGTAAGGGGTTGGTGTTTGAATGTTTGCCATTGCCGGATCCACCATGATTCTCGACTATCAGATGTACCAATACTTCGTTTTCTGTTACGTCGGCGAGCAGATCTCAAGCAGAATTTTGTTTTCAATCTGTTTTGCATAAAAGCGGGAAATGCGTGGGTTTTTGGAAAGAATGGCTGCAAGGAAGTCTGCTTGAAGTTGCTATTATGATTATCAAACCTTTAGTACTCAAGCGCTCACTCCTGAACAGGAGAGGGCGTCTGGAATCTCCTCACGATAGAAATAATATACCCACATCTCCACAATGCGGTGTAAGAAGCTTAGGCAGCCAGGGAGTCAGGCCTGGACAGTGGGCACGCGATGTTGCCTCCTCATCAAAGAATGCGACGGTTAGAAAACTGGATTTATTGCCATCTCTGCATATACAGCTCACTTAAAGCGGTTACCCAGACGTAAATGCAATCAATTAAGTTACATGTTGGAATACAAATGTGAGATGTCCGTGTACTATAACTATTAGTGATGACAGCGACGAGATAAAGACAGATGAAAGAAGGGCAACTAAAAGCAGCCTCTACCGATTGAGGAATCGGGAGAAGGAGTTTTGGATAGCCACTCTCTTCATAATAGTAGGTTCGGGGGCTATAGGAACATGAGCAGGTAACAGCGACGAAAAGTTAATGAATACTCACGATCAGTCAATCCTTCCTCCTTGACCTTGCGCTTAATACTATCCATGACATCGCTCACCGCCGAACGATCAAGGTCACCGCGAGCTTTCATAAGGCTTTCCACAAATGCAATATTCGGACCGTGAACCCTCGCAAACGACCAAAATGACAGGAAAACAATATCCTTCGAAGCCTCGAGAAGGGCCAGGATCATCTCGATGACTTCAAAGTACGTTTCCAATTCCTTTGCCTGCTTGAGCGTGGTGAAGAATTGGAACACGATCCGGACATCGTCCCTGATCTGATCCGTCGCCGCTGGTATCTTCAACTTTGGGGTATTTGCGAGGGCATTGAGGTAAAGAAGGAGGTAGGCATCGAGGAGATCTTCCACGAGAAGCTCGAGTAGGGAGGGATTCAGATAAGTTTGGTAGTCGGTCATGTAATCGCGCATAGTCTCGACAATCTGACGCATTATCCCCTCGTACCAGGGCGGCTGGAATAGGTTTTTAGTGGCGGGTTTCAGATCATTGAAAATAACGTCGATAAGCGTCTGTGTACACTTCTTCGCAACGTCGAGATAACCGTCAATGGCGTCATTCAGCCGTTCGTTGATAGTGCCTCGGTATTTATCGGAGACCACTGGTTCGACGCGGGCAAGAAGGGCCTCGGTGTAATCTGCGCACTTGATTTGGTCGTTCGCAAGGGCTATGATATATTCCACCAGTCCACCGGCCACTTCATCAGGCTTGTCGACCTGCTTTTTGTACTCCGCTTCTATCACCTTGACCCATCGATCCTGCAACGACCTCATGACCCTGTTCGTCTCTGCGACAACGCGAGCTAATATGGCACCCTGCCCACTATCCATAGCCAGATCAATCTGCTGATTGACCATCTGGAACAGTATTGCACCCCCGCCTTGGACACCATACAATCCGTCCGCGTCAAGTTCGGGTGGATCACGACGAATCGTAAACTCTTCAACTTCCGTCTTCATAAGGTTAGCGGACCACTCGTCAAGTTTCTTAACGATAACCTGCAAATAATCCTCAATCAACAATTGCTCCTTTCCGTCCAGGAGAGCGGGCTCCAGAAGCTCGGGCGGGACGTTAAGCTCCTTCATGGATTTTTTGTACTCCTTCAACCATTCAAAGAGATGAAGCAGCACGCTAGCTCCTGGCTCAGACGCAACCATCTTCTTCACGGTCGCATTTAAGGCTTTATGGTACTCTCGGATATAAAGGGAGTAGATGTCGTACTCTGGAGGGAAACAAGGAACGACCGAAGACTCTATCCGAATGAGGTCTTGATACATCCATTGGAGATTGTCGAGGAAATTGATGGGGTCCTGTTCATCGCGCTTGTACGCTTCCTCGAATTTGGCTTTTATCGAATCTGCAATGCCTCTGGTAATCTTCGACCGATAGTGTTTGATGACACGAGCGTTTGCTTGCATGGATTTAAATTTCGATGCAGCATCCATTTTAGCGGCCTTCTTCACTAAACGGATGGCAATGGCCTGTGGTGGATGTATGAGTGTGGAATTAGAAATGCGGTGACAATAATGACCTTCTCGTCTTCCCTGCCTTCTATTTCAGCAACCTTGATTAATCGTACCACCACATCAGGATATCCAGCGCGAACTATGTCTAGGACATGAGCCGCCAACTGTAGAATGTATTCGTCGAATTGCTCGATGACGGTGTTCAATCTCTCAAACCAACGCGCCAAAGTCGCCCGTGAATCTGAACTGGCCTTCTTGGCCTGATGCATGGTCTGGTTACGAAACGATTCGAGTTGATTGAGAAGGTAATGGATGACGAGAAGATTTTGCGCAGGGCCAAGAATGTCCTGACGATCACCATTAAGCAGATCCTCTATCATGACAAGCTTGGAATTCATTTCAAGGAGATTGTTGACCATTTCTTCCGTTTGTTCGAAATGACGATGAACCATGGACACCTTTTGCCGTGGTCAGAAACTTCCTCTAAAACATACAAAGAAACGCACTCGACTGATCTGGTCAAAGGTAGAGACAGTGTTTTGAGGATCGCTGCATTGCTTGTCCATTGTGACCATTTCGTCCTTAATAGCCTGGACATTGCTGCGCGTGCTCATCAACTTCCTCAACCCCTCCCTTGTTGCCTGCAGCTGCTCCTTGACCCCATTCTTCAACCTCGCATCGATCGAAGCCTTTTCTTTCTCTAGTTTCTTCCGGTACGCCGAGACCTTGATGAGGTCGTCAGGGGACTGTAAGTATTCGCCTATGGCTTGTGCCGCCGACGCTGGTGCTGCGGTCATAGCAGAGCGGTATCAAGGAAGGAAACAGATGGATTCATATAGTATAGCATTGTGAGAACAAAAACAAGCAGTCTTACACGTGATGATCTCACCTCCATTCCCTTCCGTCATGCTGCGATGTTCGCCGGGTGTGGCGCGTAGCTGCAGAAAACTATTGCTGTCTCGCAGGCTGCTGTCGAGTGTCGGTAGCCAATGCGAAGAATACGACGTGGTCATCGTCGGCGGTGGCCCAGTGGGACTTGCTCTAGCTAGTGCTCTTGGTATTGTTCTACTTGTTCTGGATCATTTGCGTATGTCCAACCCGTCATTGCTGCTAGGATCTAGCCAGAACGTCAGAGACAACCTGAAAATATCCCTTGTCGAAGCTGGGGACTTGTCAAAGGTCCGCGAATGGTCGCCAGTCGACGGAGCCTTCAGCAACAGGTGCATCTCCCTCACCAATGCATCTCAGGCATTCCTAAAAGGCAACGTAACGTCTTATGTCCTTGAGCTGTGCTACTGAGCAGTCGTCGTAGACACTGGTGCATGGAAGCATGTGGACGAAGCTCGCACAGGTCCCATCGAGGAGATGGAGGTACTCCCACAGTTTTATTGCCTTGTCCTGAGGTTCACATGCCTTTTCAGGTCTGGGATGGGATTTCGGATGCCAGAATACACTTCTCTGCATCTGACATTGGCCTGGATGAGAATACACAGGGAATGTCACGAATAACAGAGAACATCAACCTTCAACGAGGACTGCTGCGATATCTAAGTACCATGCCGGACTTGCACCTCATCGACAAAACCAAGATGACATCTATTGTCAGAGAACATGAGGATGCTGGTGGTTGGCCATTGGTACATCTGGATAACAGTAAAATACTTCGGGCCAGGTTGCTGGTGAGTGTTCCTACTTGCCCTTCGTGATATCATTCGCGAATGTTGCTCAGATTGGCGCCGATGGCTTCAACTCCCCCGTGCGCAAATATGCACAAATCCCTTCGTACGGTTGGTCTTATGATACTCAAGCTATTGTTGCAACCATGTTCCATTCTCCCCGTGGTCCCCTTCAGAGACCTAATACCACCGCTTATCAGAGGTTCTTGCCTACTGGGCCTATTGCCTTTTTACCCATTTCTCCTACAGCCTCATCTTTGGTGTGGTCCATCCGACCACACATAGCAACAGCAATTATGGCCTCCAGTCTGTCTGTTCTAGCTCGCATGATCAATGCCGCCTACCGCCTGCCTCATGATTCTCTACAATATTTATATAATCGGATCCTCGAGCACCAAAACGCTGGAACTCCTATATCCGTTGACGAAGTCATCGAAGAAGTCGAGTTTCGTGAACGGGCTCATGGGATTGATACAACCTCGGCCTACTCTTCATCTCATACGATGGAGAATACGGTCGAGAATCAAGGTGTTCCGCCAGCTGACTCCGAGATGTTACCACCCCTTGTAACTTCGATTCAACCTGGAACGGTTGCATCATTCCCTCTGCGTTTCAATCATACCGAAACATACATCGGTGAAGGACGAGGAAGTCGTACAGTTCTTGTTGGCGACGCAGCACATACTGTACACCCCCTTGCTGGGCAGGGGCTAAATCTTGGTCTTGCTGATGCGGAGTGCCTCGCGAGAGTCATTAATAACGCTGTTCTCAGTGGCTCGGATATCGGCAAGTAGATCTACGTCTAACAGGGCCCATTTTTGATCTGTCTTTTTGTTTACAGGGACCCATGCGTCCTTACTACCGTACACCCAAGAACGCTATTTCCAGAACCACAAAATGATGTCCGTCTTCGACAAACTCCACAAGTTGTATACAACGTCTTTCGGGCCGATAGTACAGGCCAGATCCATGGGCTTGGAGGTTCTTAATGAGTTTGATACGGTTAAGGCTGCGATCATGCTGAATGCAGGCTCTCAACCGCGACAAAATGAAGCTAGCCTGAGGTCGACGGTGTTTAATTTGGCCGGCTCCGCCCTCGAAACTGCCAGCGGTGTGAAGAAAGCTGCCGACCTCACCAGAGGGGCTGTCGGTAGTATGGTCATGAATGGCATCCAGCAGTGGATGAAAACATCGCGTCCGGGACAAAGCTCATGACAGGTGTACCTACCATAAAGATAAGAGAATAACTGCGATCCATGCTATGTGTCAGTTCCATTGATCGTTACCACGACTTTCGTGTCACCACAGGTAATAGAAGACAACCTCTCTAATGTCATCCCATGAAGATTCATCATCCCCTTGGTAACAGAAAACACCTCCGGACCTACTTCTATGTGCACTCTGCGAACAGACAACGGGAAGTCCATGCGCATGCAAGGACGTGGATACTCATCCTTTGCTCTACTCAAAGACTTCTCCAGTTCAGCGTACAGCCGTCTGGACGGCCGTGTTGGTTTCAAGTAGAGGTCAGTGAGTGAAGGTGCCTGATGAGCAAGGCGAGAAAATAAATCAGCGGGGTAGTCGCCGAAATCCTCATAGTGGAGGTATCGAAGGCGAGGAAAGACCGGTGGTTCCTTGTTCTCCGATATATAAACGGGAAACGGTCCACGAAATGACAACTCCTCAAGGAATGGGAGGGACACTGGCGGCAACATATCACAGGCGCAAAACCCACTGTGATAAATATGGAGTGTTTCAAGCGTCGGAGACATCATGTGCAGGAGGCGCTCGTACAGGTGATCCTGATAAAAATCCTGCGAAGAGAGTTACTATTCGACTTGTTAATAGGTTTTTGAAGAAAAAAACTTACAAATACAGCGCGGTTCGATCTGTATGCAGCCAGCTCCCTTTTCGAACTCTCAGAGTCGTCCGGATGGATTTCCATGTCAAAGTAGAAATGGTGGACACGTCTGTACGCAGGCACAGCCTTGTTAAAGATCGAATATAAGGCGTTCAGTTGACTCAGACCGTATACAAAAACGCTGTGGAATCGCGTTTCTTTGGCAAGATCATAGAAGACCCTAGAGACTAGGGAGAGTGAACGCCCGGTAGACCCGCCATCCGTACAGGCAAGCTTGAATATTTCGAGCCAAATCTCACAAGGAATATGTGAGGCATTATGTGTGCTGTTCATGGTGCCGAGGATACGGAGCAAGGTCGAACTTGGTCATCCATTACCTGCACCACAGTAACTCCGAATATTCTGTGCGAAGATAGATTCTGCGAAATACTACTCCGAGTAGACCGGAGATGCTAAAAATGGCACGATGCGAGATCACGTGACAAGCTCGCGGCGGCTTTCCTGAATTCTTCTTCCCACCGCTTCAAAATACGAATGTCGGACGAGGTACGCAGTACAGCTCCGTCGATTTTACCGAACTTTGAATAGTCCAGACAGAGTCGTGTATCTTTGCGTAATAAGCTCTTGGCTAATCTTCTCGCTGATGCCGCTATAAATGACGGAGTAAGTCGGGGCATCACCTAGTGCCAATAATGTGTTCAAGGAAATCAAGGTACTCGCGGAAGCTTTGACTATGGAAGATATTCTATCCAGGACCTCCGATCATTCGGACGCCCTCAAAGGGGGCCTCACAATATCTGATATCACGACCTTTGCACCAAATCAGGTTCGTGCTTTCCAGAAAAATGGCATTTCATGCTAAGACTTTAGGCCCAGTCTTTTCAAATCAGCCCGTCTATAAAACGGCGCTTGACCGAAGAACTGGATGCCACGTTGCAGGCAATATCAGATTTCCTAGAAGTTGAAGGTATGTTGGTGAACAATTAATTATCGCGTCACTCATGAAGGTCCCGAAATAAAGACTCGCCACCAGATTCGCTTACCCAGCGACTGAGAGAGAACAGTGAAAAAAACGGCGCTATTAGAGAAGAAGCAGATAACAGTCATCGTCGAATCGAGAAAATTATGGGAGAAATCAGAGAGGTCGGTCAACCAACGCCGACTTTAAGGTTCCATCTGAGTGATTCTTGTCAGATGCATCCCTTACTTCAAGAAGAGCTTGTACAATCACTGCGGAAATGGCCGCCTGTTCTCAACAGTCAACGACAGGCTCATCACGACTTTCTAGCGACGACTATCGAAACGTTCTTGATCAAATTATCCCTCATTCGCGCCCGGTGCCACCAATTACTGTATGGTTTCAAGGACGACGGAAACGACATGGCGTCCGCCCTCATGACAATGCACAATAAGCTTACTGAGGAAGAATCAGAACTCGAGAAGGAAGAGGCAGAGTTGGATCGTCAGCTTCATGAGTATCACCGTCTCTTGCATCTAGTCGACGGAAATAAGTCAGGTTTCCGTCAAGTTCTGGAGGACTGGAGTCAAATTCAGAAAGAGACCGAGGAGTGTCGGAGGGATCTGCGGCGTATGGGATGGACCGGTGACTGAAAATTGTGCGGATTATTGTCTAGAGAATCGGGTGCTGAAGAATGTCTCAATTTCACTCCCAACACGCTTTCCTATCTCTCGTAACGTTTGGGCAACGCGGGGTAGATACTTAGAGCAATAAGAATAAATTTTAAGGGTCGGCATCCATGAATCGCAGCCGAACAATTAAATACTCTTCGAGAATTCAAAACCTCGCGGCTCCTTTACACAAAAAGACATCTGTTTGAAGAATCCTGGATGAATTCGTGTATCGAATTTGGTTTCCAACTTCTACCGCATTTGAAGGCTTATCCAGATACGATGTTCAAAATACATAAGTGCAAGATGCACGATATAAAAGTTCACCTTCAAAGCCATCCTTGATGAATAATATTCGTCCATCTCCGTCTTATCATTATACATCGCACCGTGTCAGGTACGAGTCATTATTCACTCCCCAAATCTGTCGATCTTGGATATATTGTCCCAACTTGGAGCTGCATCCCATCCAACGTACCGTACCCTCACCCTCACACGGGTGGAGTATAGTTCCCTTATCAAACCTATTCTGACAAGTTCATATGAGCACATTTTGCGTGAAACGCGTCGAAGCTGCAATTCAGTTTAAAGCAAGGCTGACGAAGTAAGCGCCTGCAGACTACACAGCAAGCTATTTTGTAAAACGGTGAACAAACCATAGGGCGATAGATTGAGGTCTTCTTGGTCGGTTTCCGGTACTAGATGAAATTTTTAGCAGTCCGTATAGCTTTAGTCTTTCAAGGTGTGCAAGGACACTAAAGCATGCTCTTGCCCATGAAAATGTGAATGCCTGCGTGGATCGGTGTCAATGAAGTATGCTAGATCTTGCTTACAGCTGAAATGTTGGTAGACTGTGTTGGCATCACCACTGCAAGAGGCCAGCCATTTCACCGGCACAATGTTATGTTAAGGAAGCAACATAGATAGTACTACACCTATCGACGAGTAACATTAAGCTAGTTACATCCTTGCAAGTTTAGTGGTAACCAAAGCTACGATGCAGAAGATGGAAATACGCGCTTCTACATATTCCTGTCAATATAAATGCAATGGCGAATTGAGTCTACAGTCTGTCTGACCTTCGGCTGACAGAATCTTGATGAATGCGCTTGCACCTTAGTTTCATCTTCTGAAAACTGTAGCCAGTAGCAAAACGGAGTCCACCCAAAACATGTATTGGGGAAAGTATATGTAAGGTCACACTAGGACAAGATCGACCAGCATCAATGGCAAATTGCCTCTCTATCTCTGCTCGGGACGTGGTTCTGTGCGGAGACGCTCAGACGTATACTCGTACAGAAATCGAGGAAAACTCACGGCTCCACTGTACACTCAGAATAAGGTTATCGTAACCGAACCCATTCATCTTTTCCATTGCCCTCTGCGCATGGGCCCTTTCATCAAAGCTGACGAAGGCGAAGCCTTTGCCAGCACCAGTTTCACGGTCTCTGCCAACATATACACGCATGATTCTGCCAAAGACCTGGAAGAGCTCTCGGAGGTCGTTCTCTTGCGTATCCTCGCTGACATTCGTGACGCGCAACGTGGGGTAGTCGTCTCTGTTCCCACCGGAAGAAAGGCCGCGCATGGATTCACCAGGCCTGCTGGCCCCAGCACGCATTGAAGGTGGTACGTACTTGCCTCCCGTTGTGGCGGGTGCAGAAGGGGTGGCGTCGCTGGTTAGACCATCATCGGGTCCTGCACCGGTGTCTGTTCCTCGCATTTGAGAGATCATATCGAGAAGAAGATGACGGCAACTCACCAGGGTTATCAAGGGCACCCAAAGTATCCTTGTAGGGACATTTCGCGGTGAAATGGTCACCCTTACAAATCCTACAGTTGACTTTGCCAGCGCCGGATTTAGCGAGTTTGCTCTTCATGCTCTCTTCTTGCGTGGGCTCAGCATCAGACGACTGTAAAAAGAAATGAAGTAAGTCATAAAGTGATATAAGTAAGACCACGAACCTTGTTCCCAACGCTCAACTTCAATCCCACATTTTCTCCTACTGTCGTCGTTGCACGATCAGGACCAGGCTTATTTCCCCGTTCTTGGCCGAATTTCGCCCATTTTTGACGCTGTGCAATTTTAGGATCGACAGTAGCTTTCTGAAGGGTCCGTTTGATTCGTCGGGTGATCTGGTGAAATTTTCAGAACAGAACGGGAATGAAGTAAATACCGCTACGCACCTTCACTTTCTTCCCCTCATCATTCAAAACATACTCTACAGTTGTTCGGATGCCATTCTCATCGACGGAGTCGGATATTTTCTGTATTGGTGCCTCTATGCGAACATTAATGTTTATTGAGGTCGCTATGCTAAGCGATGCGCACCTAGTTCGTCGATTTCATCAGCCCAGGATGTTTTTGTTCTGAGAACATAATTTTAAGCTGTTCATTCTAAGATAGCGTTTACACATACGCTGACATTGTGGAGGGAAGTGGTGAATTGAGGGAGTGTTCGATATAATGAGACAACTCGGCACCGAAGGCCAATGTTTATCTCTGTTTGATTCCAAGGCCATCGAATAGGGTCCTCAAAGTTTTATCTCTGTCGCACTGAGTTCCATAGAGCCCCAACCTCTAACAAAGGAAAGTATTTCAACGAATTTATTGGATATATGGTACATAGAATTGGTTCAGATGAATTTAAAATATGGATTCCTATTTTGGAAGTTCGAGTTTGCATGGAGAATCTGGCTCGTTCTCCCAGGATGCTTTACTTATCTTCTTAATGATTTATTTCTCATGTCGATTCTACATACATTGAGTCGCATACATTAGTTCTCTTCCGCTTACCAACGAACTGCGAGTTCTAGCATCAGATTGTCTACTTCTCCCGGTCCTAACCCTTCATGATACCCGTCGTAGGAGAGCATTGGGGTATCTTGATATCAACATTGGGATTTAATAACTTCAAGTTCTCTGATGTATAAGGTGGGTATCGGACCGTCAAAAACTGCTCCGACCTACGTGATGATGGTATGTAAACATGAGTATTAAGACACGAAAAAAAAAAACACCACATACCCCAACGGCATGTCGATTGATGCACGCAGGTAGCTAAATGATTCAAAACTGTATCGGCCGCCTTGCCGACCGTCTATTAAATATAGGCAGTGTGAGATTGCTACGCGTCGAAATATGCAATGATGTACGCACGGCCAGATTCACCAACTCCTCCAAAGGGCAGTTCGGCTACTGCAGAAAGGTGAGCTGTGGTTGTACACTTGTGCGCGGCACATACTAGCTAATTGTATGAACGTGTCATTGTAAACAAGGTTTCCGCTTGTTGTACACTCTCGAACTAAACAATTTAGAGGTAAGTATAAGTCACTCTGTAATATGACCACGTACTTGTAGTCTTGGTATCCTCACTTTGTGTAAATGCATATAAAACCAGTGGATGGTCCCTGTCACGGTAACAACTGATGTCGATGGAATTTTCCATATCCAAAGGATATACTCACCTTTGGGACACCAACTCACATGCATCTTCAAACGTGCCAACCTCGATGATGGGCAAGATGGGGCCGAACAGCTCACTCTCCATTAAGGCATCATCAGGTTGAATGCCAATAACGACGGTGGGTTCGATTTTCAATCTCTTCGCGTCTACTTGGCCTCCAAGCACTGTCGTACCATCCGTGCGCGCCAAGAGGGTGTTAAGTCGGTCAAAATGGTTCTTCGACACGATTCGGGCGTACGAAGTGGATTCTAAAGGTGGAGCATCCGAGAAGAACGAGGCATAAGCCCGTCTGAATGCTTCCACCACTTTGTTCAAAAGGTCGTGATTTCCATTGGTAGGGACTATGAGATAATCTGGAGCGACACAGATCTAGGCGGTAATGTTTGAGAAACGAGAAATAAAATGATTGAAGAGAACTGACTTGGCCACAGTTGGTTACCTTCCCATACATAATTCTGTAGGCGGCAACGTCGAGATCGTACGACGGATCCAAGATGACGGGACTTTTACCGCCCAGCTCCAGGGTGAGAGGAGTCAAATGTTTCGCTGCAGCGGCAGAAACGATTCTCCCAACATGTCCATTGCCTGTGTAGAAAACTACAGATGCGATTAATACTTATCGACAGCTTTGTGATGGCGACATACTATGGTCCCCTGAGGATAGAATGAGCTTAAGCCATAGAACGAAGTGGGGTGCCGAAGACGTACATTTCAGCTCCAATATCTTTGTGGTCTCAGGAACAGCACCCAGGATGACTTGGTAAGCCTCTGTATCGAGGTACTTTGGAACGAGCTCCGCCAGAAGACGACCGGTATGGGGAGCTATTTCAGAAGCCTTGACCGCACAGCAGCACCCCGCCGATATGGCAGCGACAAGGGGTTGGATTGCCAATATCAGGGGGAAGTTCCACGGTCTATGAGAACTACGCATCAGAATTTGGACTAGTGAAATGCGCCAGCCGGACGAACACGATCACGAGTGCAACACCCTTGGGTACAAAGTATACTTTGGGGCTCCAAGCCCTCTGATGTGGGTCAAATAAGTCGGTCTTGTGCTCTGGCTTTGCCCACTCGGGAAGGTTGGTAGCCGCAATTATGACACGCTCGAGGATGGGGCTGATCTCGTAGGAGTAAGCTTCCATGGCCGGTTTGCCAACGTCCTAACGTGCAATTGAGATTCGTTGACTGGAAACAGGGTGATATAGCATACTTTGAAGAGAGCCTCGGCAAAAAGATCCTTGTTGTCTTGTACCATGCGAGCTACCAGCAGCAGTTGTTGTTGGCGCCATGGAATAGATATCGTTCTGCGCGTCCGAAACGTCGCTTTGAGCTTACTATGTATCTAGGGAACGCGGTTCAATGTCCTGGCGTCGGAAAAAGGAAAAGGATAACACACACCTCAGGTATCTTCTCAATTGGGGTGTGACTCGTCTCGTTCATCTTGCTCTCGACTAGGGGGGACTTTGAAGCAATGATCGTGAACAAAAAGACAACGTAATTTTATAAGTGCTAGAGCTTCGGTACTAATATTATTAGGGTCCAACATGCCAGGTGATGAGTTTGATGATAATGTCAATCAATAGAAGGAACGACCTGACTAAACATTTCCATGATATCCGGAAAACTACATACCCGACTTTTGCCGGGCTTGGCAGTTATTCACCGCCGACCTCACGCAGGCAGACAAACGTATTCAGTGAACGGAAGGTCTTAGTTATTCAACGCTGCGTAACCTATAATACTGCGATTTCAGACGGCAACCCACTTCAACGTCGGTTTCAGCAAATATTCAATGTACAGTATTGTTCTCCCCTCAAGTTTGACAAACTATTCAAGTCACCACACATCCCATGATGGCATGTTACTGTTAGACGGGCCCTTGAGTCTCATATGATAGAATACAATGCAACAATTCCACTAACGCGAACTTGAGGACAGTACTAATCATTACTACTAAGAACTGTTCAACGAGACCTTCAAGCTATACTTACTTGAAATACAAGGTGAGATGAGATATGCAAAGTTAGGAAAGAAGAACGAAAAAAAAAAAAGAATTGCTAGCAGTATTGTATGTGGGGTAAAATAGTCCAAGTCGTGACGCCCATTCCCGCGGCCTTCATATACAGTAGTGCAGTCCGTGATAATAACCTTTACAAGGATGCCTACGACAGAGTAGAGATAAAAGGATGAATGGTGAATGTCAGGGGAGAAGAGCAAGGGGAAGCGTTATTCACAGCGATATGCAAATGTTAATGGTCAGTCAGCACCAGGACTACAGACAGAAAGTGGAAGGGAATCATGACGAGTGTGTGGGAAAATGTGGATGCGTAAAGAGTTATAATGAACGCTGGCGAGACAGAGAAACAGAGAAATCCAAATTGCAATCTAGATGAGACATGGAGGGCAGAGAGGGCAAAATGGAAGCAAGCGAGTTGAATAGCATCGAAGGGAATAATGGATATTAGGGCATTGTACAGTTGACTTTGGGTATACAGTTCCTTACATATCATCGACGTCTATGTTGCTGTTGCTGCCATATGGCAAGTGGGACGTCTTCGTCTTCCGTGAATCCGTTGGCCTGGGAATCTTGTCCCTCCGTTGTCCGTGGTCTTCGCGCACTGGAAGGCATCCCAGCGTGTGCACTGTGTCCTTTGCGAACCTTTCCATTCACATGTGGAGGTGTCTGTGAGGGTAACGCCGTTGCGGACAACGAACGTCCCGGCGTACGACCTCCCGACATCATATCCTGTCAGGTATCCGTTAGTGATGTTTTACTTAATAGAGCAAAAGCGACTTACATGCGGTGGCGGTGAACGTGATCGCCGTGGACCAGAAGAGGAGGTAGGTGACGTTGTATTTGGTCGACCCTGTGGCTGTTGCCACCCTGACTGGTCAAGAGGCGCCATGGCACCGGGAGGGAGACGTTGCTGCTGTTGATTCTGCATCATGTCGTTTGGATAATAATACTCCGGTGCATTTGGATCGACCGTGCCCTGTCCCATATTAGAGTACATTTGCGGTTGCTGCTGCATCCGATACGGTTGTCCCATCCCCATGTTTGGGGGCGCTGAGGATGTCCGGTTTGGGAGATCGTTATACCCGCCGTAACTATACTCCTGTTCCATCACTCGATGCTGCATCTCGTATTGAGGACCTTTGACAGGTATTTCAGCTCGTCGGCCACCTCCGCCCGGGGGTACTTTCGTTAGAGCTCCGCGTCGTGGTGAAGCCTCCCTCTTCTTACTCTCCATCTGTTCTCTTTCCAGCCGCTCCTGCTCCGCATGTTCTCTCTCCGCCCGTTCTTTTTGTTCCCGTTCCCGCTGCTCGTGCTCCTTCTGTTCTTTATCCTGGTTCCCAGCACCCGTGCCCGCAACGTTCGTCTGACCGTTGGAAGGCGTCGTTGGATTCTGCGCTTTGATGACACCAAGATACCAAAACATCAAATTACTGATCAGAACTTGCTCGTACAGTGGTCTGCGGGGATTCGCAAGTTTTATGTGGCTGAGCCTATAAATGGCGCGTTCGACGTGTATCGGATACCGTGACCAGTTATTAACGCCCGGACCTCCTTGTGAACCATTTGGTGATGGAGGAGGAACATAGGACTTGGACGATTTTGAGGCGCCTAGTAACGCGGCAGCAGCTTCGCGGCCAGCAGCACCACCAGAAATACCCATCGACGGGGGACCATCGGACTCTTTGCTCTTCTTCCCGCCAAACAAGGATCCAAAAAAACCAGACTCCTTCTCCCCGTTGTCTCGCTCTTTGTCTTTTGCAGGCTTTTTCCCCCCCTTGTCGCTTCCCCACTTGCCAAACAACCCTTTCTTATCCTTCTCCTTACGATGATGCGCCGCAGGACTTGGAGGTGCAGGGAGAAATGCTGGTGGAGAAGAACCAGTAGGGGGGTCAGGTGAATGGGAAGGAGATACACTCGGGGCTAAGGATTCCTGAGGCGATGGTGTCCGCGATGGTGGTCGTTGATCTGGGGAGGGTTCAGGAGCAAGCAGCCGTTGAGGCTGGGGATGGTGCAGGACGGGCTCCAGAGCTTGAAGGAGAGATGCTTTATCGTCAGGGGACGTTGACATTTGAACAGAAGGTAAGTCATAAGCAAGTTCATCTGGCGGAGACGGTGTGATAACGACAGGCGTGTGGCTTTCTTCGTCCTCCTCCCGTACGTAGGCATCGAAAATGAAGGCCTCTTCGCTATAAGATTCTGGTCTGGCTTGAATTTCGTTTTCAAACGTCCGTCGGCGCTGAGCTGCTGCCAAGACGTCAGGTTCTCCATGATCATTGGAAGAAAGATCACTTGAAGTCCGTTTTTCGAGAGTGATTGGTACTGGGCCAGACCGAACAGATGGGCCACGTCTGGTCGAGGAACCAAAACGACTGCCACCATCACCAGCAATGCCCTTTCGAATTCTGGTGCGTGCGGCACGGCGAAGGATTTGACCGGGAGGCGGAACAATTATGGGGGCATCCGCTTCGTCACCGATCTCTGGGATTGCATCTATGGTGTCGATAGCTGTAAAGTGTACAACTTGAATACAATTAAATAGATGAAAGCATAGGTAGCGCTCACAAGTGGGGGACACGTTCAAACTAAGGCTTCGTCGCAGGACACTTCTCAGCTTGGATGGGTCGTCGCTCTCTGAGGCTTCTTCTGCCAGCTCCTCCAGCCTTTGCAGGTCGCTTATCGTGAGCTGAGGCCCTCGATTAGCGAGAAGACTAGACCGATTTCGTCTTAGCGGCACAATCTTTTCCTCGTCCTCGACCCCATCATTCTCCGAAGGTCTGTACTGCCGACTCAGCATCGACTTCTTCCTTCCCAAGCCCCCAGACGAAAGTGACGATATCGAACTGGATCTGCTGGGGGTGGTACTTCCATCTCCAGGCGGCGGCGATCTGGCATGTTCCTTGAGAAAGGCACGAAATTCAGCAGGAGCAATTTCAGGATGGACGCTGGCGGGGACCCAGAAAAGGTGAAAGGGATCGTCTGCAGGGTTATTGGGGCCATCTATGCCACCCATACTGCCGCCATGGTCGGAACTGGAGCCATCATCGTGTGAGCTGCTTGACGAATCACCGTCTGACGTCTGTGCTCCTGACCAATATGTACTCGTCGGCGACGTTGGCGATGATTGATTGGGCAAATCTGGATCTATGGCAAGTGCACCGGGCGTCGTCGAACGCCTCTTGATGTCGCGGAGGGCTTCGACCTCGCGCTGGATGTCGTACGTCGAGGGTTGCATGCGGGTTGTGAAGACGCTGGGAAAGCGCTTTATAGTATGACAGTACGACCGAAGGAACCTAGGCCAGGGCGGTAGAGAAGGGAGCGAGGAACGACGAGGGTGTCGTTGTCGTCGTGGCTGACGATGAGCAAAGGGACAGATTAGTGCGCAGGTACAAGTTTGGAATTTCCGGCCGCCACAACGGCAGCAGCCACCTTCACTCGATTAGGCTACTTCGTTTTCTAATTTACGAGTTCATTTTTCCTGCAGGATATGCTGGGCATTCTAGCCTTCCTACTGTCCTCACTTTCCAATGTGCTCTACATGGAAAATCGATGGTAAAATATTAAAGTACAGCGAGCGTCCATCTGCGTCACGAGCTGTTGCTACCTGATCAGGCAACTAATACGTCTGCCATGATACAAATCTCAGCGTCAATATAGTCCAAGAGAGGCTACTGAAATGATGGAGGGCAGGACCGTCACAGTAGACCCAATTCTCTCATGATTCCGTTCAAGTGCCGCAGGGCTTGTTCTTGTTACCGAGAAACAAAAGTAGGGTCCTGCCCATTCAATGCAGAACTCTCTCGTCGAAGCTCCAGGATCACAGCCTGTGAGACTTGTCGTCAGATGGTCCGCTATATCGCGCAATAAAGACGTGTTCCCGTACCGCCAGTGCTTCAGGATTGACCCCGCTTTCTATCATCCTCACACATGTTGTCAGTGTCTCTCGGTCCAGTCTCGTGTTCAGAAGCTGTGAGATTTCTTGAAGAACTATAAAAGATGAGCTATGTACACCGTCCGTTATGAAAGTGAGTGATATTCTCACTGTCCAGGGTCTGTTGTGCAGAGTTGACACGTTCTGCTTCGCGTGAGGACATGGCGGTAGTGGCAGAAGACGTTCTGAAATCCGCAAATGGCAATCAACGCCGGTTGAGTGTTAATTTCGGAGTGTGCAAACTTCGACTAGTTCGACTTCTTGACTTTACGACAGGATGATGATAGTGCGTTATAAACCCCGGAAAACAAGAAGCACCGCCACATCAGAACCGTAATACTTTGTGATTAATTAATTGCTCCCAGGACATACTACTTCGTGACATTTTCGCACCTTGAACCGTGGATTTGAGAACAGGATCAAGCGGAAATTCGGAGCCGTTGAACTAGAGCCGCATCTGGCTTTTTGGTTCGCTTATTCATCTTGATGACATAGATCAGATCAACAGTCCGGCGGCAACGCTTCCTCGACGCAATCGAAATGACACAAAGAAAACCAAATCGGCAGAATAATACAATTATCACAATAATAATAATGGCACTGGTATCACTGGTAGTGTATCAGTGTCCTAATCAACTTTCTCAGAGGAAAACTTGAAAGCGACCGGATACCCCAATGTGTCGAGATCTGGACTGCAACTGAATGACTGGCACAGTTTCATCTACTTTATAATCAGGAATTCCTAAAAGGCTAGACCTGTAACGAATGTACCCGGAGCACGAGCGCCACCACTTACTCATAGATAAGATCATGATACTTAGTGGGGCCTGTGGCACCCACCGTCTCCCCCAAACTCCGGTTAGAGACTGAAATTATAGGTCTCGAAGCAAAGTCCGATCGCCATCGGGATGGACATGACAAAGAGCAAGGATGACCTCGCGGTAGCATCGCCAGTAATGGTTTGGTGGTATGTGCAGGGCCGTTGTAGGATCGAGTTGATGATCAGGGTGAAGAAGGTTACCTTGGCTTCAAAATCCTTCCTGAAATACATAGTCGATTCGATTATGTTATCCCCAGGATAGCAGTGCTCCACACGCTCACCGTGGTACTTGAATGGAAGAAAGTTTGACCGCATCATCCAGTCTCAGATGTAATGCACAGACAGTACACAACACTTGCGTACTCTTGATTGACTAATATCTGGGCGAAGAGCGCCGATATATTTCGGGATCCAGCATCCTCCTTAGTGCCAGTTGCCTGCTCACCAGAAATACCATTGAACTTCAACCAGTTATGCGGTCGTACACATATAAAGAGTTCATCTTCCAATAAGCTTCGGAAAAACTATCAGTTCTGTTGTCCACGACTGAAAAATGATGACTTGTATATCGTACAAGGAAAACAGATATTTTGTGACTTAGAGTCTTGACAACTTAAAGCACATTGACTGCCACCCGATGCAGCGAAAGCGGTGCCTGCCCAGTCGCCCTATCATGCAGGATCGCGTCAGAAGTTTTCACAGGAAGCTGAGAGCTTACGCAAAATGTAATATCAAAGACAATAATATGACCGCCGGAGAAGTGGGAGTCGTATCCGTATCGATCGACAGGAAATGACGCGTCCGGATTTCCCCAGCTCTCCGTGCAGACTGGAACAGAATTTGGTACCTGGCAGACTTCCTGCGATACAATGCTGCTGTTTCTGGGCCAGAACCACACCTGAACACTGTTAATGTTGTCCTTGGACATGGTGAAGTACCTTCCTTGGATTTCGTTGAAACCGGGTCCATATGAATTAGGCTGGGTGAATGCAGTCCCGCAGCCTTGATTGAAGTTACAGCTGCATCACATTCGAACGCATTTAGTCAACAATAGCATCAAGGAAGCAAAAAGGGCCTACCCACTTTGAACACGCATATCTAGCATGGCACAGTTTTCGGTGGTGTGGAGGGAGGTGAGATTGTTAGTGTTCACACTGACACCTGGATGATAATAATTAGAACAGAGGTTAGGCAGGTCCTAACTGGTATACACCTTGGATGATATCGATTTCTCCTCCCTGAGGCCATGGTCCATCCTCGCTCAAAGTCCAAAAGGCGGGCCAAGTACCGCATCCGGTTTGCATGTGTCCAGTATCCAAAATTATGAGCGACTAGGAATACGATGTCTGAGAGGTTATCCGGACGCTATCTCTGCCTCTCGCGTCCGGTGGAACGACAGTATTCGCATTCGCACGCATGATAAACTTGGAGTTGTGGGACGATGCTATAATGTGTTTGAATGCTCGCCTAATGCACAGAATAAAAGGCATTACTGCAGGAAAGATTGTTAGCTTCTGCCGTGTTTTTGTCGATACAATTGACACGTCCATGGGTTGGGTCATCAAAAGTCTCCCATCTGAACCTGTCGAAGAAATCACTGCCTCGGAAAACGTCAGTCAACTTGAATGTTGGATTGGCAATCACAGTAGAAATGAAGAAGAAAATAGCGAGAAGACATAGAGAAGACATGTCAGGATAACAAGGGTACGACAGTGACAGGCAAAGGTGAACACAGGCCAAGGTGGTCCCAGCTTGTCCCGATTTGGGATCTACATTGGCTTCTGTCCAGCTTGGAATAGATGACAAAGTTGCCCTACGGTTACAAATCGCCTCGTTTTCGATGTAAAACTATCAATGTATAGAGGATGTGCCATCTCGCCGAAGAAGCTCTAGTTGCCGATTTGAGTAGGGAGAAAACTGGAAAAATACGTAGATAGTAGATAAAAATTATGTTTGGGCATCTAAAGGATGTCGGCTTTACCATTAAAGGCATCCCTATTCCGATTATTATCCTCGCGCTCTCCGTAACCTTCGAAGCACTAGTTTCATTAGTGAACTCTACTGGCTTTGTTAGTCTAGCAGCAGACATGTAGACGAGCTAGTGATTCGACCTTGCCATCTGTGATTTCGACCGCAGACAGCACAGAGGACCTAAGCCAGATACAGAAAGCGACGAAGCAAGCCTTCAAGTTTTCAAGGTCATTCGACAGCCACCTACTTGCCAAAGTTTAATTAGTGAAACCTACAGTTTCTTTTGATCATTTAGTAGCAGATCCACTAGGAGACGAGACTCAGCCTGGGCACTAGGCACTAGTCAGTAACCTTGTGGGTCAAAAGACAGGTCAACCGGCATCTCCCAGAAAATGCCCTCGATCGATTGATCAGCGATTGGACGGGTAAATCCGAAGGTGGTCGGTGCCGTCTGCCCATTTGGGGTCGCGAACGGAGATCCTCGCCCGTCGACTTGGAAATTTGGCGACGCGACAAATTGCGGAACTAGCCGCGCAGCCCTGAATCCACCCAAACGCAACTACATCAACTCGTATCCTTCAGGCGTAATATTTCATTGATGAACCAAGGTTCAGTCATCGCTACCTCAGGCTGTTTCTTGCAAGTTTTCTCGATTCGATTAAAACCGCCAATTCCAAGTCCTCCGGATCTTGCTTCCCTCCAAAATGGTGAACCCATGTTTTTCGGTAGAACGTAACCTGAAGGTTTTTGCGCAGCTGTAGCTCCAGGGTTTTCAGCGGAAATAATATGTCAGACAGCCTAAATATAATTGCCGATCTAGTTGGCCTGGGTTGTGGAATTTGTGTGTCAAAAAAAGTTGGCGTCACTATTAAGCCGGCCGGTAAGTGTAAGCTTTATAAGTTGAACTTTCTTCATCGCTACGGCCAAAATATCTTCAAGATTTGGCCCCGCCGCTCCATTGCATTAAGGAAAGCCGTCTTGTATTTACATATTCTGAGCCACCCGTGCAGTATCTGAGGACTGGGGGACGCGTAACATGACGCGTCGTGGATGAAAAGAAAGGCGCGTAAACCAAAGGTCAGGCCTCAAACATGAAGCTCAAGTCCGGCGCTCGTCTCCACCTAATTATTATCGCAAGGTACGGTTAATCGTTAAAAAATCCTGTGGTTTCACTCAAATATCCGCTCCACGGATGTTGCGCCCATTCACGTAAATTAAATAATACAAAAGGACTATTCATCTTGTGCGTCACATTTCACAAACGTAAAAAACTGCTGCACAGTACAGGGAGAACTATGAATCCTGCCTTACAAAACATCATCTCGTCAAAGCTCCAACAAAACCCTGAAAATGAATTCGACATCCAAATATAGCACTCAACGCTGCACAAGCCTATTACATAATAACTGAAATTTGTTCTTTACCACCATCTGCAGTCGTCATGGCTCCCTCAAAGGCAGGCAAAGCAGCCGCGGAAAACATGAAGAAGGAAAAAATCCATCATCCGCAATCCCGAAAGGCAGGACAGTTAGCTCGCAAAGCGCTCCGAAAGGGCAAACTCGGCGGTCAGGCTTCTACTCGGGGCAAAAAACACCATTTCCTTGGTCCGTACTCTTATTTCCAACTCTCCAACGTTTTTGACTGTGATATATCAGCCGATTTCTATGGGTTTTTCTACCACTCAATCCCTGATGAAGGTGTCTTGACGCTCGAAGAGCTTCACGGGCTCCTACGGGACGTTTGGCTGACAAGACATGACGCCGAGTTAGAAGAGGAAAAGGCGTCACGGAGGAAAGGGAGACCCAAAAGTGTGAAAGAAGTCAAATTGGAGGAGATAAAACTGCGAGAATCGGAGGAGTATCGCACTGGCTTCCGTATGTGCATATTGCCTTATATTTCCTCCTTCATCCAGCTTACGTGGTGTACAGAAGTAATTGACCTTACCCACCGACCCACTGTGGATCTGTTTCGACGATGGGATCAGAAGGAGGTTGCCTTCATTCAGTTACTACGATTCATTCGTATATCAAGCGCTAATCCTGGCTCCATTGTTATCTCCAAGCCAGGGAAGCATCACAGCATGGTCGAATCAGTGGAACCGAGTCTTCCGGACGTGGAGATGATTGACAGCTGAATTAGGCATAGCAAGTGCACTGTCGTGATGTATCGTGAATCCACCATTTGCCGGCACTACTTGACGACCCCATTACTGACGAGACTTGTTCATGTAGTCTTTGGGAATGCTGTAAACGAATATACTGTTGATTCCGAATCCATGGCGACGGGTGAGCTGGTGACTAGTAGATGAAGAGTCAACCCCCATTGTCTTTGAGCCTACATCATTGTATGACTTCCTTTGCTTTTTCTTGGGATCTGATTGGGTGTGCCTGTCTTTACTCTGGACATGGTAGTTTGAGGGGCCAATGAACATCCGCCCCGATTGTCTGGACCGTCGAACGGGTCCAGACCTTGCATCAGAAACTTGATCTTCCGGTCCCTAGAATTGCCTCCGTGCCGCAGGTACGGTAATATACATTTTCACATTTTATTTTAGCCTTTGCATCATTTGCTTTATAAAGCGCGAATGGTTATCCCTAACTTACCCACTTCCTCTTCGCATCTCTCCACAACATGCCAGTGCACACCAAGCACCCAGAGGTTCTTGTGGTACGTCTCTCTTCCTATTATCTGCTGCCATATGGTACTCATGCGTGTCTCGCAATCAAGGTTGGTGCTGGACCATCTGGTCTCGTGCTCGCCCTCTCTCTTATTCAAAATGGCGTGTCGGTCCGCATAATTGATAGAAATCCTGAACTACGCGCAGGTCAACGGGGAGCCGGAATCATGGCAAGTCAAAATTCCTCCTCATGCGTTCCATACTTGATTGGGATTTTTGCAGCCGCGGTCGATGGAGCTCTTTGAACTTCTTGGCCTCTCGAAACCCATCCTCGACATTGGTTTCGTTACCCCTCCAGTCAAAACGTACGACCTACACAAAGGCTTGGAATGCTCGGGAACTTTTGAAATAGCGCCGTACATGGAACCAACAGCCGCGTTCCCATACGTAGGTGGCGTTTCATACAACTTGGTGCAATGCGGAACTTATTTCCCGCGTCTTGACAGCTTAACATATTGTGCCTCGGGCAAGACCATCTAGAAACGATCCTTCGAAGAGAACTGGAGGAAAAGTATCATTGCCCCGTTGAGTTGGGCACGGAACTTCTTTCCTTCTCGCAGGAAAAAGACTATGTCAGCGCAAAGCTAAGGACACTTGATGGTACGGAGCAAGATCTTACGTTTTCATGGTTACTTGGAGCCGATGGCGCGCGGGGAGTTGTGCGGAAAATGCTGGGTCTGTCCTTCCTTGGAGAAACCAGCAATATTGATAAGATTGTGGTGGGGGATATCTTTGTCGAAGGGTTGGAACAAGAGGTGCGTCTGTCGTCCCCTTTTCTCACTGCACCCCGCATTCTAATTAGAGCTTCAGTTTTGGCATATGTGGGGTGATGCCGGGAGCACACTGTACGTTCACGAAATTTCGGACCGTCGAATCTTCCTTATTCAAGTAACCCGCACAGAATCAGTCTCCGGCCCACGGAAACTCCCTCGTTGTTCAATTTCATCTTGACTGGAAAGAACATTGATAACGCTTCAATGTCCCATGACTTGGATGGTCTTCGGGACTCATTTATCCGGTGCACGGGGGCGGGCGACTCTGTGAAATGGGGCAAAATAACTTGGGTCTCAAATTACCGGTATGCTCAAGCGTTGACTGAGAATTGACTCGTCGCTGATAAAAACAGACCCAACATTCGAATGGTTGGTAGCTTTGGGGAAGGGAGAGTTTTCTTGGCTGGAGGTGAGCGTAGTTATCTTTTAGCAATACTCGTGCAGTCATCTAATTGTTTTTAGACTCTGCACATGTGCATAGCTTCACCGGAGGCCAGGTGGGTCGAATTCCACGTAGCAATCCAGGGAAACACCCTGACTTTGATTCGGACATACAGGGCATGAATACTGGCATTCAAGACTCGTTTAACCTCGCCTGGAAACTCGCATTAGTGCAACGGGGCCTAGCATCCCCTTCCCTCCTCCGAACATACACCGAAGAACGTCTTCCCGTCATTGCCGAGATGCTCAACCAGACGACCGTTCTGCTGAAGCAGACATTCATAAAAAAAGAAAAGCCCTCTGCGTGGCGTCGCGGCGGCAGCCTACTCCAGCTTGGCGTAAACTACCGGTGGAGTTCCGTAATCGTTGACGAGCAATCGGACGACGAGGATGATTACTCTGATGACGAGGATGACTTCCCTGACTCGTATGGAGAGGACCTCGGTGCCCAACTACGTGCCGGCGACCGTGCTCCTGACGCCCCAGGTCTGCTAAACTTGACATTAGAGGAAGACAGACCTGCGACGATGAAGAGGCTCTTCGAGCTGTTCGGCGCCTCATATCATACAATATTGGTGTTCGTGTGGGACCTTCACCGGTGTTCGACAATACTGAAAGGTATCTCATCGTCATGCCCGAAGGGACTCATCCGAACTGTTCAAATCGTCCGGGCTGACTTTGGACGGCATGTGGAATTCGGGCCCTTCTGCGCGGATTACACGGTCGAGGATACCCGAGGGCATGCATATGATGCGTATTCTTTGACCGAAGGATGTCACGCCGTTGTGGTAAGACCTGACGGCTTCATTGGGGCAATTGTGCAAGATAACAATGGCCTACGGAAGTACTTCCATGGAATATTCGGTTCGAATTGATGTTATTACTACTGTCCTTGATAAGGTTCCTCGTACCGCTACGCTAATTGATAATACCTTAATCAGTGTAATTCCCCTAGCTTATCATAATGGGCCCGGGGTCAGTTAGGCGTTACTTCTGTAGTTGTATTGTTGTAACATCACAGTGATTTTTCAGCCTGCTATGCCAAGCGCCACCTTATCATAGAGATAGGTGTGGACATGTTGCTGACGCGAATAGTATCAAAAGGTAGGTTTTTTGTATCCAACGCATACTGACTACCGGTCATCTGGTAGCCCCAAGTCGGCTACGCCGGTAGTGCTGTTCAGGAAAGCTACCTACGGATAGATACATGAGTTCACGTGTGCAAGCATTAACACAATGCGTCGAACTTAGATCTTTCGAGACTTCCATCGACCTTTAGGAAAGGGTGTAATGGACCCAGGATAACACCGTCGTCGGCGAGGAATATTTCTTCGGTTACAAGATGAGCCTCTAAGGCACCAACGAAGATCATACTAAATGAGATTCGTGAGATACTTTCCTCTTCAGTCTTCTGCTGAATTAAAGGGACCATTATATCCACATTATGAACATAGACGACCAACGGTAAAGTCCGACAACAATGCCTGCATGGTAGGAGTAGACCTATCGCAGAGGTTAGGTCACTGTTGAAAGCCGATCTTCGCAAGGTGGCTTGGGGCGTAGACATCATAAAGCGAACGAGCACCAGGTTACTCACAAGCCATCTTTAGAGCCCTACTGCAACCCAGCTGCCGCACAAATGATAGCTTCTGAAGTATGGATACTGACAGTGCATCAGGGACATACGTATACTTCTTATTCATCATCATTCGTAGAAGCTTCCGATATGATATGATTCAGGTCCAGCCAGGGCTGGAAATGAATTATCAGTAGTATCTCGGAACCGAAATGAAAGATGGACAAACGCTAGCGAACCACCGTGGAAGAATACCACATAGGCGGGAAACATATGCGATTCGATCTCAGACCGTCTCCGTTCCGGCGCATATTACTTTGTCTCGATCGACTACTACATAGTACTGTGACACCGCAATGATCCGTGATGGTAAGAAACTGTACTTGATGGTAGCGGCTGCGTTTCCTCAGATGAACGTCTGTGATATCGATATCGATATCCAGACCAGACTGTCTGATTTTCCAGCGGGAGAAGATTGGGGGTGAAGCTTCAAGTCGAGGATTTTACGTGATGTCGGTTTCCTCCAATCAAAAGAATTCCGTCTACGTAGGTTCATTGATGACAATGGATAAGAATCCCAAATTATCGCATCTGCAGGAGCCCCGAATTAGAGGACAATCTCAACATGAACAATAATAACGGTCATCATCATGCCTTTGCCAACGTATCCTTGTTTCGCGGTCGAGGAGAAGCCTGAACTTGAAGGGAACCCCAATCATATTTTCTTACCTTTCTTGACAATCCCAATTCCATTGTCCTAGCCAAAGAAGACAGATTTTGGTCATGAGAGAACCCATACTAATTGGTCTTTTTCTCTTCAATAAAACTGTAACTGGATGTATATGAGAAATGGAGACCACCTAGTTCGGCCCACCGGTCCGAAAGAGCACGCCCACGTGTTTCTCCCAAACAATGTCGCATAATATTTCTTCTCTTCCCAGCACCTATCATCCAGTCTAAAAAAGCGAACGCCTTTCTTCAGTGACACAATGGACCTTATTCAGGCGCGTCATGGCTTGGCCACCACCTTGAAGCAGATCGTTAGTAAACGAGTGCACTTGCGTGAGTCGAGTCTAGAAAGGTGAGTTTGGAGAATATAGTAGAGCTTCAGCATTTGCTGACCTTGTCGGCGTAGAAGGAGTTAGAAGTATCTGCAGGTGAGGTCGATGTCAATGCTAGAACGAACAATCCTCCTAATTCTGGTCCCTGTCTGGAGAGTTGCACTTCTCAGCATTCCAATCCCCAATCTACTGATGAATTATGCTGATGTCGCTGTTCCTCTGTTTGGTTTTGAAGATTATAGACAAGAGTCTAACACTCCTTGCCTTACACCACTATCCGTCGGTCCGTATTCTCGCAAAAAATCCGATATTCCATACGTGGCTATAGTAAGACAAGCCATTCTATCTTCTCCAGAACATCGTCTCAGCTTCTCAGAAATATACGACTGGATCACGACGGTATATCCCTTCTTCAGTCCTGCAACAACGTCCTGGAAAAACAGCATCCGACACACACTATGCAGCTATCAGTGTTTCCGAAATGAGGCTCACGGTATATGGGCTATAAACGATGCGGATTTGGAAAACTATGGAAGCGGGTCTCTTCAGAATCACGACTATGGTTCTTCGAGGGTGGACAGCGTTAGGAAGATCTCCGGTAGAAAAGATGTGGGTACGACGACTGGTTCGGGAAATGATGATCTGCCTATCCCAAAATTGAAGACTTGAAAGCGAGAGATAGATGAAGAAGCGGGTAAGGAGTCTAGGTAACCGAAAAAGGGAAAGATGGCAAGGTCGCGTTCCTATGCAGCACCCGATTTCGTTCACGAAGGATCGTTCCTACCGTCCAAGAATACCAGGTCTCTTTCATTGTGTCCTCCGTTTTGACGTTCGTCCCGGACTCTCAGGGGCGATAGGAATATGATTGCAAGCAGACGCTACAGAGTATCGAAGGCTTATGCTAGTACCGGTAAAATCCTGGGCAATGTCGTCATTAGGAAACGTTGTACCTTTGACCTAGAGTTGAGGCCGCACGCGAGCACGTCCTTAGCACCTGGTGGACCTTTGTTTACATGGATGTTGCACTATAATGAACATTTGGAATCTCGCTTGAACTTGAACACTAATTTACTGGCAGCTCTCAACACGCCGAATATTTAGAAATTGATCACCGTCACGCCGAGACACGTGCAATCCCGACTCTCGACACTGACCAAGGAATCCCAGAAATCCATTATGCCGTTCAGCATGACGAATTGAAGCCAAGCACTGTAGAGTGCCTCTCGCGTTTGACTCTGCATCTGCATATAGAAAAGGTATCAGAATATTAGAACTATGATACAGTGTGCAACATATGAAACGAGTCATTGATAGCGAGTACGTGGCTTCTTAAGCTCCTTCAGCACATCCAACATGACTCCCAAAGCTATAATACCAAAACTCTGGGGGCCAAAGGATCGTACCCTCTCCTCCCGCGCATCAGTCAAGGCCTCTTGGGCTGCCACCCAACCTGCTCTAGCACGATTAAACTTGACACAAAGGTGCTGAATATCACGCTCGAGCTCATCATTTGACACGAGATCCGAAAAATTATCGTCATAGTCATTGTCGTCAAATTCTTCGTCGTCACTCTCTTCTGGAGGAGGAAAGAACTCTTGTCGTATCGCGCGTGTGAGCTCATGTGTCTGTAGTGCACAAAATTTCAACTTCTATTGAACTACCGGATAAGAGATGCATACGCACCTGAAGGTTCATAGACGCGGTGGTCTCTCTACGCTTCTTGTGATCGTAGTAATGTTCCATGATACACCCACAGACAAGCTCCGCCTCAGAAAGATGTGCTTTTGACCCTTTGGAAACGGTGTGCACTTTGGCTATTGCCAACAGTTGTTGGCAATATTCGTCCAAGATGTGACGCATTTCTTCAAGGACATTTTCGTCGGGGTCCAGGCTCAAGTCATAGGCCACGTACATATGAGGTTCTATCAAATTATCTAGCAGCTCGTGGTCAACAAGGTCTGCTTCATCTTTACGTGGACGGTACTCATCGACAGGTACACTGCGATAGAGTATGCCAAGTATCTTCTTGCTAAGGTAATACCCTGGTGCGTCGCCGGGATTGACACCCTCACCAGACAGGTAATCAGGCCGTAGGTTCCGATCTGGAGGTAGGGGAAGCTCTTTAAAGTTGACAGGAGTTCCGACCTTGGGGAAATCGACAGCATGTGACGCTTTCTTCGCCAGAAGCAGACACTCGTCACAATCGACACCTTTGAGATCAGAGATTCTCAGATGAAGTGTGGAGATATATCCCAGAAGATCAGATTTGATCTAATAACAAAAGTTGAGTATGCATGCCCATCATCTAAGAGACAGGCTGACATAGTTGATAACGAAGTCCGCAACTTCAGCTTTACCACATATATAGCTTCTGGTATCAGGCGGCAGCGGTTTGTATGCGCCAGGTTCCGCAGTAAATGCTTTGGGTGGGAATAGAGCTTGCTGAATTCAAAGTGAGAAAGTCCTTGTGATATGGGAGTAATACCTTCTACTTACATCAAGGATGATGTTGTAGATATCACCATCGAGATCGCCTCCTCCAAGACAAGATGGTAAACTGCGGCTTCCCCTAATCATGCAGTATGAGAAGCGGAAATCGGCGCGCTGTTGTTGAAACACCCACCTGCACGAAAACACGACTACGTTGGTTAAATGATTCAATTCTGGCCTTCGCACTGCCGTGGCAAACTGAACGTCTCCGGGATGAATCTGAGGGCTACGTGTGATCAGAACACGTCCTTCAACAGCTACGCGTTCGTTTGTGCGTGGATCAAAGATTGTGGCATATACTTCGCCTTCCTCAAGACAGTCCCACTCGTCCGATACGCCAATTAGAGTGTACGAACCAGGCACTCGGATCCGTGCACGATGCTTGATTTCCCTCAAGATATGGGTGGCACCATATGCGATGACAGTCTTCAGTAAGTCAAAGCGTATACCTGATTCCGAGTGAAGATCCTGAGATAGTTCCACCTGTAAGATCCTGGCCATATTACGGAACAGGGATTCCAAGTGGAAGGAGGCGCCGAGACCATGATGTGTAAACGTGGTAGCAGCGGCGTCCAGAGATTTCTTGATTTGGCGCACTTCACTGATGGCCCAGTCTTGCAGGCGTTTAAAGCTCTCATTTGGAACTTTGTGGTGCTCCAGGAGAGCAATCATTGGCCGGTTCAGGTAACAATAAATCGGCTTTGCTGATGTGGTGGTTACATCTAGACTGCGAATGTTTTCGGAGTCAAATTTGGTCTGTGATGGACGTATCGTTAACATTTGCCCTGTTAAGGCGGGGTCCATAAATAGGACTCCCTTCGCTCCTCCGAGTCGGAACTGCAGCGCTGAGGGGCCAAATTTGGCGCGTCGTAGGACTTTTTCCTTCACAATTGTGATGAGTTCGTGCGAGATCGTTGAACAGCCATCGGTGAAGAGGGCATTGGTGCTAGTGCCGGCAGTTCGGTCTGGAATGCGTTTTATCATATCAGGGGAGATTTCCACAGACGGTAATGACGTCGAAAACATCTGGCCCCAACGAGCACCTAGCAGGGCGGGGCGGTAAGCAGCTCTCGTAAAATCACCCTGCGGAAGGCAAGTCAGGGAAAAAAAGAGGAGCTGGGATGTTAGAATGATATGATACTCACCAGCTCTCCACGAATGATATCTGCGGTAACATGATTACCTTGAAATGTGAACGGCGTCACGAAGGCAAAAGAATAATCCTTCAGTCCACTCATCGAGTAACCAAGAAAGTCAAACTTGCGCCCTGCGACTAGCACTCCACCCGTAAGGACGGGACGGTACCGTTTCTCCAAGAGCTGATCTATTGAGAATGACTGTTCACGGCGAGGCTTTCCCTTGTCCTCGTCTTGGAATGATACACGAAGGAATGCTTCATTGTTGTTATAGCGTCGTAAGACACTGTTGGACTGATCTGGAAGAGGACCCTCCAAAACCTGCGTCGTGGGCGTGACGATGAGATGGTACGACTGGTATATCGCTGGAGAAGGGGCAAAGCGCCGCTTTGGCGTTCTGGCTTCCACTAAGTAGGCCTCAACTGCTTCATGGAGCAGACCAGTAAGATCTTGTTCTGCTCTGTGGGGCGCAGTTGAGGCCAGTTGCCGTTTACGAGTCCTACGATTTCGACGTTTCCGGCTCGATTTGGACCCTGATTGTGGCGAGGTCGAATTTGATGTCTGAGATGTAGATGTAGGTGTTTGCGGTGGAACATTTACTGCTAGTGGAGTATGAAGAGTGTCCCGAAGACTTGGAACATTCAGCACAGAGGTGAATTGGCGAAAGGCGGAGGCGGCAGTGAGGTTGTCGTGACGCGCCTCTAATTCATGTAGCGCACCACAAAGACTCAGCAGCTCTGAAGCTTCGAGAAGCCCTGCCCAGTACGCCTTTTCAACCTCAAAAGCAAGGGGAAAAGACAGAGACCGGATCTCTACTTGTAAAGCATCCAGACTTTTTTCGCTGTATCCTTCCTCTCGCAGTATCCTAGTCATAGAGCGATTAATGGGGGTAGGTAAATGGATCTCTTTGCAGCGATGAAGAAATTGGTGTGCGTCGACTGATGTGGCAAAGTGCAGACACAGCCCTTGGAAAATCAATGGCGTGAGGCGACCATCTGTGCGTAGCGAAGAAAGTCGGTCTGTAACCAGGTCCCCGACGACCTGAATGGTCGCAGGAAGAGATGACTGGATATAGATATGACATCCGTCGTCTGATGACAATATGGTATTGATATTGTGCGCGCGGTACCAAAAAGATTTCGACGGTACATGTGACATCACGGCAGAAAATATTGATTCGAGATCCATGCGCCTGTTGATCGGGACTGGATCGATATTGATGACGAGCCTGCGTAGGTCAGGATCGCATATAACACGGCCTTGGACGGTCAGCTCTGCTGCGAAGACGCTTTTGCGGCAGATGCGCCCAAGCTCAATGGTGATCGATGAAGAAGCAGACGCGATGTCCTGGTGTCTCTTTCGTTCACGGCGCACGGATTCAGGGTCGACCCAAGGGCGCGACATAACAGCAGCTACACGGGCTTCATTAGTGGGACGATTGGAACGTGTAAAGGAGACTGGTTTCCCGGCGATGCTTATGACGTGGTGTAGTTGCAGGAATACGCTGGCCGAGCTGGCGTCCGGGAAAGTTACAATACCCATGCCACGGTGTACATTCGATCTTCCTTTGCGAAAAAGCTCCACCCCGAAATTCAGTGGTGGAGAGCCGGGATCTTGGATCGGAGGCTGGTGGATTTTGCGCGCTAGATGTACGCGAAGGTCCTCGTCTGATATCGAGAACGGGACATTGCGGACGAAAAGTTCCATGAGGCCTGCTCGAAGACATCAGTAAAGGTGATGGGTGACACAAGCAAATGTACTTTGAAAAACAAAAAGGATGTGGGGCCACGAACCAAAACGTATTCCATCATTGGTGCTGCATATATAGTCAACTTAGGCGCCAGAGGATCGATAACGGCTCGTAGCATCAGCTGATACAAGGTCATAAGACAATGCTTCTCACTGTAAGTACTAAGCAATGCTTCATTACGGCCAGCTCATTTCTTTTCGAGCGATCCCGCGACTCCATCAGCTCCTTCGTGTGTGACCACCCCATGTTCTTGCATCCTTTTCAGGCTATGAAACTGGAACTGTGAATTGAAGCGAGGATGCCAAAGATTGGGAATGATGATATGGGATTGCGTTTGGGAATTTTCCTGTTTTTCGTGTTCGGTTTGTTCGCAGATTTCCTTTGGTACTGTCCGCGTCGTGTAATTCCGCTGCAGCTGTTTGCACGCGTCCTCGTGGTGGCTACGTATTTTGTCATTGTTCGGTAGTCATGCGCGGCATCGTGACATTTTCCGTCGGCACCTGTTATAAATTGATAGGTACCGCTTGCCTGCAACTGCTACTACTGCAACTACTACTACTATTACTACTTGCACTACTATTTGTTGCCAAAACCACAAGAGCTTTATTGTGTTCATGTCAACAGGAGAAGGTACTTACGGTTCCAGTCGCAAAAAGACAAGACCGCAGACAGCATGCGAATTTTGTCGGCGAAGAAAGAGTAAGTGTTCGTATACAGTTTATCTACTTCTAAAGGTTATCAACGTTTTAGTTGGATGTGAGACTTTAAGCTGAACTGTAAAAACGTGTAATGGAAGCTTACCTCGGCAGGCGATGGCACTCAAAGACCGGGGAAACAATGTTCGAACTGTGCAGCGTGCAATATCGACTGCAAGTATTCTGACAGCCGTAGAGTACTGGCAAGTCAGGCATTTGCTCTTCTGTTGCCATGCATGAGTTAACGCAATTGAAAAGGTGCCTTCCAAAAGGTTCGCTCTGGTTTTCTTGATAGCACTCCAGCCTATACTCGAGGTAGTTATGTCCAGGAGCTGGAGAATAAACTGGAAAGGATGGAGAACATCTTACATCGGGTAGGTTCTCTCTGCGCACTCATATACAGAACTAATTACGCTGCAGATCGTTCCCGACTCACATATTGGGAGCATGAGCACCGCCGAGATAGAGGAGCGATTGCGACAGGAGGATTATGAGCGTGATGCGCTGGAAGACAGTCTCAAGCTGGCCAAGGCGTATCCATCCGGCCGCTACCTCTATCTCGGCAAATCGAGCACCGCGCAATTCGTACAAACAGCGAGGGATTTCAAGCAAGGACATTCTGGTGGAATCCCAGACAGAGGCAGCTTCAGACGGCCCGAATTTTGGGATCCACCTCCTTGGCACTCAAACACCTGGTTCCAGGTTCATTATCCTGATTTCGCTTTTCCGGACGACGATCTGCTTTCGTCACTTGTCCATCTTTATTTCACAGAAGTGAATCCCCTCGTGCCGTTGCTGCATCGACCAAGTTTCGACAAGTCGGTTAAGGATAAACTTTATCTGGCGGATAAAGAGTTTGCCTGTGTGTTACTATTGGTGTGTGCTTTTGCTTCGAGGTACACGGACGACCCTCGTGTTTTATCGGAGGGGGAATCGTGCGAACGGTCAAGTGGATGGAAGTGGGTTAATCAGGTAACATGCGTGCGTAAGTCGCTGTTGACTGGGCCGACGGTATATCATTTACAAGTTTTGTGCGTAAGTACGGGTTATCTATGGTGGCTTCTTGATTTGTAATACCGGCCCAGCTTCTTGCCCAATTTATGCTGGGTTCAACGGTACCCCATATGTGCTGGACGATTGCTAGCATTGGCCTTAGGTTGTCTGAAGAGGCGGGAATTCACAGAAGGAAAGCCAAGCATGCCAAACCTAGTGTAGAGGACGAATTGTGGAAACGAGCTTTTTGGTTGGGCTTTCATACCTATCATTTGTATATTTCACTGACACCGATTTTCAGGACCCTTGTGTACTTAGATAGACAGATCAGTGCGTTCTTAGGCCGCTCATGCTGTCTGTATAACGAAGAGTACGTTTCTATAATAATTTATTTTTAATTGTTCGCTGCTATCAGTCGTAGGATCGACCTTGACTTCCCAATCGAATGCGACGACGAATATTGGGAGCCTTCAATGTCAGGAAGTGTTTTTCAGCAACCTGAGGGGAAACCTGCCGTCATGTCGTACTTCAACTGCTACCTGAAACTCACTTCCTTGATAGCACTCTGCCTGCGCACCGTTGTGAGTCCTGGACACCTTTTCAGACATATCTGATCCCGAGTATTCATAATGTCCGTAGTACGCCATGAAAAAGTCTCAAATTAGGCTTCAATTTCTGGATACAAACTGGGAGAAACGCATCATAGAGCTGCTCAATGTGAGATTGAAACATTGGATGACTGCGATACCTGATCATCGTGCGTAATTTCTCTAGCCCATTCCCTCCCACTCTCATGCAGAACAGTACGCTGGGACCCCGAGCGCAAAGATCCCATTCACTTCGCGCAATCAGCATCCTTGCATTTACAATATCATCACTTGCAGATGCTAATTCACAGGCCTTTCATCTCTATGCCTTATGACTCAGAGAAGTTCCCATTCTATTCAATTACTGTCTGCGTGAGCGCTGCTCGCGTATGTGCAGATATCATCGCGACTCAACGACATCGCAAAGGGCATTTGGTGCCCCTCTCTGGTGTGCGTCAAACAGCCTTTTTCCCGGTGGTTGTACTTACTGCTGTACAGCTTGCCGCTTTCCAGGCCGCTGCGGTGCTCCTCTTCGAGTATTGGCGCACCAAACGTGCTGGTTGTCCTGTAAATCCTGCCGACATGAAGCTCGTGGACGCATGCATGGAATCTCTTCAGATTCTGGAGACGAGGCATGTACTTCTGGGTTGCCGTTACTTTCTGCTAACTGAACAACAGATGGCAGTTTGCAGGCCGGCTCTGGTGGGAAAGGTTTTATAATTATTGAGTTGGATGAACTGACACACATGCGGCTGCTTAGGGATGTTCTCCATGCTATCGGCGATCTACACACCAACTTACCGAGCCTTGGACCGGAAGGAAGCCTCGATGAAGGAGCGATTTTCCCGCAAAACGGAGTCTTTTCTGACAGCCTAAGTTCAGAAATTCTTCTCAGCGACAAAAATCTCTGCGAGGTGCCCTTCGTGGATGAGTCCAGCTGGTTTTCGGGTATCGAGCTTCCGTCAATGTCTGTAGATGAGGCTTCTGCATGGTCTCAGATATACGCCGCTTCTTTGGAAAGTTCAAGGCTGGAACCCCCACACTCCCCTCTTCGAAGTCAAGCCGACATCAACAGCACCGAAACTTTGCGCAAATTCGGCTTCATGAGTGATAACGAAGATTCTTTCCTTGAGCCTTCTAATTTCTGCACCAAAAGCGCTGGTACGTCAAAGCCCGATACCTTGCAGACGACCAATGAGTCCCATAACCCTCAATGTAATGAAATGAGGTATGTTCCATACCTGTCACGCAATGCCAAATAAATTTTCATGATCCATTTCAATTAGTTTGGATGACTGGGGTTCATTCTTCAATGATGTAGACCAGCTTACCCATGGCATATGGCAATTCGAAGAAAGCTCGAATGATTCTGCTACCACGAGTGGGTTGTGGTAGAACTAGCAAGCTGATTTCTTTGTTTTTTTAATTCGGACAGATTGCGTAAATAGCACAAGTATTTGTTTTATTTCCCTCCGTCGATTTTGTAGCACAACTATAGCGTCGCAATGTAATTTTTCGTGTAGGTCCGATTCAGGCTGCGTGAGACACTATATCCCAAAGCGGAGCTGCACAGTTACAAAGCAGTGTCGAAACCTTAATTTTTCCTCCATCGACAACGTTGCACGGACCCAAATGGTGGGTATTTTGCTCGTTGCTTCAAATTCCCTCTGCTAAGTAGTGGATTGTCTAGCCTTCTCAAAAGACATTCAGAACAAAGCGCATTTTGGCCAAGGCTGGAAGGCAAAACAGGTAATATTCTTGAGTTCGAGATTGCTGTGCTGTGCTGACGATATGGTACAGGCCAATTCCTCAATGGTTTCGCCTAAAGACAGACACTAAGATTCAGGTGCGTGGAGTATTTACTCAATGGATCCTCCTTTGCTGACTTTGGGTCCAGTACAACGCCAAGAGGCGGCACTGGCGACGAACAAAGCTGAACATCTGAGCTGGTTGTGGATTTGGGGAGGAAAAGACGGCTCGTTGCATATGTATCCCGTACGCTCTATGACTTCATATGAGTCTATGCGAATCTATGCATGTTACAGCCACAATTTGCTGCAAACGCGCCCTGCAAGATCAGCCACTTCGACGATATCCTAGTTGGTGCGATATCAATCCTCTAATTGGTACTGTAATAGTCCTTCTCCGTTCCAGCAGGACTGCACGATACACGGCCTTGTCAGACACAGAGTCTGAAGCCATGCAGTAAATAAGTGTACTTGGTGGACTGGAGGCGGGCTTTCCAAACGCTTCATGGCTCACTCGGTGGCTATCATTTTCTGGCTGGGTTATCCTATGGATGTTTATGGATAGCCATACAAAAGGCAACCTTCTTAGTGACTTTTCTAGCTACAGGTATTTCGCCAGCGTGGATAGGTATACTACGAGGAACGTTGGGTAAGCTTAGCGTTTATCCATAGCATCCGTAATCATCACAGTCCGGGGATGATGTTTTCGAGGATGGCAGAGAAGAGCCCATCGATTCGAGCCGTTATCGATTCCCCAGCATCGAAGTTAACTATTATGCGGCACCAATGACGGACGATATGCTTTGGTGCATGCCCCTACATCTCTTCCGACCTTCAAGCTATGGTCGTCTCGCCTCTCTTGTTACTGTGCTGATCTCTCGGTAGGTGCCATGGAAGTCTTCGTGCGCAATGTATCCTTCTCGATATCAGAAGAGAACCTCCGCGTCCATCTAGCGCGCAAAATACACATACTACCGATTCAAAATCCTCATTCTCCACTCTTAAATTTTGAGCTGGAGCTTTTTCACAAGGCTGGGTCGGCTGCTTATCGTGGCATGGGACTTGTAACCTTTCCCGATACGAGTTCGGCCAATACATTTCTGCAGCTGTACAGCGTTATGGCCATTGGCGAGAGGTCGACCCAGTTCCAGCGGTCCAGGCAACCCACCAATCAAGAGCATGTAGCTTCTGTTGCATCCCGACCTTGGGTCGATTCTGAAACTTTACGCCAGGAAAGAGAGGCGCCAAGGCATTGCGCAGCCTTCTCCCTAAATCACCATTCATCTTGGACGCATCGGCCGCAAAGGCATCTTTGCATCAGAATTTACCATCTGCGGCCAGGTTTGAGGTTGAAAAGGCCTACAGGGCAAGGCTTCTCGAAGCTTCAGAGCTGCTGAGTCTGTGGCGCGCTACATGAATTAGAGGTGCGTCACGACAACCTCACTGCCGCCTCCGCCTTTCGCCAATTCACCTCTGTGCTGAATGTTCCAAGTCTTCGGGACACTCTTCATACTCCACTAGCAGTAAATGTTCCACCGCAAACATCTACATCTACATCTCAGACATCAAATTCGACCTCGCCACAATCAGGGTCCAAATCGAGCCGGAAACGTCGAAATCGTAGGACTCGTAAACGGCAACTGGCCTCAACTGCGCCCCACAGAGCAGAACAAGATCTTACTGGTCTGCTCCATGAAGCAGTTGAGGCCTACTTAGTGGAAGCCAGAACGCCAAAGCGGCGCTTTGCCCCTTCTCCAGCGATATACCAGTCGTACCATCTCATCGTCACGCCCACGACGTGGGTTTTGGAGGGTCCTCTTCCAGATCAGTCCAACAGTGTCTTACGACGCTATAACAACAATGAAGCATTCCTTCGTGTATCATTCCAAGACGAGGACAAGGGAAAGCCTCGCCGTGAACAGTCATTCTCAATAGATCAGCTCTTGGAGAAACGGTACCGTCCCGTCCTTACGGGTGGAGTCATGGTCGCGGGACTCAAATTCGACTTCCTGGGTTATTCCATGAGTGGACTGAAGGAATATTCCTTCACTTTTGTGACACCGTACAAGTCCCAAGGTAAACGTTTTGACGCAGATATCATCCGTGGTGAGCTGATGAGTTTTAATATCTCATATTGGACAATTTTACTACCCCTGACTTTTTTGTATAGGGCGACTTCAGTAAGGTCGCTTATCGTCCTGCCTTGCTGGGTGCTCGTTGGGACCAAATGTTCTCGACGTCATTGCCGTCTGTAGAAATCTCCTCCGACATGATCACACACATTTCGGACCGAACTGCTGGCACCGGTGTCAATGACCTTTTCACCGACGGCTGTTCGACATTTCGCGTGATCTCATGATCATTGTGAAAAACAAGATCCTACGACATGCAGAACTTGTCCCGTCTGCTTTGCAATTCCGTCTGGGCAGCGCCAAGGGCGTCTTAGTTCTGGATCCTAACCTGACAGGGAAGACGTTGACCCTTCGCCCGTCGCAGGTAAAATTTGACTCTGAAAACGTGCGGAGCTTGGACATAATAACTACCTCGACGAAGCCTATCTACTGTTATATCAACCGACCATTGATCGCCCTCCTAGAGCACCACGAAGTCCCAAACGAGAGCTACCTAGAATTTCTCTTCCGTAATCTGTCCAGGATTCTAGATGTGGAGCTTTCTGAACATTCTATCTTGGACTCATGCGTACGCTATGACTTACTGACGACAGCCATTGCCTATGCATCGGCATATATATTGAGAGGAATCAAGCATCATGCACGCATTCGAATACCCGGGTCATACACTCTGATTGGTGTATCAGACGAGTGGGGTTGCCTTAAGGAAGGCGAGACCTATGCCACAATCTTCGATCCACGCACAAACGAACGCGTAGCTGTTGAAGGACGTGTTCTCATCACGCGGAGCCCTCAAATTCATCCAGGAGAGGTCCAGTTTGCTACGGCAGTGCGAAGGCCGGAATTGAAACACCTAACCAACGTGGTTGTATTTTCATGCAGGTGCGTAGCTTCACTGACATACAATTTCGACGTCTCAGAGTGGTGTAATCAGGGGAGACAGAAGTTTGCCATCTTGTCTTGGAGGAGGCGATCTCGACGGTGATATCTACAACATTATCCTTGTTGTTAAATATTGCATCGCCCTTTTTCAGTTTTTTAACTATGATCGTAGAAATCTCTACACCCTCCCAAGGCTTTCACAGCAGAAACTGGAGCATACAAGTCGCTGGCCCCCGATATCAGACAGAAGCCATGCGGTAAAGCTGAAGTTGCAGATCTTGTCAATTTTGTCAGACCCCTTTGTCCAGCCAAAGAGAGTGCCGAACTAATCCCCGTCCCCAGATCCAGTCCGATCTATTGGATACATCTGCACGCTTCACCTGAGAATCTCTGATCTGAAAGGCCTTGATTGTGACGAGTGCCTGCTTCTGGTTGAGAAGGCTTCTCATGCTGTCGACTACCCGAAGGTCGGAACTCCTGTCAGTCTGGCGAGTCTTCCCTCGCCTACGGATAGGCATCGAAGACCTGATTACCTGTTCGGTGAGGGTGTTAGCCCCAATGAAGGACGGGGATATTATACTAGCAGGAAGATATTCGGGATACTCTATCGCAGTGTACCTGTTGATGAGTATCACCCATGCAAAGACGAAACGGGCATCATTGACCACAAGCTATTAGATGATTTGCTGAGGCTTCACCTTTATATGGCCGACGATTTGAATGTGGATCCTGATGAAGAACTACTAGAAGAAATGCGCCACGTCTTGGATGAATACTGCCAGCAATTATTGTCGATAGCCAAAGCGTATACCGTTTCCAAAGGGTCGGCAGCTCGTCTCTCTGAATCTGAACTCGTCTGTGGGTGTATTATAGAATGGTACATAGACCACGGGAAGCGCATGGAGACCACCAAGTCAATGAACCTTTAGGTGCGTACTTACTTGATGCTGTACGCTAGTAATGGCTGCAATGCACTGCTCGTTGCAGACACACAAGCTTACACGAGCTATTCGACACGAATTCAACTCCCTTGGAAGAACACGACAATGAAGAGTTCGATGATGATGAATTCTCGGCCGTTATTTCGAACGAGCGCGACATTCACCTCTGTATCAAGTTTAACCGTACTAGGGCGGTTTCGGTGGCAGCTCGAGAAGCCTTGGATGATGCCTGGGAGGACAAGACACTATCCTTCGGCCCCGAAAGCTTTGATGTTATAGCTTTGGGAGTCATATCGGGCGTTCTGAAGGAGCTAAGGGCTCGGTATTAATTGTACCCTTTCAAGTACGCTTTGAGCATAATGTCCTACTATCGTTGTCTATGTATTCCAACAAGTCCTTATTTTCACATTGCTATGTCTTGCCTGTCTATAAAATGACGTCTCATCCAACCCCTTCTTCACTGTTTTTTGAGTTTCCCCCCGTGGACTCTTACTGTGCAGATATCATCTCCGATTACAGTAATAACAATGCCAGATAAGAAGAGCTATCCCCAGTAGCTAAGTGTATGTTTCCTTGAAGACCTATTGCACAGTTTAAACCATTCAGTTCTCTGGAGGCCGAACTTTGAGGCCGGCATGAAGATTTCGATAGACTGACAGTAGGGGAAAGACGACGGATGTCTGCTTGATGCCATTTTTGCCTTTGACTGGCCCGGCTAGCCGCGATTCTTGCTATCTTGAACCGTCATGTCAGAGAAAAATGCTCTTCCTTTGGTACCTAGAAGGAGCTCCTGGAATCTCGGAATATTGTTAGGAGCAGTAATTATCGGATGGAGCTCCTACACGATCTTGTACATGCCTCTGGATGTAATGCCAGATGTCACCGAAACAGACCTAACCGTGGTAGCCCCGAATGAAACCTCTGTCGGATGCCCTCAGATTTCTCCTTTGTTCCCGAAAACACACGCTGACTTGGATGCCACTCTCGATTCCTTGTACCGGTCCGATACGTTCAAGCTCGGAGCGTACGAACTGCTGGGTGGCGCCGTACGTACTAACCAAGTGATATAGTACGGAGTCGTACGATGACTTGCTTCCCGTGGGCCAGGATGAACACTGGGACATTTTTAGCAACCTCCATGAGTACCTTGAATAGATATGGCACTTTGCATGTTGTCAAGATAAACACATATGGTTTGGTACTTCACTGGCAAGGATCAGAGAGCCACCTCAAACCCATTCTAATCGCCGCACATCAAGGTAGTTATGTCTCTGGAACGTTTGGTACTTAGAAAGATCACCCTGCCCTTCAGATGTTGTCCCTGTTAATCCCACGAGTGTAGACCAATTGACTCACCCCCCATATTCAGGACACTTTGACGGTGAGGCTTCCCCTTGAATGATCTAGGGCCTCCGGCTTAAGCATCATCAGGCACTTGGATCTGGGGACGAGGGTCTGCAGATGACAAGGCCGATTTTGTTTCTCAACTGCACGTTCTACCAAAGTTGTCGCGGATTCCCGAACTGATTATTAACATAGTATTTCAGTTGAACAACTTCTTGCCGCAGGGTTCAAGCCGCAACGTACGGTCGTGTTTGCTTATGGCATAGATGAAGAGGCTTCCGGCACCGAGGTATGCTCATGTTTTGGGCGGTCAGATTCACGACCCTCATATATCCCTCCAGGGCGCTGGTAGTTTAGCGGTTTATCTAGAATCAACCTACGGGGCGGACGGGTTTGCAATGTTGGTAGACGAAGGGGGGTAAGATTCCCCTCGATCTCTATCTCTTCTAACTAAAGGAGCTGCTACCTCAAAGAGGGCTATAGTAAGGACGTTAAGGATGCCGTGATTTTTGCACTTTCCGGTGTGTCAGAGAAAGGCTACTTCGACGCGCTGATTGAAGTCTTCACATCGGGAGAACATCCCAGCATACCACCTGTTCATACGGTGCGTCGGCGATCTCATACTCCATGACCAAAATTGAACCCGAATACCAGAGCATCGGTATTCTGTCACTGATGATTGTGGAAATCGAGAAGAACGCATTTCAGCCAGAGTTCTCGCGCTCAGGAACAGGGTTTGCGAGCGCACAATGCGCTGCTATGTATGACCCAAAATTTACTCCCTCACTAAGGGCCCTAGCTAGGAAGGCTCTTACCGATGATCAGGCATTAGAAGAATTCAAGAGGGCCCTGATTTCGTTGAATCCGATAGTAGGTGTGATGCTGAAGACTACCCAGGCGGTGGACCTGATACAAGGTGGTGTTAAAGTCAACGCGCTTCCTGAGAAGGCGCCCGCGGTTATTAATCACAGAATTGCGGAACATAGGTATTAACCGTTGCGGAAACTTTGAGTATGGTTGATCAACTTATTTCCTTACAGTTCTACTGAGGAAGTACAGCAGCATATTATGGAGCTCCTTACACCCATAGCTGCTGAGTATAATCTATCGATCGATGCCTTCGGAAAGGCGCTGGATATGGGTGGCGTGAAGGGTGGGAAAGTGGTGTTGTCGGATGCCTTTGGGTCCGCATTACAACCGTCCCCCGTGTCTCCTTTAGATCTTAAGGGGCCGTATGGAATGCTTTCTGGAACTATCAAGGCTACGCTTCAGTCTTCTGACCGATATGAAGCTTCGGGAGTCGTAATCATGCCGTCCCTGGGCTTGGGTGCGGGTCTCGCCACATTTTAGTGAATGTAATGAAGCTAACCTTGGTTTCAAGGGAATACTGGTAATATATATGGTTGCAGGGGCGTATCCGGCACTAACTTCGGGTCACAGACACGCAATTCTACTGGAATTTAACTAGGCATATTTTCAGGTATTCTCACCGGAGTACCGATGACCTGTACAATGGCTTGCACACAGTTGATGAAGGTATGGTCCATCAACCGGAAAACACAGCTATAGTCAAATAGTCTCTATTCGCAGCCGTTCGTGGAGAATCCATCATTGAACAAATTCGTTTCTTCACCAAACTCATCCTGAACGGTGATGAAGCGGATTTTTTGATGAATAATGATGGCTTGAATATTTATTACTACTTCCAGACCAGACCTACTGTGTGGCGCGTCTGGGTGCTTTGCGTCGACCACAAGGAGGTTCCGGGTCGGTGCCTTGGTGTGATTTGAATAAATTCGGAGCTGTTACGCTTCGTGGATATATCCTACCGCCACAACAGAGATTCCGAATATGCAGGAGTGCGCATGTCGTAGGATACGGATTCTACGCCTCTATTTTGCCAGTAATGGTCTTGTGGCTGAGGGAAAACCGAGGTGGCGTTAGCGTTGGCTCCGGTCGGCCCGTCAGAACATTACCTCATCAGTCCCGATGAGTACCCTCACAGTCTTCCAGTAGCACTACCAATTCGCGCCAGTTTCACTTCCTTCCGGACTTGGCATCCTACCACCACCATCTCCTCCGTCGTCTATCCGATATCCTTTTCATTTTCTTCCGAAAATCATATCTATTCAATCCGGATTCCAAGTCCGAGCTCTCTACGATCATGTCAAACAATCCTAACGTGGTGTTCGATTTTGATCCCTCTTCTTCGTTGCGAAAGGACCCATCTGGATTCATGCAATCAGATCAGACCTGCGTTCATTGTTTTCAAGAATGCTCAGAGGATGTCTGCGCGCAAAGAAACCTTGAAATGACCTCCCAATGTACAGATCAGTGTGTCGTGGTTACCTGTAACGACCTCACACATGGCGGCGCTTCATTGACTTGCGACGAGAGCGATCATTGTGATTTTATATGTGACGGGGCCACCAACTGTCCGGACTGTAGTGGGCTCGATGAATTCGTATGTGTATGTGTCTGGCTATTTTCGCCCCTGCTGACTCCGTTGCAGCTCCAGTGTTGCACGGACTTTCATTCCTATTTTTCAGACCCCAAAGCCCAGCACCAATCTACCTGGGACCCGACTTTCGATGGGCTATGTAATTGCAATGAAGCACCCAGGAATACATTTTCCAGCGGCTCGTCGTCGTCCTCAGAGTCACCATCACCGTTTCTCGACATGCAGCCTCCTCCTAATTTCCCGAGTCATCATTCTTCAACACCGCCTGAATCAGGTACCTCGTCGTTTATAGATTTGGCGTCTGGCCAGCCTCCGTCACTTCCACCACTGACATGTATGTGGGGTGATTGCCAAGCCCGTTTTCATGCCATGGAACAGCTCGTAGAACACGTCAATCTCGAGCATCTTAGTCTATCTTCGCCGATGCCTCCATCTGCACCCTGTCAGTGGGGAGACTGTCATGAACAGCTCTCACAACAACCGGAGCTCTCATTAGACGTTCTAGCAAACCACCTCTTTCAGGACCATCTGATGTGGCCGACGTCTATGGAGGTTCGTTCATGTCTTCTATTTTATGTGCTGTATTAATTGCTGTCTAGCCCGTCGCATCGTCTTCCTCTTCGCCTCCAATACCGGCTCCTGCTCCAGTGGACTTTGGACTGCTTACTCCTCTACCTCCACCCGCAACCTCGGACCATAAGTGTTCCGAAACGCAGCACATTTGTCATTGGCAGGGATGTGGGAAATCCTTCTCCACCTGTGACGATCTCACCGTCCATCTCGCATCTGAGCATGTCGGATCGGGCAAGGCCCATTACGACTGCTACTGGAACGACTGCGCTCGACATGGCGAGCAAGGGTTCAGCAGCAAGCAGAAAATATGCCGGCATCTGCAGTCCCACACAGGTCACCGGCCATTTCAATGTAAGATCTGTCATCAGAACTTTTCGGAGGCCGCGACATTGCAGCAACATATGCGGCGGCATACGCAAGAAAGTGAGACCTCGTCGTCAGTTATCTTTACGTCTTTTCATGCTGTCTAGAGCCGTATTCGTGTGATCACCCTGGTTGCGGCAAGTCTTTTGCCATTGCTGGAGCGTTGACGATACACAAACGTACACATAACGGGCATAAGCCCTTTAAGTGTACTTATTGCGAGCGGTATGTGGTCCTTCCTGTATCACATAATGCTTTGCTGATATATCGCCAGCGCTTTTACGGAGTCATCAAATCTCTCAAAGCATGTACGTCGTTCTGCTGTTCTCCTTTTTGTACACAGCTCACTTGAAATGAAAAACAGCTCCGAACGCACACTGGGGCGCGCCCTTATCCATGTACAGAGCCTGGTTGCAACAAGTGTTTTGCCCGGCCTGATCAATTAACGAGACATATGAGTGTTCACAGAAAAAAGCAGGTTGAGAGATGATGAAGCAGGGGAAGCATAGTTAAAAGGGTGTTTACAGAGTGTGTCGCAGAGTTGCATTATTGTTACAGATATGTCCGTCCCGTCCTTCCGGTTATGCAAATGGATCCATTCTAGAGGGCGATCAGTTTACGGCACGAATAGTTAGATTCCGATGGCATACAAATCAACTATAGGCTGCGAAAGAGGTTCGTGGTCGCGTTCCTCCGGTTCCTCGGCCGTCGGTGTAGGCAAGGACAACAGATTCGCTGGTTGCACCGGAATATGTGGTGGTGGTCCTGGTGTTGTCAATAATTTCGAAACAGGGTGGGCAGTTAAACCATGGGTTCTCTTTGTGAGAATGACTTTTCCTATGGACATGGTATCAGTATTGCTTGTAACGAGAGCCCCTTGCTCCTAGAGAACGAGATGCTAACCTAATTTCTTGATGTCGTCGTATCCCTTCACTCGAACGGTGTCACACTTGGGATCCACAGTAGTGCCTTCATCAATAGCGACGTAGTCGATTCTTCTCCTCGATAGGAGTTGCTCGTCCACCCGCCACGGTACATCTCCAATGACCTCGTCTACCCATCGACAATGTCTGACAACTTCGCACCTCTCGACGTGTGGGAAAATAGCTGGTGATCCGTAAGAGCTGCACAGCTCGTCGGAGAAGACGCCAACGATGAGATGGACCGAGGGGAAAGCGAGCTTTGCCTGGCGAAGTTGCAAGGCGTGACTGACAGGCGAGTAATAACATAAGCCGTACCGTCAAAGGTAAAAGATACGCACCCAACACCGAAGATATCGAACACGCCGTCGACATACACCCTTACCGTGCGTTGTTCTGCTGAACTGCTCCTCTGCTTTGACTTAGCCTGGGATTCTCGTGTCCATTTCTGGATATCCTCCGGGGACAAGGTAGCTGTGTTGTAGAGATCTCGTGCCTCCTTCGTAGGAGGTGGCTCCGACATTGCCAGAGATAGATCCGCCAGGCTCGAATCCATGCCAGAGTTAGAGATGACATCGTAGTCGGAAAAGTCGTCGCTGACGGATGAGGCATCCATAGCCACGGTGGTCTTGGAGAGCTGAGGGTGATCTGCCTCATGCATCAAGGGAAGGCAGCACCTGACAGCACCTGACCGGTACCAATCCAAACGAGGTAGCGTTGAGAATATTCCTTTCCTGCTGCTCGTGATGGTCATTGCTAAAGGAGATGGCAATAGGAGGCGGCGATTCAGATACCAAAATATCGAGCAAGTAAATGTATGACAAGATAATCAATAAATTCTCAACACGGCGCACCAGCCAAAAATCATAGAAATACCTGATAATACCTGCAGACTTTTTACAGCTAGCTGATCTGGTGCAGAGGGAAACCAGGGGTTTCAGAAACATTGCATTACTCGATACTGATCAACACCCAGCAGCAATCCATCGTATCATATTGTACAGAGGATCCTACATCACTAATCTTCACCTGCTTATCATAGTTTTGCCACTGCAGAATGTTGTTCAAGCATGGACACTCAAGCTGGATAAGAAAACACAAACCTAACAGTCTTCCTGTCCCCTGAGGGGGCCACTTCCGGCCTGGCCCTGTTCAAAACTTTCTGGAACTCAGCGACACGATGCCTCATACGTGAGTGCATGTACGCCTTGGAACACTTGATATGATAGTGCAAATAGTCTCGGAAGAGCTGAATGTGGGAGATAGTCGTCGCGGCCACGGTAGGGTTCGAGAAGTGTCGGGGGAACAGCACAAAAGTTACGTATCCCATGTCCTCTGTGTTGCGCAGATTTCCTAAATGGCGAATCTCAAGAGGAGGGTCCCGGCTAGAATAAAGGACTTGAGGCGCATTTTGGATTGCTGGGAGACGACGAGCATCGACGAATTCCTGTTGTGCACTCAACTGATATTCGGAACACAATAATTAGCATATGTAGCGCACCTGGAGGAAAACTTTGCCATAGATACGATCTGTCTCATCGCTGAACACGGTTGAGAATATAACGGTGACACGATCAGGCGACGATTGCACATAAATGCCTTCTTCGTCGCGGTAATGAATCTGCATCAGTTCACCCTGGCCCGTCCCTGCATTCTCCAATTGCTTTTGAGACTTGAAAGCGAGTTCAAAGGGAGCGGCTAGAGTATTGCGCTTCAACAGGGAGATGGAAGTGATAAATGCTTCACGGTCCTCTGGATATGCACACGTTGGACAAGGAGGAAAGGAAAAGTAAAAAGGCCATACCTGCGCCGGTTGGGGCCTGCTCCAGGTCGATCTCAAGACTAACATGATACTCTGGCTCAGCCTCATCCTTCAACAGAGATCCGTATTCGCGCTTCAGCACATCCAACGCCCCATACTGCACAAGCTCAGCCCAACATCGTATATGCATCGACAGAAGGAGAGTTGTCTTCTTCTCTGGTGTGGATAGATGGAACCGGACGCCGTCGTAGTCGACAAACTGTACATCGAGCGAAGAGGGTCTGCAGATAAACGGTAAACGGAGCAGTGACATGGCGATAGCACGTCGTACTTTACAAGTTTTTCCCCGAGCGTTTGTTGAATGATAACATTGTGGGGCTATGCTGTCGTCAGTTGCCAGGCGTTGGGGTAAGTGCAGCACATTACTTCGAGTAGAATCATGGTTGTCTGAAGCTTCCAACGCAGGCAATTCGTTAGGCGATGAATCGAGTACGACAGTACGCAGCCCTCTTCCGGTAGCCGTGGGCGGCATTTGCCGACGCCGGCACAAACAAGTTATGTTTTCTATTTTACATGTTACATTATTACTAAGTTACTTAACGAAACAGTACAAGGTTTTTATAGTCTAGTATACAAACGCACGTCTGTTCGTCATATAACGATAGTTGGCACAACTCTCTCCTCTAGTGGTTTCCAGGCAACCTGGTCTGGCGTTCGACTTCCGACGACATCAAACACCCAGTCTCTTCTCAACCGCCTATAGATCTCCTTGAAGCTCTCCGTCGACCCTTTCTCCTGCACCATAATCAGTGTCAAAGCCGCCCCAACTTCTGCATCGACCTCAACCCTAAATTTGACTGGCTTAAGCATTCCCTTAACCCCGCTAGGATCCTTCATTTCGTCCACCCTACACTTCAGCACGCTCAGGTGCTCAGAGTCCACAAGAACGACGCGAACGTCCATCGCCATCAACAGCCGCCGACATTCATTCTGCGTTGTTTGTAAACCATGTGTCGATTGAAGCGTGAAGGCCGAGCGTCTGAACTTGAAAACATTTGCTAGCCATTTTGTACCGGGCGACGAGGGAACAGGTGAGTATTCACTAGCGGAAATGGCGGGCGATGTTAGGACAACTTTTCTTTTCCGCAGCTTCGTTCGTTCCTTGTCGTCACGAAGATCCAAGATTTTCACCCGCTTGTGGTTGGCCCCGACCTGGTTTTCCTCGGATGATTTGGCAACGAGTTTTGTATGACAAGAAGTGGTTGCTTCATCGTTGTTCTCCTTGTCGGTAGGGCCTGCAGGATGCTGGCTTCGAGTAACAGATAACGGCTGAATGGTGGTCGCTATCGGCGACAGAGAGACGGTATTCTGCTGAGGTGAAGAAGGCAAAAAAGATGCTATGGGGAGTTCCATCTGCATTGTTCGATCCCCTACGATATTATGCATCAAAGCAAGATTAGCAGATGTTATAGTTGTCGGAGACTGGGATCGCTCTGTCCGAGAATATAGTACGTTGATATGGTCGGCAACTTGTTTAAAGAAAGTCTGTATATGGATGTCGTGATGTTGGGGAACGATGAGTGGCGAGGGTCTGATGACATTCGAGGAGGATCCTGAAGACGAAGGAAGATGAAGATCGATTCTCGGAGAAACCTGGCCTCTGCGATAAGTCACAGAACCTTCGGATGACGCTGCCGATACTTTACCTCCCCGGGCTCTTCGAGGAGTAGGGGGACCATCGCGAGGTGGGATGGACGGAGAAGGTGTTACGTAAGGATAAAGATCTGGCGAGAGTTGGTTCTGAGGTGTACATGAGGTTCCCCGCTTCCTCTGGCGCCGCAGTCGCTCGCTTCTTGCAAATGTTTCTGCTTCTTCGTAACCTTCCCAGTGCTTTCTTCTATACTCTCCAAGAAGATAATAGATTCCTTTGTGCCAGTTTTTCTCGTCGCTCAGCAGATTGTCAACAAGGTCATCATCAGAGCTATTAGGCCAGAGAGTACGAAGATGACGAAGAAGTTCGGTGTCGATATCATCGCGTGAGAGCAGAGGACATGTAATATCATCGAGATTCCTTGCAGGAACATTGGCGAAAGCAAAAGAGCGCGAGGTAAAGAAAGGGTGATTCTGCACACCAGACATCGTCAGCCTTTTCTTGACGTCTTTTACTAGCATCTTCGCAATGAGATCCTGAGCAAGCGGATCGATGTCATCAGCCATCTCAAACTTCCCAACGCGCACTTTCTCCAAGAGTTTCAGACAATCGTCGTCATCGAACGGCAGCCTTCCCGCGAGCATACCGTGGAGGATGATGGCGCAGGACCAGATATCTGACGCGGCGCCATCGTATACCTCGCCGTTGACGATTTCAGGAGCAGCATAATGCGGACTACCACAAGAAGTCTGAAACATGCGATCTGGTCGCCAAGTAGCCATGCCAAAGTCGGCGAGTTTGACGTTAGACTGGGAGTCAAGAAGAATATTTTCCAGCTTGAGGTCCCTATGAACGATGTTGAACCGATGACAATAGTCGACCGCAGCTATAATTTGTTGGAAGTATCCCAAAGCTTCTGAGGGAGAAAGTCGTCCTTTTTCGCAGAGATAGTTGAATAGTTCGCCTCCTTGAACGTGCTCGAGTATGAGATAGAGATGGTTTGCGGTGTCCCAGACATCATGTAGTTTCATAATGTTAGGGTGATCCACAAGTTTCATGATGACAATCTCGCGTTGGAGAGCCTGTTCTAAACGCGCCGCTTCTTCCTCTGCGTTATCAAGAGACTCCTTGCACGAGAAAAGGAACGATTTTCGGATTATCTTGACCGCCGCCATTTGCCCTGTTTTTGAATGGCGAGCAAGTTTGACTCGTGCTATGGAAACCTCTGTCAAGGTAACTGTTTTCCAATGGGCCGACAAACGCACCAGAACTGCCCTTTCCAATGGTCCTTCCAAGCTTCCAGCATCCAATCATCTTTGGATCGTCACCGCACGTAGTCACCCTCGCGAATGTAGGAGAATCAAGGCTAGACATTAGACAAATAGGATAGAGTGATAGTAGTAAGATAGCACTGAGATAGACGATGGTGTCTATGTGGAAAAAGGGACCTCCACAGGGAAACAGTATAAATTGGCCACCTCCACTAGTACAGCTCAGGTAAATAAGTACAAACTAATCGAAGTTTGGGAACGAGAAGCAATGAGATCGGCAAAGGCATTGGCTTGTGAAGGCATCGAGGAGGAATTTGTATGAGCAGGGGTGTAAATAATGGTAGGAGGATGGTGGGGAGGAGGAGAGTGTTGTAGAAGATAGAGGAGCCACCGATAAAGCGATCGGCCGGGAAGGGAGGACCATTGATGAGGCAGCTGAGGGATATGAAGGGCGGAGGATATGATGCGGGTAGAGTTAAGGGGGTCGGTGTACAAAGTCGGGGAGGAAGGCATATTTTGAGGGGGAGATGGTAGATAATATTGATGTATTGTCGAAGCTATTAATCCGTATGTTTCACCTTGGTAGGTCCATACCGAGTTTTGAAAGGAATCAGACAGAGGAGAATGTGACAACGAGGCGTTCTAAAAGCAGGCGTAGATGGGATCATGGAAGCCAAATAACGCGTCGACAAATGTGGAAGCCCGGAGCCAGACAGTCATGAGACCCTTCTTGATTCTTTACCCCCATCATCAATACGAACGACTCAAACTGCAAATTACCTGTCGCCCTATAATATTTTAAGATGATGCAGCCAACACATGCTCCCACTTCAGCGCCCGGATCTCCCCAACCAGCTCCTGAGGAGTCGCAGGTCACCTCAATGCCTGACCCACCACAAAACACAGAGAGTGCTCCTTTTGGGATCTTAGTAGGACTGTTTGAGAGGCTTCAAACTGAGAAAAAACGGGATAGACGAGAAAAGCTATTATCTGCATGGTTCAATGTATGAACCTTTTCCACATCGAACAGCGCCACATTTCGAATAATATTCCTTTAGCATTGGAGAGATGAGAAAGGCAAAGACCTTTATCCTGTTCTACGTCTTTTGCTTCCTCAGGTAGGTATGCTAGTAACTTGTGCTGCTTATTAACCGACTCCGAATTCAGAAAGATCGCGAGCGGTCAACATATGGCTTGAAGGAACAAAAAATCGCCAAGACGTACATCAAGCTCATCCCTTTAGGTCCAAGAGACCCAGATGCCATCCGTCTCACGAATTGGAAGAAACCATTGGAACAGAATGTGTGCGGTACATATGCCCATGTGCTTCGTCTTACCTTTGTTCTTTCTAGAAAGCCTCCGGTGACTTTCCTACAGTTCTCTACGAAGTAGTGGGCAAAAGATCATCTGTCACGGAAAGTTCTCTGTCCATTGACGACTTGAATGAAATTTTGGATGAACTATCGCAGAAACAAGACTCCGTGTGCGTTTCTACACTCTCGTAGTCTTCGTTCTAACAACCAGAAGTACAGGGAAGTCCAATCAAAAATACTGAGACGCATATATAATCGTGCAACACCAGAGGAACAAAAATGGATTGCGCGCATTATACTGAAAGGTGCCTTTCTTTGCCCTCTTAACCATTAAACAGCCATAGCTGAAGGACAAGTCCAGACTTAGTGATATCTGTAAAGGAAACCACAGTTTTTGCAGTCTTCCATCCTGACGCTCAGGACCTATATAATACATGTTCGGACCTCAAGAAGGTCGCATGGACGCTTTGGGACCCCTCATTCCGGTTGAACGCCAACGTACGTTCATCGTACGATTAAATTTCTATCGTTTTTGATGTCTGCGCAGGATAAAACCGTAGGGCTCTTTCATTCTTTTGCACCCATGCTGTGTCGACGTCCGACCAAAAGGATAGAAGAGACTGTCAAGGAGATGAACGGAAGTGAGTTTATCATCGAGGAAAAGCTTGACGGGGAGAGAATGCAGCTTCATAAGAAGGGAAATGAATATTTCTATTGCTCAAGGTTGCTTTTTTCAAGTGTCGGCCTCTGCGATTCTCATTCGTTTTGCAGGAAGGGAAAAGACTACACGTATCTATACGGGAAGCACGTTGGAACAGGGAGTCTGACACCCTTCATTGACGCTGCATTTGATGAGCGCGTCGACGAGTAAGTTGACTGGCATCGCAAGCAGATCCTTGCTAATAGTCTTTCAAGAATTATCCTTGATGGCGAGATGCTGGTATGGGACCCAGTTTCGCAGCGCAACCTTCCATTTGGAACCCTCAAAACAGCTGCAGGAGGTGAGGTTTTATATGTATCTGCACATAGCAGAGCTCCTGACGTCCTTTCAGACAAATCCAAGAAGGCTCACATGCCTCGTCCGTGCTGTAGGCCGTGCCTTTTCCCCATTGTACGACACCTGATCAATGAATTCAGTCAAAGTGTTCGACCTTCTCTACCTTAACGGTCAATCACTCATTGACAAGACGACAAAGTTCCGGAAGCGGAATATGAGGGCTTGTTTGAAAGAGGTGAAAGGACGTATGGAATTTGTCACCGAGTTTACAGGCCGAGATGCCCAGCATGTCAGGCAACGGATGGACGAAGTGATAGAGGCGAGGGGTGAGGGACTGGTCATTAAGCATCCTAAATCCATGTACGTGTTGAACGGGAGAAACAGAGACTGGATTAAAGTAAGCACATTTTGCTGAAATTGCTTCTCGCGCTGATCCTGTGGACCGCAGGTCAAACCCGAGTATATGGTACGTATATCATTGGCCTTTTCCGCTTAGTCAACGCTAGATCTATTGCTTAGGATAATATGGGTGAGACGGTTGACGTTCTTGTCGTTGGTAAGCTTTCACAGACTTGTTTTAGTATGCGTCTTCACGAAGGTTGCAGCTGCAAATTACGGCACGGGATCTCGTGGTGGAGGCGTATCTACTCTTATCTGTGCAGTCATTGACGATCGACGTCCTGATAATCTGGACGATGAGCCTAAGTCAGTGTTGTTATTTGCTTATGATCGTTTTCCGTCCTTATATGGTTGTATAGGTACAGTTCTTTTGTTCGGATTGGCTCAGGCTTGACGTACGCCGATTATGTGTGGGTGCGCGGTCTTCCCTGGAAGCCTTGGAACCCCAAGGCGCCGCCAGAATTCTATCAAACCGCCAAGAAGACAGCTGAAGACAAAGGAGATGTTTACCTCGAGCCTGAGGAGTAGGCTTATGTTTCTTTGCTGCTGTAAAAGCATTCACCCACTCTACCTTTCTAGCTCCTTCATACTCAAAGTGAAAGCGGCGGAAATCACCCCATCAGGTGAGCAATTCAAGAATACACCATACCAGAGTCTGATCGATGTAGATCAATACCACCTCGGATATACCATGCGATTCCCTCGAGCTCTGGCCATTCGACAGGATTTGACAATTGCGGACTGTATGACGGCCTCAGCTGTCCTCGAGAGTGCTCGCACAACAAAGAAGAGGAAGATGGAGAGCGATATTACGTATGTTATGTCGTCTTAGGCCGAACGATGCTGAAACACTTTACAGGACCAAGAAGAAGAAAAAGACAGGCAAGACGAAGGCGAAAGTAAGCATGGTGTGTTCAACGAAGTCGTATGCTCTTCATTTGCTGTCTGTAGCCGACGATGCTTCCTGATTATAAAGGGATAAAAGCCAAGGATGTCTCGGTCAATTCTGATATCTTCGATGGTTTAACGTTTGGTGGGTAATATACGTTGTTGTTACGTGCACTGCAGCTCATTTTCCGTAGTCGTCACTGCTGATCCCAAATTAAGAACTGGTGAACAGCAGAAGAAAGACTTGATGAAGCTGTGCGTCCCTTAACTTCGTGCAAGATGCATGAATATAGCGCCTAACTTGAATCTCGCAGGATCATGACGAATGGGGGGCGCTGTCAGCAGCTAGCTGCAAACCGCCCCAACCTCTTCATTGTATATGGTGGTACCATCACTCGTGCGTATTTCCCTTCTTGAAGGCATATAAGGCTGAAGCATCAATCTAAGCGTATGACTTGAAGCTTTCAATCGGCAAGGGTATCCATGACGTAGTTAAGCCTGAATGGATTACGGATTCCATTGCTCTGGGACGCCAAGCACCACTCTCGAAAAGATACTTTTTCCACGCTACTGAGTCAAGAAAGGAAACGGTGGAGTACAGCATGGAGGATGACGTGAAGAAAGAAGATGAAGTGGCGGAACCGACGGATGAGGTAAGGCCGAGTATCAAAGTGGAGGAACCGGAAGAGATTATGCCTGAGACAACCGATCCGGCCTTAGCGGAATGGCTGGCCATCGACGTGCCGAGAACACCAGCTGACGATGGTTCAGAAACAGAAGAAGATGATGACGATAATGATTCTGTCAATGCAGATGCACCTGGACAGGATGGTTTGGATGACTGGCTCAAGGTGGAAAGGGAGGTTGTGGAAGTCGATTTGAAGCCAGAGACGTCGAACGAAGTTGCTGAAGATGACATTAAGGAATCTGACGAAGAGAAGCCGCGAATGGGAGAGGACGAATTAGCTATGGAGTATAACCAAGACTTCATTTTCAAGCACTTGTAAGTGCTATTCGCTTTGTGTTTAGCTTGAGCTAATATCCACAAAAAGGTGCTTCTACTTGGACACTTCAAGTAACGCCCGACGAAACGGGATGGCTGCGAAGTCAAAGCATGAACGTGCAATTGACGCTAGGCCAGTCCTATTCTTTCTTCTCTCTGTAGCGTTCTGAATGTTCGGTTAGTTTTGAGGAGTTAGAGAAGTTGATTACCTCCAACGGGGGGCGGGTCATAGATCTTGATGAACCGAAATTAACGCACATTGTTATCGATAAACGGGACGATAGTCGCCGATTGGAACTTATGAGGAGGACAGCGAAGTACGTCGCCATCTTTTGTGTTTTGCCTGACAATTATCTTTATGGCATCACCCGCAGGCCGATACGGAAGTATTTGATTCTTTCGAACTTTATACAAAGCTGTTTGGATGAAGCTACGCTTCTTCCAGAAGAAGGTGAGCATTCTTTACGTCGAGGATTGAACCTTGTTCTAAAGGTCGCCATAGAGTTTGCACCATAAGTTGGCCCCATGCGCGATCTACATTGAGAATGGTCTGTCGGCGCAATGATCATACACTGTCAACAAACAACCCGGCCCTTGTGAAAATTTCAATGTTAAGCCGCTATGACAGCGTTGTGTTTGCAAATTGCTCGTCAGACGACCTGACAGAAGAACTGATCGTCGTTGCTGTTTGACATTCACAAGAAGTGCAGCAGGTGCCCTCTCAACGGATTTCCCTCTAAGTTGACAAGAATGAGTCCGAAGGAGCCTTGTACTTGAAGCAAATTCAAAGAAGATTGAAATTGAGGCCGGCCGGCTCCCGGCGTGGCGGGTCGGAGTTGAGATCCGTAGCCGACTTGAGACCATATTACCATCGAGGCTCGTGGCCATTGTTTTTCTTGACCTTTACTCCGCCAGCATTGCGGTGATCGCCATTTTTCACCGTCAACGCTGTGGGCAACGACGACGACGACGACAACCTGAATCTCCGTGAGGGTTGATATCATTTTTTTCTTCTGCGTAGTTAAAACGCCAGAAACGAGAATTTGTCGTCTCTCTGCTGCCATTGGCTCTTGTCTAGCAGTATGGCCGACCGCGAGGCATCGCCCATTTCTCAGCTCCTCAACACTCTCGGCATCACGCGTGAGGAGCTACACAGGCGTAGCGACCAGATGCGTCAATTTCTCACCGCCGACAGCACTTACTCTTCACGCGTTTCCGACCGTGATTCGTCGTCCAAGTCAAGTTCGGCCTCCCTGTTGCGCTCGGCATCACTCTCGACGATGTCAGCGTCGACGTCGGCGCGTTCTTTCTCTCGAGCAAGCTCCAGCTCCATGATGGACGCGTCTCCGCCCCCTTCAACACCCATTAAATCCGAACCGGTCGATGGTTCTTTGCCTCAGCGTCACTATGACACCATGGAAGAAGTCATTGAACGACAACGCCTAGCCAGGAAAGAACGTAGGGACAGGAAAGGTCGGCGGGACAAGGAGAAGAATTTCAAGACCCCCAGGTCGCACCCACGGTCGCCATCGCCCAGCGCGTCGCAGTCGAGCGCTGGCTTTGGGTCATCGCTTGGTTCACGCGACGAGCGCGTTGATGACGGCAATCGGTCCAATTCGTCTGTAGCGGGGAGTCATGAAGAGGTGCGTAGAGCGTCTGTTCGCACTGACTATAGCTGAGGTGGCATATGCAGGGGAGACCGTCACCGCCGCCCTTGACGCCACAGCAGAGCAAGTACTATCGAGCTCACACGGCCTCGCAGTCGTACAGTAGTCTGGTCTGCACCTTTTCAATCACTTTTCTCAGTGCAGTCGCTCAGTGTACCACAGGTCAAGGTCAATCCAAAACGGGAATCACCCACCCCTATCCGCCCACAATCGCTACCCGTGTCTCAGCCAGGTCTTCACTACTATTATGCTCCATATTCTTTGTCAACGCTGTACTCTTCAGTACCTGCCAACGACGAGGCACCTGCTGCTGTTGAGCTTGCTACACCTACTCCAACCCGTATCATTAAAGCACCTGCGTCAAAATCTTCGCCCTTACCGCCATCTTCTCCTCCACCGTCGTCTCCCGTGTCCTCGCCAAATAAACCAATAGTCAACCTCGTCTCGTCCCCCGGGCCTATAGGTCCGTTGCCCGTAGAGGATGAATACGACGGCCTACCCTACGGCCTACCTCCTGGTCCTTACTCTCCCAACAAACCAGAGTGCTCTTATGCCGCTCTTCTCGGACAGGCGATCCTGTCTTCACCTGGACATAGACTTACTCTCCAGGAAATATATGACTGGATAACCATTGTATACCCCTACTTCAAGCGTGGGGAAACGACGTGGATGAACAGCATTAGACATGTACTTAGCACCACCGTGTGTTTCCGTAAAGTGACCAGGGACCGTTCTCTTGGTCGGACCCTATGGGCCATTTGGGACGAGGATCTCGAGTGTTTCAAGGGCGGAGGATTTAGAAAGCAGCTGTGTAACGATATCAAGGTCAAAGACAAACCTAATGCAAACGGCGGGACCAAGCGGTCCAGGAAAACTTCGGAAGGAGGTGGTGCTCCAAAGAACAAGAAGGCGAAAAAGGAAAAGGAAAAAGAAAAGGCTATATCACCGCCTATCCTCTCCGCACCATTGCTTCCGCTTTTCCCTCCATCTCGTCCGACCCCACATCATCAGTCATACTACGAGAGCTGTATTCCGAAGTCCTTACCCTCAGAGATTATTTTCCCGCCCTTACCATCATCCTCTGGCTACCGGCAACTCGCCGACAGCAAAGCTGCAGCACAAGCATCATCAGCTGTGGCTCCTAACAGTGAGCCTTTGCAACCTGGTAGAGACGACGGCGATTTGGATTTGCCCCCTTCTGGGGAAGACAAACTTACACCACCTCACCTAATGTCGTCTTCTGCTTCCGCCTCTTCTGTTCCGAGTTTCTTGCCCGAACTTACGCCAAACGATAGCTCGTCGAGTCCTCCAGTTTCTTCCAGTGATATGGAGGTGGATGCGGAAGCTAATCTGGGTGTTACACCCGTTTCCATTTCCGGCGTGGATACAGATGAGGATGACGGAGGCCTTGAGGAGCAAGATGTTTTTACAATGCAATTGAAGCCGGTGCGATTCTGGGGCGATTCTGATAAACAGGAAGGTGCTCTTCAACCAGGAATACAATTGAAGTATATTGTACCGAATTCTGTGCTGGCGACAGATGACGAGGATGACGAGGATCTCGTGAAGGCCACAAAGAGTAAGAAACAGAAGAGAACAAAGGTTAGTAGCTGCCTGCACAGGAGCGTCCTTCCAGAGCTGATTCTTGTTTCAGGACATTCCAGCTTCTCCTACTCTTGGGCTACGATCCAACCCTTTGAAAGCAACGAGAGCTGCAAAAAATACATCTAGATTGGCATCACCACCCGTCACTGAAGGGCCCTCTACACCGCCGAGAAAGTCTACTTTCGGCCCGTCGTTCTTGTCACCCATCCACACCCCGCTTTCGCACAGAGGACTGCACATGAGTCCTTCAGCGAGTCTTGCGCATTACAAGTCAAACCTTGACCCTCCACCATGTGTGTCATATCCTGAGAAAACAGGGGATAATGAGAACCCTGACGAAGACAGCGACAACGATCCTCGTACTCCGTCAAAGACACGTTCTGCTGCTACTTCCTCTGCGCTACCGGTAACTCCCAGGAGGTTGTTCTCGTTGAGTGACTCTCCGTTCCGGACGCCAGTTGGAAAGTCATCGTTTCGCAGCATTTACGATCCACACGATCCGACGTCGTTATTGGACGATGAGCTGCATAGGATGGGTGCCGCTGGTCATGGAGATAGCCCCGCAGGGTTGTTTGGCAAGTCGCGGGCGTCTTTGCTGTATGATAGCCCAGGTAATGCCATGGGTAATAGTCCAGATAAGTGGCAGAGATGGTGGTAAATGCGAACTTGATTGTTTTTATCTTTAATGTGTATGCCTGCGGACATGCCACGTTGGTATGGACGATCCTCGATATATGATATTTGATTCTCTGTTGCCTGCTGATAGTTTCTTTGTCTTCTTCTCTGCCTCTGTCTCTCTCCCGTTGTTACTATCATGTCACGTTTGTTGTACATTTAACTATCCATCTGCATCTATAGTACCTTCATTCCGGTGAGTCCGTCGGGTTTAGTCGGCACTTGACGCGTGACGTCATCTTCGGACTAGCAGGCGGACGATGTATTTTTTTGGGGGCCACTGATCTTGGAAACTGGCGTACTGGATCAGTTTTTTGACCTTTTACCATCATGACGACCACGTCTGCTCTCGATAGACAACTTCTGGCAGCACTCAAGTCTCGAGACGAACGTCTTATACGACGACGGCTGCCCGATCCAACATCGTCCACCACATCGACGCTCATCGACTTCAACACAAATGATTATCTCTCTTTGGCCAGTTCACCAGTTCTGCGGCGCCGTTTTCTTGAAAAGCTACAAGATGCACCAGATGTCCTGGGCTCCGGTGGCTCTAGGCTCCTCGTGAACGGGTCAGCACACAGTGCTTTAGAAGCCAGATTGGCAGAGTTTTTCGACTCTCCAGCCGCACTACTCTTCAACTCAGGATTTGACGCCAATGTTGGTTTTTTCTCGTGTATACCGCAACCGGGAGACGTGTTGGTGTATGACGAGTACATTCATGCATCGGTACACGACGGCATCCGTGCATCCCGGGCCCACGACTCGCAGTATTCTTTCCCACATAACTCACTGCAAGCCTTTCGGAACTTGTTAGTGGGGCTTCGGTACGAACGTCCGTCCTTGGCAGCGGGAGAGAGTAGTGTGTTCGTCGCTGTGGAGAGCTTGTACAGCATGGATGGGACCTTTGCGCCCCTGCAGGAGTTTGTGGAAATGCTCGAGGAAGTATTTCCACGAGGTAACGGATACTTGGTGGTGGATGAAGCACATTCCACGGGAATTTACGGCCCCCAAGGTCGAGGGAGGGTGGCCATGATGGGATTGGAGAACAGAGTGTTCGCACGGCTTCATACCTTTGGTAAGGCTCTGGCTGCAACCGGGGGTGAGTTATTCCGGACTGTGTTCTTCAACAAGGCTTATTTTTTCACAGCTGTCCTTTTGACAACACCGCTAATACGAGATTATATGCTCAACTACGCACGATCATTGATCTATACAACGTCACTCAGTTTCTTAAATATCATCGCGGCTGACGCATCTTTCGACATGCTAGTGGACGGAACCGCGCGAATACTATCGGAAAATCTTATGGACACATCATGGTATTTTACGCAATCACTCAGTCAACGACTTGTAGCCGTCCCTCCCGACCTCCTTTCTTTGCCTCCAAGCTTGGAGGCATCTCCCATTATCCCTATCATGACTTCACAGCCACGACCATTGTCTGCCTTCCTATACGCGCGTGGGATGAATGCCCGCCCAATAACTTGGCCGACAGTACCGAAGGGTAAAGACCGGGTTAGAGTGTGTCTTCATGCAGGTAACTCGAGAGAGGATATCGACAGACTTGTCAATGGTATGATAGATTGGGCAGAGAGTGTGTTAAAAGAGCAGCGACGGATTAGCTCAGGAAGATCTAGTTTGTCTGGGGTGTTAGTGGCTAGTAAGCTGTAAAGAGAACACATGTGTATATACCGCAGACCAGATATCTATTCCAATATTTATTTGCAGATATATAAACAGAACGGGCAACAAGCAGGACTTGAGTAGAAACGATGGGTTTTGAGTGTAAGGAGAAATGAAAAGCATAATATATTAATACTCTTACACGGTAAAGCCTAATACAACATATTATATGAAGACTTGCAAAGGATGCCGGTCAAACACATTTTGTCCCTCACTTAACTCCCCAAGATCGGGATAGAACGGAACCAGCGAATCCTCAGCACCCAAGTAAAGCGCGTTGTAAATGCGCCAGTACACTTCTCGGACCTTCCTAGCCGGATGGAACAATCCCTGTAACACGTAACTCAACAAAATACCTGGACCCAACGTTACACGCATAGCTTCAATTGCATCCATTACAGCGCCGATGACGTGCGGAGACGTTTCAAAGCAGTTGGGCCACACGAGATTCATCAAGTGCAGCATGGAATCCTCGCAACCCAATCCCGCCACACCCAAAGCGAGATGCTTGACGATGGTGCTGGCAGTTTGGCGGTGGACAAGGTCACGATCGGTGAGCGCATCCTCGAGCATGGTCACAACGGAGTCGCAGTAATATGCGGATTGGGGACCGACATACTCGAATACGAAGGACAAGGCCTTCAAACAACCGGTCCGAACATTCAATTCCGCTGTACGGTATTCGTTGAGAATGGCAGGTATACATGTGAAGGCTATGAAGGGAAAAAATATATATCAGCAAAGCATTTGGCGAAATTAGTATGCCACTTACGTCCACAGGTTTCAGCAACGATGGCGATAGCCACAGTACTACAGACACGACTTTGGCGTTCTTGCACACGCAGATTGGTCAATAGCACTGACAATACATCCTGCGGACCTAGACTCTTGGCGATATAACCAAAAGAATTGACAGCAGCACGTCGAATACCCTTTTTGTGTGCTTTCAAAAGATCCAGCAGTTCAAAACAAATACGCATCCACTCGCGAGCAGGAACGAACTCGGCGCCACGATCGGCGATACGCCCAATCAAGTTGATAGATGCTTCCTGCACTTTTTCGTGCCTGTTTCGTAAGATGGGGGTCATACGGGGTACTAGAAAAATCAGTTCGATGAGCTATTGCCTCAGAACGAAAAAAACTCACGCAAATCCTTCACCGGAGGGTTCATTTGAGTCATACCAACAACGTTTGCAATGGCTCCCTCGGCGGCGATAATGCTTCCCAAAGTGTCTGGATATTCCTCACCAAGTTGCTCGAAGAGGACAAGACCCAATTTGCTGAGAAGTTGGTCCTCTCCACACTGCTTGATGACTACTGCCAATCGCGAGGTCAAATCGGCGGCTTGCTGTCGCACTTTGGCGCTCTTGTTGTTGAGACGCCAGAGGATGGTGGATACAATCTGCGTAAGGTATGGCTTGACACGGATACCAAGAGCGTTTACGACAGTCCCGAAACCATCCAACATAACCTGATCCTCGGTTGTCTGCTCTTGAAATGAGAAAATGATGCCATCAACCAGCCTCATCTCCAACCTCTCGTCGATATCCGAGGCTCCAAGAGTAGCAACGACCTTGGTGATAGTCTCCATAACCATCTTTCTGTAAGGCTCGGCCTCGTCTTTGAGCTCATTCACAATCCTACCAACGATTTCTGATACGCCAGACTTCTGTGCCAACTCCACGGTCGTTTCCACGACCTGCCTGTAATTCCTCCGGTCCAGCGCCATGCGACGAACCCAAAATGATTTGAAGAAGTCAGGAAGGATATCCTGCTTTATGTATTGGGGTGTCACTCCCTCAGTTGCCGCGCATTGCTTGACGACCTTGAGAACAATCTTCTTCATCTCCTCGTCTGACGTCTGAAACTCTCGAATCAGGATGACCGTGACTTCCTTAGTATAATAGGATGCATATTCTGGATCCATTAAAGGGATGATGAAACCGATAGCTTTCAAAAAAGCGGCGAGACCTTTGCCACGATGAAGACGAATACCCAACCACAATGGTTTCAAGACGTTGTCAAACGACTCAATGCCATATGGTGCAGCAGCCTCAGCTAAAGCGGCTAAACCCAGCGCCGTCATTGTCCGAACCTTCTGCTGTTCATCAGACAAGCCATGCGCGATGCAGTCCACCAGATTGCGTAAATGAGGAAGAACAGCGCATCCCATCATGATGGCGATCTGCTGAACGATACGAATACCCGTGTGCCGGGCCTGCCATGACTTCTTGGATCGACAAACAGCTTTGAGGAAAGGAAGAAGGGACGGGATACCCAGGGCTGAAGCTACGACAGAGAATGCACGAGCTGTGGTATTGCGCACATACTCGTCCGCATGGTCAATATCGGGTCGCATGGTAGAAATCATATGGGCCAAACCGGCAGCTTTAGAGAGGTTGGAGATGATTTCGCGACCTTCCACGCGGGCGTAGTAGTCTTCATCAATGAGAAGGGGTTCGATGACGACCAGAATTTTGTGGACGTAGGGACGAACAAGGTCATCGAGTTTGTAGAGAACGCGATCAATAACCTTGACGAGAAGATGCCGCTCCTGATCCTCCAATGTACGTTCCATGAGAAGAGGGAGAATTTTGTCAAACAACGGTCCTGCACCGAATTCACGGGCCTTGTCAGTAATTTGGCGAAGAGCGGTCTTTCGCACAGGTGGAGTCCCGTTCTTTATTTTGAGTAAAAGTCGCATAATTTTGCGCTCCTTCATCTCGTCAACTGAGAGTTCTGTTTCATCCTCCTCTTTCAAGATCTTGGCAAAGTATTGAGCGTCTTCGGCCTTGAAGAAGGCAAGATTCCCAACTCCCGGTATTTCCGTGGGTAGCTCTGGTGCCAATCCTGCAGCAGCAGCCAGAGAAGCAGCATCAGAGCTCTCCTGTATCTGGAAACCGCCAACTTCGGTGCTCAAAGGGGTCGCCATGAGCTTTCGCGGGGCAACACTAGGAGCATATCCGGGAGGTGGGGTGACAATGGCATAACCCGTAGGAGGCAGAACGGCATCGAGCTCTTCGTCGGTGAGATAGCGGTTGTGCTTGTCTTCCTGCATGAAGCCGGGCGCATTCATGATAATAGGCGTCATCGGGACATCGACCTGGACCGGAGTCTGATCCCAACGAGAACGCTTTGCCGTAGGCGTTTCTGCGACTTCAGCAGGCGTAGCGTCCCAGCGAGACCGACGCTTTTTAGGTGCAGAGGCTTCAAGTACCTCCTTGGACCACTCTCCCGAGTCAGCTTTATTAGGGTCAACATTCTCGTCAGAGGGTTCAGGGACATCCCAGCGTCGTTTGCGTTTTGTGCCAGCCGAAGCATCCTTGGCCGCTGCAAGCTCCTTCGCAGAGGCCAGCTCCATGGCGACATCCGTAATCTCAGAGGCGGGTGGTGTCTTGTCAAGGTCCATCTTCATCTTTCCTTCCTCTCGATCCTGCCTTTCCTTCTCCTCAATCGCCTTTTTCACCCGGACCTCTTCCTGTTCCAGTCTAGCCAATCGCATGGCATCCTTGTAGCCCCCTTCAACCTCTTTACCATCTTCTCCTTGCTTGAAGGCATCTGCGCTCTCAAGGGCTACACGGTCAAACCGACGGTTGTGGTAGTCAGATTGGCGAGAAGCTATTTGTCGCTTAGACGCGGTTTCGGCAAATGGGTCGACATTTTCCTCCTCAGCAAGCTCCTCAAATTCTCTGAGCACATCCTTCGGCACTGTGTACGAGTCTATCAATCTGGGCGATCCCGGAGGAGACATTATACCTAGACTTCTGTCAGAATATAGCGAGAGAGTGGTGGGAGTCGAATGCCAAGTTATGTAACGATATTGTATGACTAAGGAACCGTGTGAATTCCCACGCCCCTGGTGCCATAAAAGGCGCACAATTTTTTTTTCTTCTCTTTAATCTACGATCATCAATGGTGAGTCTCATTTTTTACTTCATCTTTCTGATGATTTCTTGCCGCCCCAGTCATAGCTCTTGGCCTTGATGATCGGCAGAGCACAGCCAAACTCATTAGTGCACCACTGATTCTTTTCTCCACTGCGTCGTCGTAACTTGTTGCTTACATTTTTCTGAGGTTCAGTCGTACATGCAATAACTCGAGTTCTCTCAACTGTTATTTCCGGTAAGTTAAAATGTCCTCCTTCGTCTTTCCTTCACGATGTGAAAACGTACACCCAATACCGCAATCGGCATACCGGTGATGGGGAGACCAACGAAAAAATACTAAGAACAGCCAGCTGATTTATTCCTTTCTGATCTGAGATATCTTGGCGTGGTTTGCTTATATTTTCATGTTCACAGTGGTCCTGGAGCTTTTGGCGCACATAATGTTCGTGACTAGTCTTGCTAAATACATTCTGTTTTCTATCGAGTTTGTCGGCAAAACCTATGGATTGTTCAACCATGAGAAGCATCAGGTTCTTCATACATATTGATGTGCGTCAGTCGCCTTGCGCTTTTCTCCTTATGTCACCCTTCGATAGGTGAGGGAGAGCCAGCAGGATGCCAAAGAGTAAGAGCAACCACGATGAAAACGAAAGGACTAATGTGGGGATATTCGATCCAGCAATATATGGAACTTGGCCTGTAACGGCGAGCGTTAGCAAATTTCGTATAGTCTTGAACAACGATCACCTATGATATATGTCATGGTCCAGCAAGTTTGTGCATGGTTGAGCTCGCTGCCATAGCTGACGACACGTTCAGACTAATTCGCGGGACATTATCAAGAAGACTAACAAGTTATGCTCTCTGTTCAATATATCTCATGAGCAGTCTAAGAACAGAGAGTACGAGCAAGCTCAGGTCAAGCTTGACGATGAAGTTTCGTTCTTTGTGCGGTTTACAGCAAGTAAAAACAAGGTTCAACTTTGAAGAGTACAAACTTACTTTCCGAACGAATCCCAGGCTACATACCAATGAAAGTATCAGAAGGTCCCGCTGAGACATGTCATGAAAACTTCATAGCTATACCAAGCGATCTTTCTTGTATCGTTCTACCGGTAAGGAAGATCTGGCGTGAACCGAACTTGAACGTCTGCTTTCAGATGCTGTCATATGGAAAAGCGTGAGGAAAGAAGCATAGAGTTCCACTTTATAGCTTCAAATTACCACTTCAAAGTGCTTTGTTCACACTGAGCATCTCAGGCCATACCGAACGAATATGGCGCAACGACTTTGATTGAATTTGGAAGCAAATTACGAAGTCGCTCATTCAACTTGGATTTGACGGCTTGACAGTGAGCCTTTCAACTCTCTTCCCACCTGTCGCTATTAGTACATCTTTCGGCTTCAGGACTGAATCTACTCATACATCTTTCCAGGTAGATGATATGCTACTATGTCAGGTGAAGAGATGAAACCATTATTTATGTTGCGCAACAATGGTGGCAAGCAACGCCATAGATACGTTTGCATACCACCCCTTCTCGTCCTAAGAATTGAGATACTCCCACGTATTTGTACGACTTACGGAAGATAAGACGTCCACTTCTGATATCCTGTCTATCATCATACATTACTATGGCCACTGCTGCTGTTTTATCTCCCACCCCTGCGGTTACTCCAGAAGGTCAAAGCAATAAAGCCTTACCCGCATGGAAAGTGCCAGCGACAACCAAGGAGCCTTGTAAGCCTGTTTTATGCAACCACATTTACTGCGCTACTGAAAACCGCTCTGCAGTGGATTGGGTTTTACTAGAAACCATCGATTTGAATGACCTCAATTCCAGTGATCCGGCTGTCCGTGAAAGCCTCATATCCAGATCTAAACATGCCCTCTCGGTTGATGGCTTTCTCTACGTTGTCGGTACCGGTGTCACGCAAGAAACTATTGAACGACAGCTCGCCATTACCCAGCACATAATTAAAGGCATTGCAGATGAAGAGAAAGCCGGATATACCGCCAAACTGTCTGAAGGCTCATACCGTGGCCACAAGCCGAAGGGAATCTGGTCTCGCCAAGGTGTCGTGGACAACATTGAAGTGGGTCCACATCTTTCTCGGTTTATGTTGATCGACGTTGAGTAAACATTACCTAGCACTACAACTTCGAAAGTCCGTCGTTCGATGGCAATATCGATCAGCATCCGCCCTCTTTACGTCCCTATCTCCCCGAGATTCAAGCTTTCGCCGACTACACGTACAACCACATAGTTCGTAAGATACTAGAAATCATTTCGTTTGTCCTGGAGCTGCCTCCAAACGCTCTTTGGAAGCTCCACAGTCAAGAGGGTGTCATTGGTGATTCCTGTGAGTTCAGTTACCCTGAGGATGGGTACCCACATCGTTCATACCAGTCTATAGGCCAACGATACATGGGCTATCATCCGAGAAGTCAAGAAGACGAGGAGAAGACGAAGAACATATGGAGTAAGGGTCACACGGACTACAACACCATCTCATTGTTGTTTTCTCAACCTATTGCCGCCCTTCAAATTCTGACACCCAATAACGAATGGAAGTGGGTTCAACATCGCGACGGCGCTGTTATAGTAAACGTTGCGGATGCACTGGACTGTAAGTATCACCTTCAATTATTCACATCACATCTTGAATTTCTTCTAGTCTTGACTGGCGGTGTCTTGAAAGCAACACGGCACCGTGTCATCCGTCCGCCTACTGATCAATCTGACATCACTCGTCTAATCCTTATACACTTTGCCCGAGCGCGCGGGGATCTTATGCTTAATCCTCTTTATGAGTCGCCGATTGTCAAGCGAAATGGCGTACACGCTTTCCAAAACCGTCTCGACGCGGGGGAGCGAGCTCCCACTCAAGCTGAGTGGCTGGCTGAACGAATTAAGCGGACCGGCCATGAAAAATACATCGAGGTCAAGAAGCCTGGCGATGGGAAGGTACAAGAGCATGTTCTGGGACGGAAGGTGGACTACTACGTGTAAGGTCTGATGGAGGCGTGCAAGACGTCCGGCGTTTTCGCCTGTTTTCAGCTTCAAATTTGAAACGTAACGGGGCAGCTTGGAGTATGTACCCCTCACTGTTGCATCAGATCGTGGTGACTGTTCAACCAAATCCTATATGTACGCTAAATATACACTTTTCACATCAGTGTTTGTGATCAATCCGAGTGGTCCTTGAACGACGATAAATCTATCCGTGGATAATAACATTTCCCTCGTCATACAGTTTTTGATCCTTGAACAGTAGTAGCACAAGGACCACCTTGGACCCTCAACGAAAAAAGCGGAAAATATTCGAGTTCTTTAGCACAATTCATGGTCGTAGTCGGCTTGGAACGCTCCAGAGTGAACGAGGCCCCAACGTTATTGTTGGTGAGTGTGATATGCGCTTACCTCCGTAATCTCGAATATTGAGCATTTGTCGCAATACAACTCGCATGGCCTGCCACAACTTGAAAGGTCCAGTTCGTTGTTGATTGGAAAGGGTGGATCCGGCCCGATCTTTGCCGCGCCCAACCACGCGAAGATGCGCCGCCGGATCAGTTTTTCTTCTAACTTACGACTATCAGACTTGAGTGGAATCAACCAAATCTTCGAAATCGAAAACTGTGGTATCGTCTTATTGACTCTTCAGCATTTGTGGTCTTTGTTACAAGCAAGGCTTATAAAGTTTACCCCTCTTTCTCCGACTAGTTCTAATGGGTTCGTTTATTATAGATAAAAAGTTTACTTCCGATGACATATAAACTTCCGGAGGCCTATCATCCATATGTTTACCACCAGTTAGCAACGCAATAGCGCCTACAAAATTAAGTTCTAGACTACAGGTTAAATATGTGGAGAACGAACATACCCCATTCCTTGTATCCGACCCCGAAGAACATACACATGTCGCATCGAAGCATTGCATGTTGGCAGCCACGAGTAGCGGTAATCGCGTCTGGGTCTCACTTCAGAGTCTTCGCATCACATCCTCGCTTTGATTGTCCAGACAAACATGATAGATGAGGGTGACTCCTGGCGGAAGACTGTTTCAAGCTGTACCCCTTTGTTTTATGGCCGACGACAAATCGCAAATCGCAACCCATTATGATGAAGGATAATCTAGTACCCGCCTCGGCCCGATTACACCCGCAGGACTTAACCAATAGCTATCCATGACCTCTACACCGATGGCGTTTGGAGGGCATCTTTTCGCTTCGTTCTCGAACACTGCGGGGTCTGAAGTGTATAAAGACGACCGATGCGCACATTCGGCAAATCTTTCAGAGTGTTTTTGCTATCCTGAATCCGACAGGTGAGTTATTTACTGACGATGGAGCATCCTCTGACCTAGCCATTCTTCATAGTATGACAGCGACACGTCAGGCTACCAAGTTGTGCCACAATTGTGGAACGGAATTCTGCAGCACTGCATGGATGCCCATTCCGTGTAATGCATTTTCGCAGCAGTACCGATGGACAAGCAACGTCCTACCTGCTCCGGAAGAAATCGAGTATCGCCGCGAGATTTCAGATGCGCGAGTCGAGATTTTGCGTTATGAAAATGAACTGCTGAGATTGGCACGGATAATGTCCAAGTTGGATGCAGAGAGAGCTGCTATGGAGACCTTCATTCAGCAGAAGGAGTCATTCCTTTCACCCATTCGAAGTATGCCCAACGAGATCTTAGTCATCATCTTCGAGTGCGCTGTAGACCTGGATGTGGCCTGTACCACACCATCAATCCGCGAAGCACTTTCTGTGCACCGCATCAGTCTCGTCTGCTCTCGATGGCGCGATATCGTGACTTCCATGCCGGGGTTATGGTCCTTTATATCCGTCTCTCTTGGCAGGCATACACAACACGACCTCATCGTCTCAGAGGCTCTTATTCGCAGGCACCTCGAACTCGCGGGAAACGAGTTGCTGACGATCCGTATCTCTTCCGAAAACTACATTCCCCATGCCCATTACCCATTCATCGTTCAGCTTTCCCATCACGCACACCGCTGGAAGGATGTACGCGTCCGCCTCTCAACTGCGGGTGTTGCCAAATTCTACGAAATCCTCAATCGGCCCGGCGTATCTCTTCCCAATCTCGAATTTTTGGCGATTGACTACCCAGCTAACAGCTACAGTCGCGAGTTCAGGTGCAACACATTTCAGGAAGCGTCCAAGCTCCGGGAAGTACATATGTCGGGGTCGGGCTCGCAGATAGTAAAGGTCCATCAGCACCCGTTGCCCTTCCCGCAACTTGAAGCTATCACCCTTGGTGAAGGAATTCACGACGGCGCATCGGTGGCACGTCTGATTGCAATTTCCGAAAACGTTGACCGACTTACCATCGTTACTGGGCCCTCACCAACCTATTCCCCAGTTTCGTCCGACATAAGCACCCTAGAGATCGTTTTGGCAGGAGATTTTGGTGTCCGGCCGCTTCTGAACGCGCTCACCCTCCCCAAGTTGAATACGCTAGTCTTCCGCCTCGCGGAATTCGGCTCAGATTCACGAGGCTTTGATTTGGATCCCGTTATTGACTTGGTAGCGCGTTCTGATTGTCACCTTCGCCAACTTGTTGCCAAGGAAGTGAAGGTGCTTGATCATCAGATTGACGCGCTCCTCCAGCATGTGCCTAGATTGGTAATAATTTCTTGATTATCATCCTCTGTGACGTTACTTCATCTGTACGGATAACGTTTCCTTTCCTTTGGGTTTTAGATTTATCTACCATAGACTTACTAGACTTCATACCATGATGTCTAATCCTTATACGACACCTGCATTTTATATTAATAGCATCCTAGACATATACCCGCATAGACTATAGAGTTTTGAGCACCTACAACCTGTATATATATTTGAATACCCCTCCTTTGGTATCGCAAGGGTCGAAGGTCGCCGCTATATGGTATTCTGTACAATATCAACCCCGAGGACTTGTAGGAGTCCTAGCCAGCTATTTCAATGAACGTAGAGGCAGGATCACAGAGAGGAATAATTTGCAGGGCCCTTAATGAATGATAATTTCAATTGTGCTGTCTCATTAATAATTTGGCTTGCCCGTATATATCGTCGGAGGATATCCGGAAGATTCACTGTTGTATTAGCCGTTGGTCTGTGTGTCTTCAATCACAACCCTGAATTGCCGTGGAAGAACGCATCACCTCTTTGAGTCGACACGCAAACTGGCACCAGTGACCATTGAGTATTTAGCAAAAGACATGGTCAAAACAAACACTCAAAATTGGCTCTCCACATGATACTCATCTATAGTATGTACTGAGCCATTTCGTCAATAAATATTTTGATATTTATGGCCGTCGCTCCCATCTTTCTCTCTCTCACTGACCGAGGGGTGGGTGGTAAGTACTGGATTACTTGGTTTACATAAATACTCCGAGCATGATATGTGCTTCCTTTGAAATATAATGTACAAAACTTGAGGAAAACCTTGGTGGGTTGTTATGGATTTCATTGAGGATGCCAGACCAAAGGATAACGGCACGGTGATTTACTTTTGATTTGCCAGGTTAGCTTTAGCCCATTTTAGCATCGTTTTAGCCCTTGATAGCCGCTGCGATCAACGTTGCCATAGGTTGCCATTCAATGCTCTCACAATTTCGGCTTGCGGGGGGGCTGTACTATTCAAAACGATTCAGCAGTCATGCGTCCCGCCGAATCCATTTTTCGTCAGGCCGGCCGTTGACCTGTGCACCAAGACAAATGAGATGGCGCCGTTAAGGTGCAACATCCATTGCATCTACAAGGTTTCTTTTTTTCTTTTTTCTTTTTTTTCTCTTTATCAAGATTTAACGAAAGCTACAGAAAAATGCGTTTCGTGTCATTTCAACTGAACTGTGCTTTCTAGTTGGATACCGGACTTGCATAAATACTCAATTGTCAAGATGTTATCATGTTCCCCGACGGCATGGACCGCTCCTCCTTCATGTGCAACAGTGCGCACATGTGTTAAGGTCGCCTCGCATATATTCACTGAAACGCGAATACCAGGTTGTCTGATGCACCACAATCATACTGCGGAAAACGAACCCAACAAGCTGGCAGCGCTGATACCATACAAACTTGAAATCAAGGGCGCCACTCTCATAACAATTTGTTGTCGCCATATGCTCGGCGAGCGTGAAATTGTATATTCAAGCAGGTATAAGAAGGTCTTTCATTCTCTATTATTCGATATCTTCAAATCCTCTTTACTATTCGGCAGTATCCACTCCTTCGATTTTACTAGATTTCGATAGATTCCAAACGACGCCATGAAGGGACTCATTGCATTAGTCACTTTCGCTGCTGCATCATCCACCTACGCGACGCGTACTTTCACCGTCACTAACAACTGCGCCTACACTGTCTGGTACGTGCACCATGCCCGATGTCCTTGCAATTTCCTAACCTGGGTTCTCCAGGCCAGCGGTAAATTAGCTGCAATGTATCGTTACACCCGCTCACGCTAAACTTGTTGTAGATTTACACCGACCTCAACGTCGGTACCTCTGTGCCCGACCAAGTCACTGGGTTTGTGCAATTAATATCTGATACTTCGCGATCTGATCGTGATGCTTGAAGTTGGGAAGCAGCTGCTGGAAGTACAGTGTCTTTCTCCGTCCCGGATGACTGGACAGCCGGCCGTATCTGGGTATGCAATACTACTTCCCCACGTCGAATCTCCCTCACACGACATAGGGCCGTACCGATTGCGACTTCTCTACGAATCCTGGGCCTACCTCCTGTGCCACTGGTGGATGTAATGGTGGACTGGAGTGTGATTCTACCACCGGAACTGTAAGCCCATCTTTTCAAGAGCTCAAAATCAGAGCTCAGGCTCACAGAGAGGTTAGGGTGTTCCTCCTGCTTCTGTTGCCGAGTGGACGCTTGAAGGATCCAGCGGCGAGGATTGGTACGATGGTGAGCTATCTTCTCCCACTCGAGTACACACTGACTTCCGACTTAACATTCCAGTTTCTCTCGTCGATGGGTTTAATATTCCGATGGCTATCACCAACAATGTTGGCTGCTCCACCGCTAGCTGCCCCACCAACCTGAATACCGACTGTTCGTGACAAGTTTCTTTTCTCAGTTATGGAGAAAAGGATTTACCCCTTACTGATCCAGGCCCATCCAAGCTCGCTTTAACGTCGTCTGGAACCACGGTCGGATGCAAGAGCGCGTGTTACGCCAATCTTGATGGCAACCAAGGTAAGAAGCATATCTAGGTGTAACGTGATGATGCTGATGCGCTCTCTAGCTGACTCTGGCAACTGCTGCAGCGGCAGCTATAGCACTGCTGCCACTTGCCCATCTAGCGGTGTTGAATACTACAGCTATTTCAGTAAGTTTCTTGTCCTACTCCTGGAATGTCAGGACTAACTAAATATTCCCCCGCTAAACAGAGGATGGTTGCCCGGATTCCTATGTCTACGCCTACGACGAGAGCAGCGGCACCGCCTTGTGGACGTGTGGAAGTACCCTTGCGGCCAACTACGGTTCGTGTTTAAACATTCTTGTATGCACAGTAACTTATAATAGCTTTTCATGCGGTTAGTGCTCACTTTCTGCCCTTAAAAAGGAAGGAAATACATAGATCTTTCAACCTCCTAAACCCTTCGCTCGTTCTATTTAAGTACTAAGTAATTGTTCTATCCACCAACGAATATACATACCCATCTTTACTTTCACATGCTAGCTTTAAGTAGGTATGCAAGTCGCAAGGACTTTGAACTTTGAGGCAAAACAATTAGAAATCCTGAGCAAATCCATATTAGCCAGTGATTTCAGACCCATCAGTCCGAGGTGCAGTGGAACTTGGTCTACTAAGTCATTAACACCACTCCTAAGTAATGCTTAAGAACAAGACGGTCTACTATGAACCACCCGTCAAACTCGGAGGGAAACCAGAAAAGTCGACCTGGTCTTGTACGGGGCGGCCAACAAGGGTGTACGAGACACGCAGACGTAACCGTACATTGCTCTTTTAAAATTGATCAGCGTCAACACATGAATTTATTACACACAAATTCGACGTACACCAGGTGGACATATCACGCGCATTTGCTGAGTTTCTGCTGACCCAGGATTCACGTGTGGACTCGACATTGGTTGCATTTGCAGCTGCTGTGACTGACGGATGATGAAAATTGAGCATCTCGCGGTGATGGCCCTGACTTGAGAGACTTACTTTCGGAACGGCAGCCTGGAATGTGAGACCGGTCACTGCATCACCTCCCGTCGCTTGGAATCGAGCAAGTATGAGGACTACTCCAGGCTTCGTTGGAGATGTTTGAGGCGTGAGCGTAATCTTAAGCTCGTTCCTATCGTACGCAGTGTATGAGGTGAGATGAGAGGCAGGTTGCGGATGAGGAGCCGGGGCCTGAGGCGGTGGCGATGCAGGGCTATCAAATAGGGAGGGAGTGGAGACGAGGGAAGGAGAAGCAGATGGTACAGTAGGCGTTGAAGTTGTCGTGCCGTTGTTCGGCCCGAATAATCCGAGAATGTCATCTATCGTTGTTCGTTGTGAAATCGGCTTAGGTGACGCGCTTGCTGAAGGCGTGGAGCTTCCACCTGATGAACCAAAGATCTCAGCAATAAGCTGCTGATCATTGGGCGCAGACGACGCGGAAAGTCCATTGACGGGTGACGCTGGTTCGTCCCCTAGAAGATTCCGCGACTCCGTCGACCCAACAGGCTTATTTTCGCTCACTAAAACATGGTTACATTACCGGAGGACACATAGCAAATTTTGCACTGACCGACTCCCATGATGGTGGCCTTGAGCTCTGGAGGCGGCATTCGTTCCAGTACACCTTCTCTTAGCTCACCGAGATTGAACAAGCTAGCAAACTCTACCGCACGCTGCTGCAGCTCAAGTTCAGGACTTGTGGTATATTGTGTAAGAACTTCGGATATACGTTCTTGCTGTGCGGTGGAGGTCGTAGGTCGTGCCGCCATTTTAGTTATTGCGGAAAGAACGTATTGTCGTGTTAGATAGTGAGCATACGGCGAATCAAGAATAGACAACAGCAAATCAACAAGTTCTGTGTCCGTGACCTATACGATATATCAATAAGTACAGGCGCCGTAAGCGAAGAATGACTAGAACAAACCAGCTTTGTCACATCGTCATCGACAAGACCACCTTCTATTATAATTTCACTGTATTCTCCAATGATCCAAGAGGCAGCGAGTGTCAGCGATTCTTGAGATATATCGTCCTTCAAAGCCCTATACAATCGTGAGGCCGTGTAGGCTTGAAGTTCTGGTGTGTGCGCCACCAATCTGATAAACGCCGACAAGACTTCCTCGCGTATAAAGTTGCCGGCCTACATGTGGATAAGATTATGGATATGAATGGTGCAAAGGAAACAGCCACTGACGAGTTTGAGCACACGCAGAACGGTATCAATATGCCATCGTTTACTCGGAGCGAATCTCTCCGCAGCCAGGCAAATTTGGGTAGTCATCCCAATCTTGAACTCGTCGTCTGCAATTTCTAAAAACGCCGACAGCTCTCTGACTAGTACCCGAACATTTTGTTCGTTAATGAGAGCATAAGATAATTCTAATGCGCGACGTCGAATAGAAATATCAGCGTCACGCAAGCAGTCAAGGATAATGTTTCGATGACGTTGGACGGCATTGGTATCCATTGATACCACCTTATTCAGTGTGTTGAGAGCAACATAACTGAATAACCAGTCAACTCGCTGATCAACGACGCAGGACAAAGTCACGCACCGAATGTTGTTATCTCGATTGCTCAAGAACTTCCCTAGAATATTAATGGCCATAACGCGCAATCCCGTATCAGCTTCAATCTCCAAGACTGTCAGCACGGTTTCGTAGAGTATAGAATTTCCAACATTCTTTGTGGAATCTGTGTTTGTGGCGACCTGCGGTTGGATTGAGAGAAGGTATCAATAAAACTTCTATGAGTTTACCTGCGCCAGTATATCATTCATCGTATCACTCGCATGCTCGTCACCTTTGCCTAGGAGACGCAACAGACGTAGTATTTTGACTTGAAGAAAAGGGTCCGCGATTCCAGACACATCATGCTCAGGACTGTAGCCTGTTGTGACTAATGACTTGAGGGTTCGAACAAGGATTGGGACAGCCTACGGGAGGCTGTTAGGGACTCCAAACCAGGACGAATGCATACGAACATTTCGGAATTCATTGAGAACGGAAGGATCGGTTTGAGACATTTGAGTTATCAACGTTATTGACGAAAGCAGGACACCATGATTACGGTCGGTCAGGAGGTTCTTAGCTTTGGAGACGAAGTGATCGGTTAGGTCGGGGACTTTCTTGATAACTCTCAGAGCACATAGTGCCGCCTTTCCAACATGTCAGCTGGCACAATGGAGAATTATATTTGTACTCACCTTCTTGCGTATGTACGTGTTACTAGAACCCAAAAGCTTTTCTATCTCATTGGCCAGATCGCGCGACATTTCTTCGGAAGCAATATTGGCGAATGTGCAGAGTGCCAGCCCGACCGCATACATATTGGAATGTGCCATGTCACTATAGGAGGCATTAGCGTCTGAAATCGACTGCAAGAGAAAAACATCACGCACTTCTTAAGGGAATTCGTTACCAATGTCAACACCTCTTGTTTCTCATCCAGTAGCAGCATGATACCCAGATAACCAAGACGCTTATCTGCAAAACGAGGGCTCGCTACAAGCTTGAGGCATTCTATTTGTCCGAAATGTGCCGGCGAGCCCAGCATGTGGATGTAGAGGAGTTTGGCGATGTTGTTGTGCCGAGCATATGAATCCTCATCACGAAAGGACGCGCGAATAGCTGCTGACTCTTGCTGAATCAGAGCCCTCTCGTCGGCCACGGTCTAAAGTGACGATATCGATCGTTGCAGCTCAAGTTGACTGCGTTAATGCTGCGTACCTTGCACGACCGGATGCCCTTGATGAGGGCTGATATCAAAGTTAGGCCGGGAATGAAACATCTGAGGATAAGCATACCTTTGAGATTGTGGTAGACCATTGGTATCCCGCGCGGCGCTGTTCTTGAATGTGTGCCTGTGCAAGCGACGTGTGATGGATGCAGAACTGTGACAGAACTGTGACGCTATTAGTGTCACACGTTACCCCCTGTTACCAACGAGGCTCTCCAGCTCGCTGTTTGGATGCAATCTTTGCTTCCTACCACCATGCCGTGCGTTTAAGTGCATGGAATCGCGTGTCATAATCCTCGGTTATCCAAGCTCATCTTTTAATTCTGTAATATCCGTCGAAATGTCACAAACTCTCTGCAAGTACTTTCAACGCGGCGCGTGTACGAAAGGGTCGAGTTGCTTGTTTTCGCATAATCCCTTCACCGCGAGGGCCGCACCAACGGTGATCTGTCCTCACTTTATTTTAGGTAAATGCCGATTTGGTGATAAGTGCGTCAACATCCACACCGAAGGGTCTCCTTCGGCCCCCCATACTGACCATGGTCCAGAATCTCCATCGATACGGGGTGTGTTCAGACGGGTTCTTCGGGTTCTTCGAACTGAAATAGCCGTAGAAACGCATGCTGAAGTAAAGTCATCTGGGACTGAGGTTGCAGATACTGGATCAGACCAACCGAGTGCCTCCTCGTTCTTGCCGCCCGAAATCGACACTGGAGAGGATATCTCTGGTCTGTCGCCAAGAGATCAGCACATTTCTGAATCATCCTCTTCGCAAACCCTTGCTTCTGCCTGGCCAGCTAATGATGAGCATGGAGATAAAAGCTCTATGAAGGTCACGCCTGAGGACATCCATGCAGCTAACACGCTGTCTTCTCTTCCTTCTCCTTTCAACCATTCTCAAATGCTCTTTTCATCCGATGCGGTTCCTGATGGTCCCGCAGCTTATTCCTCTTCACAACAGCAACAGAAGCCACTTTGCGCTCTGTATGCTCTACGAGGATCTTGCACCACGCAGGACTGCCATCTTCTTCATGTCCTTACGGATCGTCAGTATCACCTTCTTCTAGCTAAGCCAATTTGTCCGCCACCGCTATGCAATCTCTTTGCGACTGAAGGATCTTGTCCTTATTCAGCATGCACACTTCGACATGCTTTGATACCAGAGGAATACCAAGCTTTGATCTTTCAACAGGAGGATCAAGGCATCCAAGGTCCTCCAGACTCTGACGCGATACCAGTGGTGCCTGGACCTGCGCCCCCAGCATGCTCCTTCTACTCGGAGGGTAAGTGTCGGAATGGCATGCAATGTCCCTATCGACACGAAGCTCCTCGTGATAATAATCGTGATATGGGGTTTAGAATTCTGAATAGTGTCTGCAAGTATTATTCGTCCCCCGCAGGGTGCAAGTATGGAAACACTTGCAAGTTCCCTCATGGAGACACCCCAGCCTCTGCTGACGCAGACTGTAACCATTCGTCAGAGATTGGTAGTGGCGGATGGGGTAATGAATATTCGACACAGAGCGACCAGGCTGGTAAGTTTCAGTGGTTTGTATATTGTCTCTCAAACATGAAATCGATACGCGATGCAGGAGACCGCGGGGATACACCCAGTGGTCGCGCTCGATCGTCTAGACCATGCCGATACCTCCAGGATTGTCCTTATCGCGAAAAATGTTTGTTTAGTCATGATAGCGACCCCGCTGAAAGTGTCCAAGCACCCAACCTGCCGGAGGGGCGGGGAGAAACGCTGAAAGATGATCCTTGGAACGCGAGCTCTTGGGACCAAGCAGATAGTAACGGAACATGGAATCCGTCAGAAATAGAAACGGCACCTACGGACCAAGCCACATCGAGCTGGGATGATCCAGGAGGAGGATCGTGGGATAATCCAGGAGAAGGCTCATGGGATAATCCAGGTGGAGGAGGAGGGTCATGGGACGATGCCGCAGATGCAGTGGTCCAAGCTGATCACCATGAACATGCTGAAGATGGAGCTTTGGATGTGGATGTGGTCCAAGAAGGCAATGAGGTAGGCGGTCCATCACTCTTGTAGCCGAATTACTGTAATCAGTGCATAGAACCCTGCTTCTGTGGTGGTGGATGAGAATTATGATGTGGTAGGGTCTTCTGTTCTTCATTAACAATATTCATTCATTCATTTTTTCAACTAGGGCCCTCCCGTTGTCGATCTTTTCAACTGCGTGGTGAAGTACGGGCCAGGTGCCATTCCAAATGCTGTCACCACGCCCTTCAATACTTCCACACTCCTGCTTTCCAATCTTCCTCCAGATATATACGATGACACCATCACCGAGATGATCCAATCCTATGGTACTCCTGTCGAAATCGGACTCGACCCCGCAGACAGGGCTGCACGGATCAAGTTTGAGGAGTGCTGGGCTGCTGCGTTGGCTGCTCAAAGCCTCGATGGCACCGAATACCAATCCATGACATTGACGACCACAGTCGATCTGTCTAGTGTTCGAATCTATGAATTTGCCAGAGTGAGCAGGACGGTCAAATTGACGTGGACCACACCCTATCGTACTGCATGGGTTTTCTATGACTCAATCACGGAGGCAAAGAGTGAGGTGGACAGATTGAACGAATTGACGCTCCAGGGTAAAAGAGTTAAGGCGGAATTCGACCGCCCGAAAAAGAACCAGAAGAACTCTTTTTCCGTGCAAATACATGGTCTTCCGAATGAGGTTGACTCTGATACGCTCAAATTCTCGTTGAAAGTACGCCCGGAATTGTCCGTCCATATGGGCCCGCCGTCCTTCGTTGGAGACCCCCTACAGCATCTTCAGGAGGAGCTTAGATGTTTCGGGCAGGTGGATAATGTTGACGTCATTACTTATGATGGTCCGGACTCGAAGACAACGGGATTTGCTCATTTTGTAACGGCGTCCGCTGCAGCCAAGGCAGTGGGAGCGCTCAATGGAAAAGAGCATGCTTCCCTGAGTGGGTTGGGCCGCCTCGTGGTTAAACACACTCATTTCATTCGTCACAAAATTGATCGGTGTATATTCACGCCCATCCAAGCTGACGTTGGATCGTTGTGTGATCCGTACACAACTTGTCAAATCCTCACCCATGACAGGGATGATGGCACAGTCGTTCTCCATCTGTTTGGAACTGACCAAGAAGAATACATGCAGGCCAGAAAATATTTAGATATGATAGTGTTGGGCGAGCAGCTGCTTGTCGAAGGGAAGGCCCTATGGGATCCTTATTTTGATTTGGTTAGCTGCAAAAATCAACTTGCTCGTCTCAACAAGAAACACGGCGTGCACGTCGACCTCGATTTTTTAAATCGTATTGTCCGCATATATGGTCCTAGAGAACGGCGGTTGGAGGCTAGGCAGAGCGTCCTTGATTTGTTGAGACTGGTCCATCCCCAGCAGTTCAGTGTACCTCTTCCTCAGCATTCCTTGCACAACCTGTTGAACGGCGGCTTGGAAAAGCTACGTGATGTGATTGGGCTTACGAAAGTCGATATGGACCTTATCGATAGAAGACTTATTGTTCGTGGCTCAGAAGAGAACAGGCGACAGGCGGAGGAAATCCTTTCGACTTTCATAACCTTTCCGGAAGGAAATGAAGATTGTCTATGCAGCCTTTGCTGTGTCCTGCCTGTCAACCGGGTCATACTTCCTTGCGGTCACTCGTACTGCCACTCTTGCTTGCACACCCTCATAAAATCTGCCATCAGACCCATGTATTCGAGTCTGAAGTGCGTCGCCGAAATGCGCTCCGGTGATGTTTCCGATCTAAGCGTTTCCGAGTGTTTGGCTTTCATCCCTCACCAAATCTTCATGCAGATCGTCCCGGAAGAGGAACAGCACGACCTCCTAGAGTCATTCTTCTTGGCATATATTCACGAGCACCCTGACGAATTCTTCTTCTGCCCGACGCCTCACTGCCCTTCAGTGTATCCAACGCAAAATTCCATCCCGGGAGCTATGCTTCGATGCCAAACTTGTCGCGCCTGGATTTGCCCGTCGTGTCGTGTTACATTTCACGAGGGCTTGACGTGTGAACAATACATGGCGGTTTTAGTGCCTCACGAATCGAAAGAAAAGCAGCATGAACCCAAAGGGCAGGAAAGACCAGAGAGTCGTGCGTTGGTCGTCATTAGCTAGGGTGCACTAGGTGTATGGTTAGATAGAAAAGACTTTTGTCGTTGTTGAGGATTTTCAAATACATTCAAGTAGTACGAATTCAAGTTACATATACCTACCCTATTTGATGCTCACAGATCGTATTCGTCCGCATTCAAGATTAGAGTGGTGAAGAAGCGGATCATTTCGAGGAGTGCATCAACGCTCATGTCTACAGCACGCGCAATCATGAGAACTTCGCAAAGTCTATGTGATATATGACACTCACTCTCATTGACGGTATGGACTCCGCTTAACCGATTTGGACCATATCCCGAATTTTTATGATTGTAACGGAAGATATGAGGGGTGAGTTTCCAGTAGAATTTTGTATCTGTGCAACCATCAGGACGAGCAGGCATCCTTTGCACAACCAAAAGACAATACCTGTGTTACCGGTCGACATGCCGGGGCCAACAGCAATGTTATCTTTACCTGTTATTGATCTATGTGCGTTGTACGTGGACTTGATTGTCCCAGACAGAAGCCTCCAGGGGACTGCTTCATCTCCGTAAAGAGGCGTTCGAGGAGCAGGTTCCAAGGCGGTACCAAAGGCGTCACTCAAGGTCAGACTGCCCTTTGAAGGAGCACCGACTTCAGAGATACTCTCTCCGAAGGCAGTAAATGTCAGGTTGAATTTATGGGCCAACTTTCTAACCGTTGCAGTGTCATGAGCTTCTGTCTTTCCGACCGAGCTGCAAATCAGCGTAAATTACAATCAAAGTGTAGTCTTTCTTCACGTACCTGAGTGTAGAGATACGGTGGTTTACGACGGCGTATGCTTGTTCAGGTAAAGCATTGGACTTCACACCGCCATGGATCAAGTCGATGGCTTGAGTGGTCTCGACAAGGCTCTTGAAAAATGGCTCCTTGAAAAGAATCTTTTCAAGTGCTCGCAGAGCCCACTCCGAATGTGCCGAATGCTCCATCGCATGACGCAGTTGCTTAGGCACGTTTGTGCCATATGCCGTATAACACTGGAGAGTACTGTATAGGACATCCTCTCTCGACTATAAAGATAGATGACTTAAAGAGGAAAAATCGGATAGGAATAAAACATACCAGTTTTGGGACGTAGGGATTCTCTTCAAACTCGACTAAAAGAGCCGAGAGTAATCCGATACTCTTGAAGTGTGAATCAGTACCGATAGGAAACTGTCAGGTGAAAAGGTTACCGTGTGGGATGGCGGAATAGAGGAGTGTCCACCAGGAGATGCCACCTCAACCTTTACATCTATGTAGCCCTTTTCTGCAATACCGGGGGTAGCAAATATGGTTCCATATTGATCTGTGAATCCACCTAGAGCAAACTCACAAATTGGGATGGGTCCAACGAGCTAGGCGACTTACCTCCTTCGTCAATAAGGAAAGCGAAGGCGTCTTCCCCGTATATTTCAAGCATAGCTTTTCCGAGTGATGCGGCACCCTGATCACAAAATCAGTACTCGATGATTTCACATAGCAAGTGTATTTACATATACTCCGCTTGCTTCTTCGTCAAATCCGAAAGCAAGGATAACAGTACGGCTAGGTTTGAAGCCCTTCTCCAATAACGTTTCAACTGCTGACCTGAATGTAATAGCATCAGTCCAAGGTTGCTGGTACGTTGAATCATAAAATGACTTGCATAGTGCCAATAAGACCACTCTTGTCGTCAGAGGATCCTCTTCCCCAAATCACTTCGCCTGACAAGAGATACATCCAAGTTCTCGAGTGACAGGTCGCTGCATTAACGACTTACCATCAAAGTATCCAGAGTAGGGAGGGTGAATCCATTCGTCTATCGTTTTGGGATCGACGGGGACCACATCTATATGATACATAGACATTAGATGTTATGATCACCATAGAAGTCACGCGCCTACCTTGATGAGCAGCCAACACAATGGGCTTCAAAGTAGGATCAGTTCCAGTCCATTCGTACAGCAGGCCCCATGTGTTGACTTTCTTTAGAGAGAGAGAGGCGTGTCTGAAAATGTATTGAGAATAAACTGACAAAAATTTCAAGCAGATACGTACGTCAAAGGATAAGAATTCAAGAGGTAATCGTGGAAAGGACCAAACGCTTCCCAACGGGGGTCAACACCGACATCATCCATGCTATCATACGACTCCGTGCTGTAGCATATCATTGAGTGCGCCAGTACTATCTTGCATGAAACCGAAACAACATACGGAATTTGCACGGCTCCAGACAACCAACTAATCGCTTTTGTCTTGAACTCATCAGTCCCAATGATATCCCCCAATTCACTCCAGAACGAGGCGTGCTTCGACGGGTACAGAGCGTCTACTTGTTGACACGATGACGCGAGTGCGTCTTTCGCATCAACCCCGTCATGATAATAGTCGATACTATACGACTTCCAATCCTGAACGTGCTCCATGACAATCTCGGACATCGGGAGCGGTCCCCAAAGAAGAACAACCAGAATCAATGTATACATCACATAGCGACTCAGCTGGCTCGAGCGACCTGTTCCAGTATTCACGGGCATTGAAAGAACCGCACCCTGGCCTTTAGAAGACATGATGATAGTCAATGGGAAAGATGTGAATTGCCGAAACTTATATGCACCTATCTGCGATTGATAGCGACGGCATTTACAACCGGCATTTGGACGGCAGTGTTCAAATTCCAAATAGCCATGGAAGATAAAGATATAAGATATCCAACAGGCGATATAGCGGTATACTGCGGTATAGACATGCGTGCAGTTAGTCTCCAAGTAGATACTAATAGTCCAAAATTAAGATAGAAATGCTTCCGCTTGTAGTTTCCATATCCGAGCATATTCACAGTCCCTGCGAACAAGATCAGCATGAGTGCCTTCCTCTATGATCGCCGAGTCATCCATATATCTAGAGCGACCAAAGGTATCAATGTTAGTCTGAGTACTGAACAGAATTACACCTACAAAATCAGATCAGCATGCCGCGTCAGGTTTCCGAACCTATGAGAAGAGAAGACCATGGTCTTGTTTCCCCGCAATTTGCGCAGTCGTTCAAACAAATCTGTTATTGCAGAGATGGTCAGCTTCGTATCGAAGAGTGAAAGGAAATATACCATGTTCGGCCGTAGGATCTAAACTGGCGGATGGCTCGTCGAAGAGTAGCAGACCCACGCTTTGTTCAGATACGAGCGATCGCATAAACGTGCGAGACCTTCACACAAGATATTAGACGAAGACAAAACAAAAGAAGAGCCACTCGCAATGCTATTCTCTGCATTTGACCACCTGATAAAGACGTTGAATTCGTGCTACTCATGCCGCCCATGCGTCTAAGTTTGCCATAATTCACTGGTCTCCCGAAGAGTGTCTCTGTACCTTCGGGCAAACCGGAATACATGTCACGCACAGGCCGCTCGAGATAAGTATCAAAGCCCTCTGGGAGTTTGTTGATGAACTCCTCTGAGCCACCGAGCCCCGCGGCTCTTCGTATCTTGTCTTCGTTAGTATGGTCTTCAGGGTCACCGAATCCTATGTTATCTTTGATCTGAAGATAAGTTAGATTTGAAAAGGTACGAAGAGATGCATTAATACCGATAGCGGAAAATGTGTGTAATCCTGGAAAAGGACGGAAGTAGCGCGTCTGATATCAGCCAATTTCAATGTTTTGATATCAAGATCGTCTATGAGAATGACGCCTTCCAGAGGGTCGTATAAACGAGCAATCAATTTCAAAATTGTGCTTTTTCCAGAACCGTTCTTGCCCACAATGACCTTTATCGGCTTCAGTATCAATGTAGTTGACCTAAAGAAAAACCACTTACACAAAGCTGTCCTTGCCGAATTATGAAGGATACTCTTTGTAGGGCGTAAGCTTCTGCGCCTGGATATTTGAAAGACACGTTCCTGTGAATGCATAAGATAGACTGAATTGGATAAGCAGGGAAGACAGAATAGGTACCTGAACTCGATTGAGATTCCAGAGCTGAGGGTCTGGGGGTTCTCAGGATATGGTATCACTCCATCTGCCACACGATTCTCCATCTTACCAACTTCGTATAGTTGTCGGATACTCGCCATGCGCTCTGCCACAGAGGAAGACCCACGAAAAAGACTATACAACGTAAAGGTAAACGAAGTTGCCGAAGATGTGATCAAGTTCAGTGAGGCGAGAGAGAGTGGTATAGAAGCAGGCTGTTGCACGGCACGGAGAGTGAAGGCAATCTAGAGTATGAGTATTAAGTGCCCCGGAGCTGTACGACGCTACTGTTATCCATACCTGAGGCAATTCACGCAATGGATCTTGGAGAAACGACAGATAACTGTCCCGCGCTTTTTGGGACGAGTAAAGGGGCCAAAAGTCGCCTCCGGCATCTCCCACTCGCCATATGCTAGTGGTGTACTCTGGAGGTAGATGAAAAGACGGAACATCTTACAAGTAAAGAACATCTTACCATGAAGAAGATATTCCCACATCCCACCAGCAACCATCTCTTTACGATGTGTCGGATTGATAATTAGACGCTTGAGTCCCTCAGACCTAATGTAGTCCTCATCTTTGGTCGTCGCGGCCCATACTGAGAAACGTCCACTTAGTATTGTGTACGAAGTATTGTAATTGAACGACCCACCACTGGAGCTTATATGTCGCGCATGTCGTCCTTCGTTTTGAAACAGTGCTTGTCCGAAACTAAGTATGGCGATGAGAGGTCCATCTGGTTGGTCATGCACAACTCGAATGAGAACTACGAGCTGAGATACAAGCTGCACCGCAGTACTGAAGATGTCGATGATGGCATTGACTGTGCCCCAGGCGACTGTAGAGCCTGAGTCAACTGCAGAGGTCTGTTCGAGCTGCTTCTGCACAGCTGGATCGTCAAACGTTGGAAGGTCCAGTCGCGCGACCGCGTGGAACATATGAATGGAATAGTATTGCTTGATTCGTGAGTTCAAAGCTGGATGAATGTACTGTTTGGCATGTGAAACCAGCCGAGAGAACAGAGAGCATGCAACCCGCCCAGTTGCGACGTGAAAGAGGAGTGTTTTGTCTACGGTTCGCTCATCGATGGCGATTTGAACCTAGGAAAGAGCGAAATTTTTACGAGGGATGAAAAAAGGAGGAACAAACTTGCAATGTTCAACAATTGCCCAGAATACCTGCGAAGGTTGCATCAGAATGCCTACGTGCCTCTATGGGTATTAGGACGCACCAGAGGGCTACTGCTGGTATCAAAGCACCCAGGATATGTATAAGAAGGTTGAGTCCAAGGAGAATCCGGCAGAATCGAATGTTCCCAATATCCCTCAACATCCTCCAGAAATATGGCATGCTACCCAGCATCTCGACATAGGTCTCCAACCGCGACGACCATGGTATCCGAGCGAGCACCTCAGGCTTTTCTTCGTAAAGGTCCCATACTCCAACACGTGTATATGTTACATTTTTGCTGTCTGACGGGTCGAAGACTCCCTTTCGAGTGCTGCGCCGCTTCCGCGGAGGACGATACATGGATGTAAGACGAAAAGAACGCAACTGTGGTCAATGTCATTGTAGTACCGAGTAAGGAATTTCAGTATTCCACGGGATCACGGCTGGTAGCATCGGACTCAATCGTACTCCACTGTGAGGTTTCATATGATGAAAGTTTTTCAAAATCTCTCAACAGGAATCCCCAGTGATAGCATTACAGATTTTATCATCAATAATATTATAGTTTTCGAGGAAATCAGCCCGTGGTATGTGCGTACAATGAAAATGCTAGGTGGGGTATAGCGTCGCCTATACCTTCTTCAAATTGCGGTGCAGTTCGGGCTTGACGAGGACCACTCTGTCTAACAGTTTTTTCACCACGTGGTCCTTGTTCGAGTTGAACGAAGCCGTGATAGATTGGAGCTTTATGTCTGTCTCCTTGTCTATTGATGCCTGGGCACTCGACGTTGTCCCTGCATGCTGTATACAGTCGTTAAGAATTGGCTGGAACGCGGAGACGGTGCACGGACCGATGCTTCAAATGCCTTGAATTCTGCTTCCTTAGCTTTCTTATACGCCTCTATTTCCTTTGATGCTTCAGAGCGAGCGTCCTTGAGTTTCTGTACACGGTCTACGGGACGTAAGCGTAGTCTCGGATCGGCAGGAGCGACTGCGCACATTGACGAGCTTGTTGTACAATTTTGGCGGCCTCTTTTTCTGCCTCAAGAAGGGTCTGGATTCCTTGAGATTGTTGTGCTGCCTAGAGAAGGATAATGAGCAGGAAGATAAAGCAGAATAATGCTGGCAACTACCATTTCGTGGTGGTTAAGTGGCAGTTACAGATGTCACAGTCACGCCGAGGCCTTGAAGTGAATTCATCACCATCGGTCGTGGGGGACGTCGTGAACGATGTCGGGCACCCCAGTGGACCCCCTGCAGACCCTTCAGGCGGCATTGACCGTGCCTGCAAACTCAAAGGAACAGGCAGACCTCTTGGCTGCCCTCCGTGAATCCTTGGAAGCCCATCCAGGCCCCATCCGTATCCTTGTAGGAACTCTCATCGGAATCGTCGCAAATACCAGTGATTCTCTGTTAAAGAGATGGGTTCTCGACCTTCTACAGTTTGCCATTTGTCGGTCTACATTACCTCTTGACCAGAAAACACAGCGTTAGTGAGGTCGCATTGAATGAATTTTTGTTCTTAATATCTGTTTTATTAGTGGCATCGCAAGCGTTGGATACATTGGCTCAGTTACTCGACGATCGAACACCTGCAATTGTCAAGGTAGTCATTCAGTGTCTGACGACAGTGTATCCGCTGTTGTTTCGATTATTGTACGCGTCTTGCCCCGAAATTTCACTTCCGGTTTATCTTTTGCCATAGATGTTCAAACCGGTCGAATCCTGCCGCATGGGATACGTTGTCTTCCTGCAAAGCACGCATTCTCGAATTCGTGTGGAACCCCCGTGCCAACAATGGTGTAAAGGTGTCAGCGGTGAAATTCATGCAGAAGGCTATTCTGGTGCAGACGCGCGGTATTTCCGATCCTCGTGTGCGTATGATAGTCATATCTACGTATCTGAGTCTGATGATAGGCACCCTGTTCAGCTACAAAGCAAGAACGACCCAAACATTTCCTTCTGTCCCCCCGACCATCCGTTCATCTCTGTCGCCAAGCTAGAAAGCGAGGGCCAGAAGCTCTTAGAGAACGTCATCACCATCCTGTTCTCAAGCCCCAACGTTGATATACTCTCAGCAGTATTGAACAGCTGGGCATCCTTGACCAAACTGCGACCAGCCATGACACCTGTGGTCATTGGCGTACTTAAACAGTGGACACCAGCCGCCCTTGGCGGACTTTCTACCTCGAGCGTCAAAAGTGTCGAGAAGGCAGTTCGCATCCTTCTCATCCATATATCACGCATCCCGAACAACACGCAATACGGTGCTCAAATTAACGAAATCATCTCTCAGCAAGCCGTCCGAATGGAAAGAGCCCTCATTGAGGAGAAGAAGCGGAAAGCTACTCAAGCATCTATCATTGACCTTAAGAAAAGACCGCTGCCCGATAGCGAAGGCCCTACGGATCCTAAACGCGTCAAACTCGACTCTGAATGCGGCCCTTCTTCCTCATCGACAAATGTCCTCTCCTCCTTCGATTTCACGACTCTTCCCGCCACCCTTATCACTGACCTCATTGTTGCTAATATCGAAGCCTTTACCGAGTCAAGTTTAATTGGGCTCGTGCATGCGTATCGTCAACGGAGGGGTCTACCAGGACCTCAAACATCCGAACCTCCTGCTTCACACACCATGGCCCCATCTAATGTGCTACAAAGCAATAGACCAGACGAAGGACGCCGCAGTCCTGTATCCCAGCCTCCACCCGAATTACAAAAGCCACCGCCTGTCGCGAGAGTAAAAGACGAGGAGCCAGTGGATCCACTGCAGATGGACATTGATCAAGATGAGATAGAATATGAGCCTGATAGGCTCAACGAAGAAGTATATTTTCTCCTTTTATTTCTGCAAACGCTCTAACATTTGACCTCAGCTATCAGGACCTCTCTCTACTGCTGATGCTTCCACCAACTTCCCTGCCTCCATAACGACAAATCTCACGCTTCTCAATTTCAAACTTCCTCCTCCAAGAGAATTCAGTGACTCAGAACGTACTTCAGTAGTCACCGATTCAATACAACGTATATGGACAGGGGCGGAAGAAATACGTGCCAGTTTTGTGGATGCGGGTGTCTCCCCTGATTCACAGATCGTTAGTGCAAGGGGTGCGACAGATATGACCATGCTGTTACTGGTGAGAATGATCACAAGAGTCGCAAAACCACCCGTGGAAGTGGACGAAGACGGCGATGAGAAAATGAAGGAGAAGGAGTCTGAGAATGAAGATGCTGTTGATGCCTACTATGAACGACAGGACCAGATGAGGCAAGCTCTCTGCGATTATATCATGTCCGACTTTCCATCGCGGTACGTTGCTTGACTGTCATATTGCTGTAGACTGACATTTTCAACTAAGGATACGGCTTGCTACGACGTGGATGAATGAAGAGTGGTACAATGATCGAATAAGGTCTGTGCGCGACCCCACATGGGTAGGTACCTGTTCTTGCAAAGACAGAACCTAAACTCAGAATATTCTCAGCGATTAAACTACGAGACCTGGTTAAACCAGATAGTAGCATCTTATCAAACCGTCTTGGACGGAAAAGATCGGACGTTTTCACGCTTTCTTTTAGATCTCCCTTCTATACCCCCCGATGTTCTTGTTCTACTTCGGGACCTATGTCTTGATCCTGACAGGTTTGTGAAGGAAATGTTCAGAGCAAGCGTACATTGCTGACTGCTCAACAGTCCAGATAGGATGCAAGTAGGTTTTACAACTTTGCGAGGATTTGTTATCCAGCGACCTGCCATGCGTTCGGATGCTCTCAATGTACTCCTTGACCTGACGACCCATCCGGAGAAGAAGATTCGAGGAGCTGCCATTAATACAGTCAAGCTCTGGGTGCCCAACAGTCAGCCGATGGATGTCATGGTTCGGGAATTTGCGCTGCAAATGCTTCGAAAGCTCCAGAACTCCCCCAAGGAAGTTTCGAAGGAACTGACGAAGATTTCTGTCGATGGCGACTCAGAGATGCAGGTCGATGGGAGCACAATGGCGGAGACAAAAGGACACGAGGATGATGAAAACATGGAAGACGGACAGTTGCCTCCCGAGGATTTGGTTCAGACTCCGTACCTTCCGGAGCGTATCGAATTGCCTGCACAAAAGAGCCATGTTTTGCAGCACGTGGAATTATTGTTCGCGTTGTCCGTCAAGGTTCCTGAATTTTTGGAAGAGTGCGTTCCATTCATTCAGTCTCCCTACCCAATACTGATGCACATGAAGGATCTTTGCCGCATATGGGCAGATGGATGTGACCGTGCAAGAAGCTGTTCAAGAACTTATTACCGCCCTGATTCGTTCACTGGGCTCGAATCACGGTAAACTCCTCACTCTGATGCGGAATTGTCCACCAGGGGCCGAAACCCTGGCGCTTCGCGTCCTTACCATTTTCACTGAGAGTGGCCGTCCAGGCGCGCAATTGGTGGCGCTGGTCAAAGCCCTGATCCAAGAACGGGATCTCGATGCCAGGTTCCTCATTCCCATCATCGCAGAGATGGATAAGGTAATGTTTTTCTATCATGCTATTTCAGTCGGTCACTGATCGGTATTACAACCCTAGCCTGATATCATTCGGCACCTACCACGAATTGTTTCAATACTGAATGGAGAGCCTGAACCCAAGAATCTGGTCCGTTCAGTTTTCAGCTCTGTCGTAACGACGCCACCGCAAACATTTGGGAGTGTCACATCAAATCTTCCTAGAGTTAGGCAGAGTGAATTGCTTACGCCTGCGGAGCTCATGGTTTTACTGCATGAGGCAGAAAAGGAGATAGGACTGAAGAGCGCAATCGAAGGTAAGACCGGCGTATATGCTAGTTGCTTTTTTAATCGCTTCAACCAGCTATCGGGATCTGCTTCTCGATGACTGACGTCTTCCGGTCTGAGATTCTTGCCGTGGTCATGCAGCAGATCATGGACGAACCCGTGTTGCCAGTACTTTTCCTTCGAACGGTAAGAGATTCTTGTCCGTCATGTTACCAAGAGAACCGAGTCTGAAGGCACAATCTATAACAGGTGATCCAGGCCGTTACTACGTACAAATCACTCGTAGGCTTTGTCTCGACAACACTGTTGTCCCGACTGATTACGAAGAAAATTTGGACGAACCCACCGCTATGGGAAGGGTTCATACGGTGCGCGAAAGCGATAGCACCGGCGAGTTTTGGTGCACTGCTGCAGTTGCCGAAAGACCAACTACGGGAGCTCGTCGATAAGCAACCAACGTTGAAGTCTGGTCTTCGTGATTATGTGATGAAGAAGGCGACGAATAAAACGCGAGTATCAGGCTTTCTGGATATTTTTGGAGAAGCGGAGGAGACCAATTCTCCGAATCCTTCGTGACCAGATTCTGTTCGCTGCCTGATGTAAATTTATTGCTAGCCATGTACATCCATACCTCTAGTTATATTTGTAGGACAAAACTGAACTTATTGTATCTTAATTATTGCATTATGGAAGATTTTGTTGACGCCGAGATCCGTTTTCCTCATGACGCGCGTGCCCTAAATTAGAACCTGTACAGCAAACGTCCTTTGCCTCGGGACTCTCATTTTTCTACCTTGACCTTGTTTCCTTCTCCTCTGCTCTGTGTATTCCACTCACCTACGATACGGCAGCGCAAACGACTCCTTGAGCACCCATTGCACATAGCATACTTGGCGAGGTCGTGCCACCACGACCAGGACGTGGTCCAGTGACTCCTTGTGGCAGCCACGCTCTTGCAGATCGTGTGTTGTTCGTCTTTGCGTAATTCATTCAGGAGACCTGCAGTGCACTGCTGAGGATGACGGACCACAAAGCTGAGCAACCGTCGCCCTCGGGTAGCGCTGTGAGCCGTCGGGCTATACGAACGAAAGGCGACATCGGCAAGTCGTCCTCACCTTTGCCGTCACCGGGCTCGTGGCATGTCGATAGAGGCAGATCGCGGGTTCGTCGCCCTTCCAATCCATTCTCTGAGGACAGTCTGCGCAGACGGTGAGTCCCATCCAAATTATTACCTCCGTTATCGGAGTCGACGCGTTGTATCTAGGGGTTATCACTCGCTGCTCTCATCGTTCGGTAAAGTGTTCCATGTCGAGAAGCGCTGGAAACTCGTGAGGGAGATGGGCTCCGGAGCCTATGGTGTCGTCATGTCTGTCGTCATATTCCTCGTCCTCAATGCTATAGCTCATGATCACGCCAGTTCAGCAGCAGATGATATTTCTGGAGAAACTGTGGCCATCAAGCTGGTTACTCGGGTTTTTGAGAAGATACAACTGGCGAAACGGGCGCTCCGAGAAATCACTCTACTCCGACATTTCGCTGGACACGAGAACATCACTGGTCTCATCGATGTAGACGCAATATCACCCGATTTCGATGAGATGTATGTCCCTGCCATCCTGTGAACTTATCTTTATTTGACTTTTATATAGCTACTTATTCATGGAGGTATGACCGTCCTGACCTCAGGAAAAGTATCGCATTCATTTTCATGTGTTTAATTTCTTCAGCCTATGGAAGGTGCGATTCTATGATATGACCTCCGGCATCCATTCATTGCTTCACAGCCGATTTACACCAGATCATAAAATCGGGACAGTCTCTTTCCAATGAGCATGTCCAATATTTTCTTTATCAAATTCTACGAGGCATGCCGTTATCTTCAACGAATGGTTAGTGTCTGACATGAACTTTAGGGATGAAATTCATACATTCCGCGTCAGTTATTCACCGCGACCTGAAACCTGGGAACTTGCTCGTGAACGCTGACTGTGAACTGAAAATATGTGATTTTGGTTTAAGCAGAGGTTTTGAGTCGAGAGCTGACGAAAATCCGACACATTTGACTGAATATGTAGCAACTAGATGGTACAGAGCCCCTGAGATCATGCTAGCATTCAAGTGCGTATTTTTGACGCCGTTGATACCGTGCTGACCGTATGCTTGCAGGCGATATAATACGGCAAGTGCGTTGGTCAGGAAAATTTTTCGTGGAATTGGTATCTCATTCATCGTTTGTCTAGTTGATGTTTGGTCAATAGGGTGTATCTTAGCAGAGCTGTTATTGGGAAAACCCTTATTTAAGGGCAAGGAGTAAGCATATTGGACTTTTACATAATCAGTTAATCTAACTCTTTTTTTAGTTACGGTTAGCAGGATTCTGCAAGATGAACAACTTCCAACCTAACGTACATCTTATCAGTTGATCAACTAAACAAGATTCTTGATGTTCTTGGTATGGTCGGTGTCTTCCAGCGTCGCCTTTCTGGCTAACTTGCGGCAGGATCACCCAGCGAGTTTGTCGTCAAGAAGGTAGGGAGCGATAAGGTGCGACAACATACTGACATCATATCGGCCCTCGCTGACTTATATGTTAAGGCTCAAGCATATGTTCGGTCGTTGCCCGTAAAAAAGACGGTAGCTTTTACAAAAATCCTACCTTCTGCAGATCCACAAGGTGATCAGGCGCCTCTTCTTTTATAGAAGACTACTTACCCTAGCTTAGCCCTCGATCTACTTAAGAAAATACTATCCTTCGATCCTGATGGCCGAGTTTCTGTTGTAGAGGCGCTCGAACACCCGTGGTTATCCTCGTACCACGACGTCGTCGATGAACCAGAATGCGCCAAAACATTCGACAGGTGGCGGCAAATAGAGGATTTGGAAACTATGGAAGAATATAGAGAAGCTATCTGGAAGGAAATCGAGGAATATCGCCACGAAGTTCGGGGTATCAGTGACCTTTCTGGTGCGCCCATACGGAGAGTGAGTGTCAGCGGTGGATCGGGACCTAGGGCAAAGCAACCTTCATTAACGAAGGAAGGTATCGAGCCAGACGTTATAATCGAATCACCCGGAGAGGAAACCCTCGGAGAAGGGGCGGAAGAAGAGCATGACGACACTCTTGGGCCTCCACCTCCAACCCACAGGCCCGCAACACCGTCTGATCCGCTTATATCCTACGCTCGACGGTCGAGTATCCTACAACAGCCATCCCGGCAGGGCTCAACGTACAATTCGCCTCTTCCGGCTACGCAGAATCTTACATCGTCGTTCACTGATAGTTCGGTTACTTCTGAACCGGGACCTCTGCCTCAGGGCAGCATTATGTTCCCTACACAGGGCTATGTGGTTCCTGCACGTTCGCGGACTGGCTCGACAGTGGGCGGGGAGATGACACGTAAGCTGTTGCGCACGCTATCTACTGTGTCAATACACGAGAGTTTGACGGCTGCTGGGGAGCACGCGCCGATGGGGAAGTACATAGTAGAGAAGCCAACAACCGATGCGCCACCTTCGGAGATGCCGAAGGAGTTTGGGATCGAAGAGGAGTACGAAGACGGAGGTGTAGAGAAGCAAAAGGAGGGTAGGTTTATCATAGACTGATGCTTGTGTGATTTGGTGACGGCTCAAGTAATGGATCATGATTTGAACGATTTGATTGATACCTTGATGCCTTTGTGCAAGTTGCACGATGATTTTGACTTCAACTCCCGGACGAAATCCGAAAAAGATAGATATATTCAACCTTGCAATGTTACGCCTGGCGCAGCTCTGCCCTTCCCCGAACTCTCGTACATGATCTCAGACGCAACCAGATCTGGGGGTATATACTCACCCTCTGGTGCCATCCGGAATATGTCTCCCGGATTCTGCGAAAATGTGGATGTCGGTAGCTGCACTAAGTGTGACGGAGTCCGTGTAAGATATACTCGAAGTAGAGCATCTTCAGCGGCCTGCCAAGAAGGTCGGGCTTTATCAAGTATACAAGAAAAGGATACGCACCCGATACTCGGCCATCTTGAGGGAGCTACCAAATCCTTCTCCCAGCTGGTCTTCTCCAGAAAATACGCCCACGACAAAGACAGGAGCTCTAGAAAAACGACCGGTCTCACGAAGTAGTCTACATGAATAAGGTCATTAAACTTGAAGGCACAGAAAAATAGAAATGACTGTTGCTAGCCTTGATTTTGGTCTTTCTGCTCCAAATTTCGCCACCATCTCCAGCAAAGCCGCCTTTGGGTCCCGGAATTTAATCATGCCACGGAGATCTATTTCTCGAGTAAGGAAGTATGAATGGACGAATTTCCGAGCAGATAGAAGCGATCGTTTTTGATATATCAAAGCAGTTATCGCTCTCGGTATCGATGATAGAGCGTCGGGGTGCAGAATACCGGGTCGGTTAGGTGTGTTTGGCTAAGAAGGGATTATGTAGGGAAAGTTGCAGCAAAATCAGATGACGCACCGTTCTGTGCCATCGTAGAAGGGGCGCTGAACCCATCTCATTGGCAACACTAGCACAAGTCATGGAACCGACATGAGCAGTTATGGCAGCCTTCAAAACGCGCGTAGGAAGATACGGATAGGTTGCATTTATATGTTCCGTTGCAAATAGACCCATTAACGAGTTTCCTATTGTTGCAAGCTGGGCATTAGATATGGGAGCCGGTTCAGAGGGATAGTGATGCTGGTGGAAGGCGACAAAGGAGGAATGGGTGCAAGCTTGTTGTATCAACTCTGTCGTCGATAGGATAGAAGAGAGGCCTATTCTGCTTGCAAAGGCTGAGAGCGCAGAGGGCGGGGGTGGCTGCAGGGAAGCCCAAACTTCGGGTTCGAATTCAGGCTGAGGAATTTCCTGGTCACGGAGGAAGAGGGCTTCCCTTGGCGGGAATTTTGGGAGATGGGAGGTGGAGACGGATGGGAGCCGGGAGGCATTGGTCACTAGTCGTTTTGAAGCATGACCCATTGCACGTCGTCGTCGACGATGCTCTCGCTGCCGTTGTACGCGTTGAGCTCGTCGCGAAGGTCGATGAACAAGTTTTTTGACCGGAGATATCCGAATTCACCCGTTTAGGAAAGGTTCCCACGGCCCTCTTTACCTGTCTACATACACGCCGCACACCAAGCCTTACACGACTACTTCCATTACAAACTTTGGCGACTCGACGGTCACCAGCAAGGATATCGATATAGGACTTTCTACGAAATGGCAGTCCTTTCGCTGCCATTGAGCTTCAACAATTCGTTCTGGTCCCAGGACTATCGGAAAGGTCTTGAGGTTCTCTTCCAAAAACTGGACCAAGTCAGGCCTTCTTATTTCCTTTTTGCAACACCGACATTCTCATTGTCTGTTTATAGGGTGTCGCGGAAAATGAAGAAATCATCGCGTTCATTAGGGTTTGTACAGCGCACTTGGTGATTGGTTGAGGAACTCATCTGTCGTAACAGTCCAGGATTATTGCAGAGAGTCAGCTGGCCATTGCTCTTATGAACCCCATGCTCACAGGTGCACAAGGTACTTCCACTTCTACTGTCTATTTCAGGTTTCCAACAGGGGACTTAGGTATAGGCTTTGGTGCTGACGATGGGGCATCCCTCCTTATGACGTTCCGCGGCCTGCAGAACGAGTCTGCTGCGCAGGGTCAGGCCCACAAGTCGATTGCAAAGGAGCTTGAAACCCTGGTTGTGGACCCCTTTGACGACTGGGCCCAAGGCTTCAAGGTAATGCATTTCCTGGTTATCGTTTTCGTCTCCTTATATCTGGTCGTTAGGAAAGGCTCAGGCAGAGCAGGCACAACGTTATCGACAACTGGATGAAGGCATATGAACAGTCTCACGGAGAAGTAGCCAAACTGAAGCACCAGTACCTGTCGAAGACTCGCAAGGCCGATGAGGCCGAGGATGAGTGAGTTCTTAACGATACCTGCTTTTCGTGTTTCCTAACGCTGTGCATAGCGCGAAATTCGCTCCAAATTCTAATGGAATCACAGACAATTATACCACGTCACCCAGAATACGGCCCACGGACTCTCATCGCTCGCCACCTCAGCGCACAGCTAGCGTTTCGGAACGCATTGCGCAACGATTGAAGGAAATTCAGAAGAAGAGTGTTAGCACTTTATCTGCTGCATCGGGAGTTGCTTCTCCACCGAGCAAACCCGAAATTGTCGCTGAGCCCGAGAAGATACCAGAAATACCCAAGCTCGACAAAGGAAAGGGCAAGGAGGTGGACAGGGCCATGTCCCCTCCCCCGCTTGCCGCCTCGCCCCCTCCTATGTCACCCATGCTACCTCCAAACACATTTGAAAAGCCTCCATCACCGATGCCTCCCTTCCCTGAGCCGCCCATGCTCCTCGCCGGACTTTCTCTTCCGCCGGCCGCGGTGTCGCAATTGCTCACCAGAGCCGCAAGCGAGCTTAACCTCCGCCCTGTTAGGGTTCCTTTACTTGGGGAGTATCAGGATTGTTTCACTGGGGAAGAATTTGTTGCCTGGCTGAACGAGAATGTCCACGGCTTCGGGGGCAGCCTGGACAGAGCCGAAGAGGCGGCGAAAGACCTGACAGAGCGCGACGGTCTCTTGAGGAGAATAGGCGAATTCGGGAATCAGTTCGAACATTCCGATGACGCATTTTATCAATTCCGCCCCAAGGTATGCCTGCATTTCATTGGATGAATCACTGCTATTCACGTTGGCATTTTGGCAGGCGTTTGATATCGAAGGCAAAAATTCCGACAGTCTCTCCTCTACGGCAGCTAAATTGCAGCCTGAGACTCTTCTCAAACGCACGAACAACTTTGTTAATCTTGTTAGCAAGGCACTAAATGCCCAAGCAAATGGAGAGCCGATGTACGTTAGGGCACGACATGAGGCTGAAGATGCCGACAAAGTGTATCGCTTAGCGGTACGGAAGCTTGATCGCCAGCGGTTAGCCCTCGAGGAAAGATTGGAAGAGACATTGAAGACACTTCAACGCTGGGAGCTGGAGCGACTTCGCGCTGTGAAAACGGGTACTAGTGTTTCTTACGATGAAAAATCGTCGTCTAATTTTTATTTTATTTTCGTTCTCCAGTCTTACTTCAATACCAAGGGACCGTATCGAATCTTCCTAAATCTCTTGAACCATCCAACAAGAGATCAAAGACACTCATCACTGCATTCCAGCCCGAGTCCGACCTGACGGCGTTGATTGAACGATATCGCACAGGACCATTCCGACCAGACGCACAGGTTTATGAGTCAGTCGCGCATGACGAGTCCGATGTCGTGTTTGGCATTGATTTGCGCAAATGGGCCGAAGGCGGTTGGAGCGTTATCACTTCCGAGGAGGAGAAAAAAGACCTCATTCCTCCCGTATTGGATGCTCTACTCCAAGGTCTCACAGAAGCATATAATAAGTTGCCGAACGACGATGGTAAGTTCCATTGTCATCTTCTGTTAAACTGTGAATGATAATGTATCCGTGATCAGAGAAGAGAAAGACTTGGATATACGAAGTGCCGTTATCGGCAGTGCATCATCTCAGGGAGACGTTAAATGGCGTTCCTCTACAAGGGCCGATCCCCGCAGAGATATTCACTAAATATGATGCACCAGTCATCGCTAGTACCATCAAGCTTTGGCTACTGGAGTTGAATCCTTCGGTTGCTTTGTACGAAGGATGGGAGGAATTTCGGAGACTATATCCGACTGTCGGCTCAGCTATGAAGGCTGAAGGCGAGGATACCGAAGAGCAACACATTACCGAACTCGGTACGGCACTTCAGAAACTTCCAAGGGTGCATCTATATGTTCTGGATGCTATCATAAGGCATTTGAAGACGTGGGTCATATAATTATAATATCTTAGGAGAGGCGAACTGATTAAATTCTGTTAGGCTTATCGAGTCAACGACCGTCGAAGAAGCCAACGAAGTGTACATCACGAAACTTGCATTGTCTATTAGTCGCAGTAGGTCATAGATTTTCATGCCAAGATCGCAGACTAATTTCTGTCAAGCTATCCTCCGGCCTAAATACGAGTCTGAAATATCAATTCAGGATAGACATCCAGCATGTGAGATTATTTATGAAGCACCTTGCTTTGACTTGAACTTTCTTTCTAGTACTCTTCATCGACCTGGTTAAGAACTATGATGCTATCCTGCCTGCCACTATTGCGCGCAAAAAGCGCGAATCTGAACGCAAAATACCACTTCGCAAGCGTACGGCGCCGGTTGATATGAGGCAAAGTAGAGGAAACAGGATCTCTGTTGGGGGCGTCAATCAATTCTTTGCCCAACAGAATCTGAAATCCGTGAAGTCACCTGAGAAGTCTTCGGAACCGTTGCCTCCATTCCCACCTCCCCCTGTACTGTCCATTCCGCCACCTTCTCTTGAGGAGACACCAGAACCTGTTGTGGAGGCATCTCCGCTGCCTCCTCTGCCTCCACCACCGGCTCCTGTGGATGCAGATTTGCCTCCTCGACCTACATTCAAGGAACCACCTCTTGAAGATGACGACCTTCCGCCACGACCGACATTCAAGGAACCTCTGCCAGAGCCAGAGGATGATGTGACACCTCCCATGCCCAAGTTCGTTGATCCACCTCCGGAAGATCCTGAGACATCAGCTAGGGATATGGTCTCTTCGGCACAAGCGCAAAGTCCTCCGGCTGCACCTCGCTCTCCTGTCCCTTCGGACTTGAAGCGGGTAAGCTCTTCGATCTCTACAAGGTCAAACCAAGGCAAAGTCAGTTCACGTAGTCCAACGCCACCCAAAGAAGACCCGGCGAAGATTTCGAGGTCGGCTTCAGGTGGAGTAAAAGGTCCTAGGGTAGCACGAGGGCCGAGACCAACGGGAGGTGGTACAGTTTCGAGCATGGTATCCAATTTGAACAGGAACAGTGCGACATCGTCAAATAGGTCCGCAAGCCCATCCTACAAACGGTTGTCTGGAAGTCCCAGCAGGCGACCCTCAAGCGTTCTCGGACGGAGCGCGGCCTTTTCCAGGAGAACTATGGCCAGTGATGCGGAGGATGATGTAGTGGATAAGAAATAAGGGTGTTGACGGACTCATTTTGTTTTGTTTTGGTCTAGGGACATCATAATCATACTGGATATATGGTTTGCTTTCCTTGCTTAGTACTTTATGGACTTTATGCACAGGCTATACCAATACTATGGAAATATTTTCTTGCCTCATCCAAGGACCAACTTAACCACCTGGATCACTTATGCCTTCGTGCCGTTAAGGATTTAGCGTTGTAGTCTCATAATCTTAGATAGTTGCCTGACTTGCCGATGAATTGCTATGACAATATTTTGGTGCAGCAGGATTATCGTCCAGAAAACCAGTCACGGGAGCGACCAAATAAATGTATACAAAAATGCCTATAAAAATCTTGTGGGAAGCTTTTTTCTTTCTTCAACTCATTTCATGGACTCGCACATTGTCCCCCTGCGATTTCTACCCTTTTTCTTGCAGGAGTCTACCGCGTGTTCTAGACCAATGCCATGCGTCTCAGCTGGAGCGTTCACCAGCCTTTTGGGCTGTCGTTGACGTGGGGATTTGTTCCTTACCAGAGACGCTACACTTTCTCGAAAACTCTTCGTCTATGTACATTATCTAGACCGCTCATTATGTTTTATATTCGAGATTCGGAGGTTAATTCATCAAACAATCAATACTCTTTCGCACCAATCATCATCGGACAAGCCCACTTCCTTGGTTGAGCCTCAGCTTCACTGCTGAAAAATAGGTACATTTTAGTCTTAAGAGTCTGCATGCTACAACGCCAGGTCCTTGTGGACTTGGACGCAATATCTCCTATGCCTGTGGGTATCATAAGTACTGCGAGATAAATCGTCCTTGTCATATCAATAGCTGAAAAGTAAGCGATCGTGAAAGAGTTAGAAACAGAAGCGACAATGGTAAACTACAGATAATGGAAATCAAGAGGAATAATACGGGAAGAATGCAATGAACACCAGCCTCGTGGAGTGTAAATGGGGAGTGGTTTAATCCAATCAATGCGAGAACAAATGACAAACAAAGACGACCCAACATGTATCATGTTCGCTGCCGGACCGCTGAAGGATATCCAGTAGGTACAAATGAAAGTTGGTCTGCGCTCGGCCGGGCCTGCGTAAATGACGAAGGTCGTGATCCCGGCCTTGGTGGTGCATTAATCGGTCGGGGAGTACTTGGCCAGTCATCTACCTGCTCCTGGTTCCTTTGCGGGTTCTGGATCGCGCCCGGGCCCTGGGGTGGCGGTAATGAGGGTAAGTTCGACGGATAAGGAGAGTTGGACATGGGCATCCCACCAGGATGAGGCCGTGCGCCATTTTGCGGCATTGACAAGCCTAAATTGGGCCGCTCCTGTAATGTTGGGGAGGTCGGCTGAGGGAAAGGTGGAGTGCTCCCGTTAGGGACGTTGTACATGAGTGCTGGCGTCCGTCCATTAACCGCCTTAACTCGTTGATACATATCACATTTCTTCATGAATTCCTTGCCGGGAAGCTCCATCAAGTTTGCGAAGTATTCCTGATCATGCAGGATGGGTAGGAATTCTTGAGGAACAGTGAAGAATTCGTCTTGGTTCTCCAAGAGAGCCGTGACCACTCGAATGGCTCCGAAACTCTCATCGCGTACGGCATCCCGGCCTCGAGAGTACAATATACTTGGGCAGATCACCGTTGCCAGATTGCTTAGATCCATCTTGCTCCCCGTCTCAGCGTCCATATGAGCAAATGATGCTACCCATTTCAGGAACACGAAGAGGACTTCCATTGTATCCCGATGGCTCTTCGGCATGATGATGGACAGCATATGAAGAAGCCGCTTCCGGTCTGCCTCATTTGGAAGCGCTAAACGTTGACGGGATGAGCTAACAAATGTTCGCCGAGAAAAACAACTCACCTTGTGAAGCCACCAAAGCTTTGTGTAGCTTGTAGGTCATCAGGGGATCGGGTAGATCTCGCAAGAATTTCTTGAGCAGGGCTGCAAGCTGGACAGGATTGTCCGTCGTGAGATCTACGGACGAGGGATCCTTGTCGATAGCCTCTGTTAACTCCTTTAAGCGCCGAATGTTGCCATTCTTTCGGAAGATTCCCTCGACCGACATATCTGTACGGCAGACGTTAGTTTGGTTTGATATATAGAGGTGTTCAAAGTGTACCCATTTGTCTCATAGCAGATATAACATCGTCAATAAAACTCGGCACCCTCAGGGTAGCTCTCGACGCTCCCAATAAAGAGTCCGAGCCCTCTCCCTGCACAAGCAACTCCAAAGGAACGCCAAATACACCTGCGCATTGGATCAACGGTCAGGTCCAACTCTCGGATATCAAAGTGCCTGCACGTACCTTTCTTCTTAACATTCTTCTTATCACCCTTAAACAGTTTATTCCAGAACCCGCTCTTCTTCGTCTCCACCATCTCCAATAACTCATCCAGCTCAATGTGATCTTTCAGCGGAGATCGTATAAGAGCAAGTACTGCGCTATGCTTGACAATTGCTAATTCGAGAGCACTCAATTCCGCGATGTACGGTATCGAACTCTGCCTCGGCAATGACCGCTGTTGTTCCCTTGCTTGGGCAGCCTCCATCAACTGTGGAATATCAGCAAGTGTTATACCGTCATCCCGCGTTGGAATGCGGTCTTGCATATTGCCCGCCTCGTCACCCAATGCTGGCGAATTCGGAGCGCTTTCATCCACAATCATCACCTCAGTATTATTCCTGGCAAACGCAGGCCGCAAGATTTGCCCTTGGGCGTCTGTGGGTAGATGCCCCACATGCAGCCGGTTATTGGCGGGCAGTGATGATGGTGCTTGATATGTCTGCGGTGGTGATCTGCCTTGTGCCGACGAGCTCACTTGACCATGCTGTGGTCCTTGCGTGTGCGAATGTGAGTGATGTGGATGTGAATGAGCGTGCACCTCCTGGGACTTTTGCGAGCTGAGTACATCGGACGGATGCACACTCCGACCGGCAGGACTTTCCACAATAGTCGATCTTTTGGGAAGTCGAGCCGTTGCTGAGAGTTTTCGGTCGAGATGCACAGATTTCATCCGCATAATGTCAGCAGAGTTTCGATAGGGATCTATCTCCCCTGATTTGCCAGAACTGGAATTCGTAGCGGTTTCTGGTTGCCGTGCGTTAAGTCCATTGAATAAGACTTAGACGTATAAGACTCACCAGGAGATAGTGGAACGACACCCTGTCTCTTCAGTAGCAGATATAATCTCCGCAGCGCTACATTCAAGAGGAACGCATACTGCTCTAGTCTCTGCACGGCTTGGAACCCCCCTCGACATCCTGCATGGGCGTGCTCTGTACACAGTATAAATGTTGGAACTTCTCCAAATGATGCTGTGTCTTTCTTGGAGTCCACTTCATATACGAAGAGAGCGACGTTAGCCGGCGGTCTCCGTGCAGTCGACAATTTCGGTTGCCCTTCCTTCGCGGATTCGAGCTGCTTCTCGTCCACGGTATTTGACCGTTCCTTCAGTATTGGAACTGCCGCCACTCTCCCACACTTGGCACACTGCACGCACTGTGAATGCCATCTCTGGTAAGTTCCAAGCCTCACGCAGTCCTCCTCGACCGTCTGACTACACTTGACGCAAAGATCCGATGGAGGATGGTTCGAGTTTAGCGACCCTAGACCCATACCGCTCCCTCCAGAACCAGAACTAGAGAATGGTGATTCGCCCGCATTCTCAGGCGCAAGACTCCTAAAACCATATGTCACACCCTGTGTGCCCGCATTGCCTCCGCCATTAACGACGGCCAGCGCCTCTCCATTATGACCTTTTATGACCCTCCTCGCACTTGGATTACCTCCCTGCACAGCCAGCAGATGCAACTTGTCCAAGAACGACGACATGGCCTCTCGCACGCTGCCTTCACGCTCCAATTTTAATGCACCGGTGAGCGCTATGCGTATTAGAATCTTCAAGTAATGCGCGAGACCCGTCACGAGGGCTAAGAGCTCTTGCGTCATCCCCATCCTTCGAGTACCAGTCTCTTGTGTGTGTGACAGCAGTGTAAAAAGTTCCACCGTTTTCCGACAAAGCATCCGAGCTTCACGAACGTGGGACATGCCTAGTGAAACGTATTGGCTTGAATGGGTAGGTCCTGAAGTAAAGCAGGCGCCAAGCGCACCTTTCATATTTAATCGGGCAAATTGATATTCCAAGTCGTCAATAGTTCCGAAAAGGACTTCAACGTGCAGTATGAATTTCTCAGCCATCCGTATTGCCTCGAGGTACTGCCCGTTGCTCACTTGGCGAAGCATGTCTGAGATACAGGCTGCACTACTCTCTTCAAATGCAGAGAGGACCCTATTTCGCGGCCTTCATGAGAATCATGAGTGTAGGAGAAGGAAGGAGAAAACGTACGTCCATATCCTATACACCTGCTGCTCCATTCTAATCTGTTTATCTTTCAGTGATGTAGGTGTCTCCCGCTGCTCATCTTCTATGTATGCTTCATCTCCATCCAACGACGCTGTACTATTTGGTCGTCTCGATGCTACTTTAACGTTCCAGAACTAAACCCGACATCAGCCCGTCGTCGGGATATGACAAAGGCATGCGGTTCGTACCTTGTTGATCATGTAACACTCTGGATGCCAACATTCATCCCGCATATTCCTGTTGATCTCCACAAATTGCTTCAAGATCGCGCTGTTACATCCGGCGCACTTGGTTGCGAAGCGGGTTGAATAGTGGAAATGGCAGTAGACATCACCGTCGTGCTCGTAGTACGAATCCTGGGGTCCAAATAAAGTGGGACATAACGAACATGTAAAATGCTCGACATGATATTTCTTGTTGCATGCGGTGATGTAGCTGCCTCTCAGGGCCATCCCACATTTCGCGCATATGAGATTGAGCCGCCGGAAGTAATCTCGCTCGCACAGAGGCTGCTGTTTCCCCTCTGGACCTTCGATAGGGAAGAATTTGGAAGCCACAACATCGCCACAGTCCTAGACACCGGACATGAGTCGTGCCCTACATAAGTATGAACAGATAGACGTACCATGCACTTGAAACAGTTCAAGTGGAAGACGGTTCCCAGCGCACGAACAAACGGCCCCTGCATTACTTTACCACATGACGAGCATGTCCTACGCAATATATTAGGAATGTGTCGCAGAGAGAGCGTTATAGTACTCACGCAGAAACTGTGACCATGGCCGTGGATGTGTTTGTGGTGGAGGAAGCGCTAGACGAAGGAGGGAGAGCCCTTTCGGAGGTCGACGAGGTCGAGCGAGCTGAGGAAAAGGATGCAACGCTCCTACGCTTTTCACTGGTGTAGTGGGTAGAATCGTCGGAGTGCCCTGAAGATGATGGTGGATGCGGCCTGGTCGAGCTTGATCCGGCAGGGGTGGAAGAACGACTCGTTCTCAAGAACCCAGGAGCAGGTCGTGAGCTGGTTGAATGGTTGAGATCTTCACTACGAGCTGTTGGTCTACTCTCCTTTGGTGCGGTATTGCGATCAGGCTCACTCGAGCCGACGGTGGATGATCTCGTAGGGATTTGGGGTCGGTCAGGGAGGCGAGCAGCATTGGTGGGAGGGGCGGAATATGGGCTTGTGCTCGAGCCTGTCGACTGGGATGGGGCTTTGCCGTTGCGTGCATCGACGGAGAGGCCCAGAGGCTGTCCACGAGACTGACCGTTAGACCATGGAGACGGTGACCTCCTGCTTTCTTGGTCTCTATTCATGGTGGTACAGCAAATATTTACGGTTCTCCAGTGTAGTAAACGCCGATAGGAGGCGCGAGGAGAACGTGGACGATGATGAGCTCACTGGAGAGCAATAAGCACTTGAGAGGAGTCTTTGTCACAGAACGTGACGGGACAGCGTGACATAGCTTTGTCACTCCCATCACTCGGCCTTGGCTTTCGTTCTGTAGTCCTGTTAATGACATGGTTTGAGGGTATTTATTCACTAGGTTATTAATTGTTAATAAAATTTTTGTGAAATAATGTGAGTAAGATGTGAAAAACAGACTTTCTAATGAGTTAATAACAAAAGGCTGGTGAAAAAAATCAAGAACAGATTAAATATTGTCCTAATCAATCTCATCCATGTCCCTTTCTAGTCCCTCAACATTGCTAGCAAGCCTCGATGCTGTTGGTGACTCAACCAGTGCTGCAAAGACCACTCCAGTACTTGCTTCCAAGGCTGATGTTGAGAAAACCTTCCTCAGGCATAGAGCATTGTTAGGAACATGTCAATAGAAGAGAGAAAGATGCATGTAGCAGGATGTGCAAAGTGCATGGGCTTAGGCAAAGCTATTAGCAATGTCATCTCTGAGCTGAAGCTCTAAGAAGAACTGCAGATGGAAGTCCATGGATAGAGATAGCAGGTGAAGAGTCCAATAGAGTCAGAGATCCACAGACAAGAGTATTGACTGGAGGTCAAAGAGTTATTGGGCTGAACCAAGTTGATATTCAAACCAAGGTAGTACAAGATTTTCTATAGCTTATATACTAAGTAGCTAATCTGAGTCAGAGTCTGATGGATTCCAATAGGTAATCTCTTCACTACCATTTCAGAGTTGGATTGGAAATAAGCTAGTAAATGAAATATAGTTTGAAATAAGAAATAAAATGGTAGTATGCTGCAGGATTCCATGAGGTGCAATGATTTGAAGGAAAAGGGAGACACTCAGTATTCCTTCATCATGTGGAAACTCTTAAGTTGGTTTGTGAATCAGAGATCTATAGCATACATGTGACAGTATTTCCCTCTTAGCATTCTTGCCCTCAAGAGTGCAGATCCTGATGGCTGAGCAAGACTGCATAGAATGTAGGAGTGAAATTACATGGTGTTTTACAACTTGACCTCTTACTTTCACTATTGATTCTTGATTTTCTTTTCTTGACATTGAACATGTCCAACTATCATGTGTCCATAAGCTCTGAGCTCTATGCATGCCCTCTGACACCCAAAGATATCAATGTTGCCATCCTTTTTACCTAAAGCATGAAGCTGCTGAGAAAGAGTATCAGCAGGCTGTGGAAGCATGACAGAAGAAGAAGAGGTTGGAATGGAAGGCTGCAACTGCTGTGAGGCAGCAGAAACTGACTTGAAGAAGGCCATGGAGGAGGAGGCAAGAGCAGAGGCAGAGGCCACAGAGAAGGTGAGGTTAGAGAAGGAAAGGAGAGCAAAAGAAACTAGAGTCAAAGCAGCCACAGAGGAGAAGAAAAGGTATAAGAATGAGGCTGAGATGGTGGATGAAGGAGCAGAAGGTGGAGACAAGAGGCTGAAAGGACAGGCCCACAAGGAGTTGAAGAGGAAGAAGAGAGAGAAAGATAAAGATTGAGCAGCTTCAGATGCTGTAGGAAAGAAGAAATCTATGAGTGTGATAGATAGCAGGCATAAAGGCAGAAGGTCCATAGGGTCAAGCAGAAGAGAGATTATAAGATAGAGTCTGATGATGAGGAGTAGGCAGGTGCTCATAAATACTCCCACCATACTCCACCAATAAGTCATTTCACCTCCTCTCCATGGCCTCCACCAGTGTCAACTCAGACACCATGCCTTCCTCACTCTGGCTCTCTCTTGCTGTGGCCTCCATTGCCTCCCTCCCCTGTCTCACCACCTGCTCCTTTGCCTCAGCTTTAGCCTTTTCCACTGTCTCTATAGCTTTCTGCTCCTGCTCCAATCTGAGTGACTCCTTCTTCTCTTCAATGCCTGCACCTTTTCTGCATGAGCCATATACTTTGCATTCACTCTTACTTTGCAATCCTTTCAGACCTGTACCACCTTCCACTCCTAATGCCACTCTATGGCCTCCTGATACTTGTCCTCTGCCATAGTCCACTCTAGATGAAACATTTCTTGCTCTTTCTTGAAACCATCCAGCATCAGCATCTGCACAAAGGGCTCTGGGGTTATGGACAATTGGTAAGATGTGATAGTAGATATTGGAGAAAGATAATGACAGAGGGTACAGTGAGCTGATGGAGATAGTGGTGGTAGCAGTTTAAGTTGCAAAATTCTCACACTCATGCAAAAATTTTCCATATGCTTCTCCACTAGCCATCAGGATCTGTGCTCTTGAGAGCAAGAATGCTAAGGGGGGAATACTGTTATGTACATGCCAATGGCTCTGCTTCACACCAACAAAACATCAAACTGCTGTCTCTTAGACTCCACTGGTCTCTGGCTATCTACTATTTCTCTTCATTTGATTTTCTCTCAGCATTTCACATCCATATATCATATTTTAAATTTCTAACCTAAGACAAGATACTGACTAGATAACAAAAATCAGAATGAGTTGCCAACTGTCTTCACATGATATGTCTAAGGAGATTTTAGTAAGAAATGTTTGCTATCTCATTATGTTCAGCTTGAGTGGTTGGAGACTGGAAGTTATCAAGTGTGATTTTAACAGGTAATGGGGTCAACTATGATGTGATCTGAGTCAGTCCAAAATCTTATAAGACAGTCTTTCTGTTAGGCTCAAGTGACATATAACCACTAATATATGATAAATGAGTGCTGTATTGAGTTTATACAGTTATGCTTGAGTTCACTAGATGTAGCAGTGTTATGTCTCAAGGTCAATACAAGTTGACTCAAGATAAAGTGTTAAGCCCAAGCATCACGTGGACAGATACATGTGATAAACAGGCATTCCTTTGCACTTCGAGGAATCACCTGAGTTCACTGGTTTGTATATCCGTTTGATGTGACACAAGGTCAGATGTTGACTCGAGGTAGAATAGTGTGTATAAACTTTAGCTCGAAGCTGGAGTTTACCAGCGAGAGCATTGGTCTTAAATACTATACAGGTGCTCCTAATTATATCACTACTTATTGTGTCTGTCTGTGTCCATGGTGTCCATTGTCCTTGAGCACCATTACTGTACATAAAAGGATGCTTTGTGCATTGTTGGGCTTGATTGTTGAGATGACTTGATGGATGAGTTAGTTATGCTGACTAAGCTCTCCCATGGTCTTATACCCTCTGACTAAGCATAAATAGGGGTAAAAGAGTAATGAGAAGAGAAAAATTGTAACATTACCCTCTCATTAAGACTATTGTCCTGATGGCTTTAATTAAGAGAAAGCTTGTATTCATATATGGCCTCATCTGCTGCCATGTGTTTTTCGTTGATCCATTGGTTGGATTCTGGTCTGTAACCTTTCCAGCTTATGAGATAATCCACTGTCGTCATCATTCCCCTGCCATGTGCTTTGACCTTTCGGAGTTTATGGTTCAGGACTTGGTCGATTTCGTAGTGTTCTTCATCATTGACTAGGTCAGGCGGTGGCAGCAGGGGACGTTCTTGATTAGGAAAGGCTGGGGCAATATATGAAGATAGAAGTGTTTCATTGAACACATCGTGGATTTTCCATTCTGCTGGTAGACATAGTTTGTAGGCAGCTTCTCCTATTTTTGCCATGATAGGGAAAGGGCCAGTTCGTTTGTCAGCGAGCTTCCGCTTTAGTCGGGGCAAGTGAAGATTCATTGTATCCAGCCATACTTTATCATTGATATTATATGTATGTGTTGGGCAATGATGTTTGTCATACTGTTTTTTCATTGTGGAGGTGGCCTTTTTGAGGGCAGTCTTGGTTTCGTTGTGAATCTTTGTCATAGTTGTAGCGAAGTCTGTAGAGGCAGGTGTCATGGTTTTATAATGCGCTGTGTGGGTGACATGGGGATGTCGCCCATGATTGATGAAAAATGGGGTCTGGCCAGTGGTGGAATAGACTCAGTTGTTATGTTGAAAGGCAGCTAAGGTGAGCCATTCAACTCAGTCATCTTGGTGGTAGTTAATGAACAGTCAGAGGTATTTTTCAACCTCCTGATTGGTGCATTCGGTTTGCCTATCTGTTTGTGGGTGATAAGCCGTCGAAGTGTTTCGCTTGATGTTGAGTAGTTTATATAAGTCATTGAGAAACTTGGAGACAAATTGGGGTCCTTGATCCGAGATGATGACTTGAGGCATCCTGTATTTGGAATATACTTTATCACATAGGATTTTGGCCCATCCTTCTGAGGTTAACTCTGTGGAGCATGTGATCAGGATGATGGCTTTGGAGAACTGATCGACTATGACGAGAATGGCATCATAGCCATTGCAGTCCAGTAACCTGGTGATCATATCTACCAAGATATGAGTCCATAGGCATGATGGTATTTCATTTGGGTGTAGGGGGGCTGCTCGTGGCTGCATGGAGGCTTTTCCCCTTTGGCACATTTCACAGGCTTTGACATAGGACATGATGTCATTGCCAAGTTTTGGCCACCAATAGTTTTGCAGGATGAGTTCCTTGGTTTTGGTGATGCCTGAGTGTCTCGCTGTAGCATGATTGTGACATGTGGCAATGATTTCCCTGTGTAGACTATAGTCCCGTAGGATATAAATTCTTCCATTGTATTGGATCATTCCTTCCTCTTTTGTTATCTCTCATTTGTGATTTAGTGAGGGAGTGATCCTTTGATCTCATTTATGGGTGTCTTGGGTTGTGCTTTTTATCCGCTCATGAATCTCCTCTTCTGTTGGCATAATCAATGCTCGGAAATGTTGGGGTTGGAGTATTGTGACTCCTGCATTATCGTCTCTTCCTTGGTCATGGTCGGCCCGATGGAAAAGGAGGTCGGCTTTCTTGTTTGCCACTTCAGCCTTATGATGGAGAGTGTATTGATACTGGGCGAGTTCAGTGACCCATCGGGCTTGTCAGCGATTCAGTTTTTGCAGCTGTTGGAAATATCTGAGATTTTGGTGATCTGTCCAGATCTCGAAAGTCTCGGGGGTACTGATCAAATAATGTCGCCATTCTTCTAGGGCGATCATTATTGCCAGTAGTTCCTTAT